GCGCAAGAGTGCCGTCGTAAGCTGGTACTTGGAACAACTTGTTGGACAAGGACAAATCGAGAACGAAGATGAGTTGCTCGAGAGGAAGACCTTGGTTGAGAAAGTCATTGATAGGCTGATGTACCATGTAAGTTATTCTTGAAACTTTGGTTTTAAATGTTGTTAGGTTTTTTTTTTTGAGGAAAGAGAGCCGCCATTCTTCTCCTGTTTTAGGCCGAGGCCGCGGTATTGTGAAGTTCCTTATCATACGATTTTTATCCTTGCAGTATGACTGTTCGATGCACATTTGATCATATTATAATGTAACTATTTCTTTGTATCATTAATTTAATATAATAAATAGTACATTAAAAAATAAATAATAAGACTTAGTTTAATTTTGTTTCAGGACCAAGTTATTATCCCACTCTCAACTACAGGCCTCAAAGCTTCACAAAAATCTTCAGAACAAGAAATAGAAGATGATCCTCTACTTGTAGTACATCCAAACTATGTTGTTGATACGTAGAGACTACATTCCGAGTTTAAGCTTGTCTTTTTTTATTAAACCTTTTTTTATATATTTTGTTTTATTCCACATTGAGGGCCGTCCTATGAGAACCCAAAAATCCACATAAAGGCTGGGCACGGGCTTAGACCAGCTGTTGTATTCTAAAAAATTGAAATAAAAATTGTGCCCGAGTTTACCACTGTTGACTTATAATGGAATATAAAAAAATCGATCTAGTCCACAAATAATCGACAAAATCTTTGCAATATGTTGTTAATGTTGAGAGTAGAATACAACAAGGCGCCGAGCGATGACGGAATCTCGTCAAAACTTCTTCATCATCATCATCTTCGTCTTCTGGAGCAGGGTAGTTGATAAGACTTTATGGACAAACTATACACCTATCTCACTTCTGTGTCATGTGTATAGCCTGTTCACGAGTATCATCACGAACCACCTCGAAAGCAGGGTCCATGACTTCCAGCCTCCTGAACAAGCCGGGTTTCTACGAGGCTTAAACACCACAGACCACATAGATACGCTTCGCCTGATTATACACATGACAGGAGAATAATTAGCCACTGAGTCTAGCGTTTGTGGACTGTGACAAAGCCCTCGATTCAATTGACACCTGGGCGGTAATGCAGTTTCCCCAAGTGTCATGCCGATTATAGATACATCGTGTTTATATAGAAACGACTGATGCTCATCCGACTCCAGGAAGACAAAACCAATCCAATTGCAGAAAGGCGGGCGTCACAGGAAGACGTAGTTTCTCCGAAACTTTTCACGAACGCATTGGACGTTTTCAATCTCTTGAATTGGAGCGGATATGGCATCAAAAATAATAGCGAATACATAACTCACTTCCGCTTGGCCGATGATATAGTTGTTTTGGCGGAGATGAAGGACCTGAACACCATGCTCAGCAAGTCCGATACAGATTCCCAACAGGTGGGTCTAAAAATAAATATGTACAAGACGAAAAAAAAATGCCATAATTATGTATATGTTGCACCTACAGCGGTCATGTTTGGGAACGACATTCTTGAAATTGTAGACCACTACAAATACCTTGGTCAGATCATTCAGTTAGGATGACGTATGAAGCTGAGACGGCCTAATTTCTGGCCTTCTGGAAAGACTCCGTGTGATAGAGTGGAAGACCGCAAACCCGGAACAACAATTTGTGGATCACACAAAAAATTGTTCCGTACGGGAATCGAACCAGCGACACGTTTCGCGGCAGCCAGTTGCCCGCTACCGCGCCAACCTTGAACCAAATGATGCAGGTGGCGAGTTGTATTCGACGTGGAGGACTAAGGGGGAGGCCTTTGTTTAGCAGCGGACGCCTTCCGGCTGATGATGATGATGTTGAATAAAAGAGAAACAATCGTAATTAATAAAAACAAATTTTATTGATTTTTTTAACCAAGTTTACACTTTTATTCTTAACCTGTTGAATATTTTACTATAAAATAATTAATAATCTAATCATTGGCAAGAAGTTTTTTCACCTTCGCATCGCTAGCATTCAGTGTATCGTCGACAATTATATCAATTTTTTTACTTTTCTCTTCATTCAAATCTATACCTTCAGTGATGTTTACATTTTTATATTTCTTCATGCATTTTACGTTAATAGTTACTTCTGGCGCATGCGGCAAGCTCGGTGGTCGAATGAAAACTGAATTTATTCGTTTAACTGCCAATGTATTTTCAGGAGGGGGTTCATTTGATAGGATCATAGGCCATGTGAATAACAGGTAGAAACGCTCAAGAACTAGGTCTAACAGCTCTTTCGTGATCGGATTCCTTCTTACCAGAACATGTAGGTTCATAGTATCACCGTAACCACCTGGTTTTAGCAAAGCTTGCATTATAGTTTTACACCCAGTTAAAGTTGCAAGACTTGGAGGGAACAAGTAGTTTCGTTGGGCGATCATATTTAATGCAGGAGATCCCCAAACGTTCGGGCTTTCATTCACTTTAATCATTTTGCCTACATCCATCTTTGAGTAAGATTTAACTTTCACTAGGGATACATCGAGTCCAGAGTCTCCTATATTTGGATATTCAGCTTCATATGAACTTTGAAGATACAAATCTTCAACTAAACATGCATTTAAAAATAGCAAATTTTTACGCAAATTTGTAAAATTTAACTGTTCTTGTGAAATAATTAGGTTTGGTCCTAGTACCTTTACATCATCTGTCACTCGTTTTTTCAATTCTGCTTCTCTTTCTTTTATTAATTTATTAACAAGAACTACTACAATGGCATCATCTAATTCTATATGTGGCGAATCTTTTCCAATTTTCTTTTTCTTTGATCTAACTTCTACTGCTGAGCTTAAAGTATTTTTTAAATTCTCAATGGCGTCATTAAGGTTATTGCTTCGATAGCCATGATTTAATCGTCGAGCACCACGCCGAGGGGCATGATCTAAACTAACGCCTGGATGTTTCTTCATCCATTTCACTAAAGTCATATATCTAGTTCTAAGCTTGACTCGGTTTCTTCCTGGAAAGTATTGAGTGGCAGTGGCAAAATTGATATTTGAATCTTGATTTCCTAATATTTGAATCAGTTTTTTATCATCTTCCACAGTCCAAACTGTAGAAACTCTCAGTTTACTTAGTACTTGATATCTAGAACGGATCTGTACCATGGACCTGCCAGGTAAAAAATCTGTCATCCTCCTAAAATTAGTACCAAACCTTTCAACACAGTTAAGTATAACAGCATCTTCTTCTGGGAGAAACCTCCCCTTTCTTTGCTCAATCATTCTTAGATATTTGTTATAAATTTGAATTTTTGTACGATTTTCCATAGCTGCTGCTATTTTACCCCATGGAATGTAATTGTCTTCTTTAAAATAATCAATCAACCTTTTAAGATATGTTATTTCCTCATTAGTCCATTTTTTACCAGTAAAAGAGTTGGTCATATTTGTGCGATAGTACACAAAACATTGATATCCTGAACGGCCAGTATTTAATTTGAATGCTATTTCATCCCAATCTTGTTGATTATTTTGGCAAGCAATTCGTTGTAAAGTTGCATGTTCAGCTTTACTCCAACTATTTTTATTTATGGACGGATGAAAAAATAATTTCCACAGTGACTGGTACTCTTGGGCAGTGTGCCTTCTATTCAGCTTGTTAGCTAACATGTCCCAGTCATACTCCTGGTCTATTGGTAGGGCAACCTGACTCAAAGGCATCTTAGCAAGCTGATCAATATTTTTTCTAAGCACCATAATTTCTTTTTCTATTTTCTTATTATTACTATTTTCACATTTACGCTTCAATTTTGTTATTTGAGCAAATATCTCATTTCTTTTTATCTCTACAGATATTTTGTGCATCATTGCAATAAATTGAGACTTGTCCCGCATAGTCCACCCTGGTACCGATATCACTAAAGAGAAATCATACATCTGAGACTTAGCCATTTTAGCATCATCATTGTCTGGAGCAGGAAAGTTGAGTTTGTCCTTGAAGTATGGCCTGCCACAGCTTATGTATCGGAATAGTTCATTTTTGTCATTTTGGGTGTAGGTATGCGCACTATTTTGAATAACGTTTAGTTTCTCTCTGCACTCTTTAAGACGAACTGTAAGGTCTCTCTCGAGTCTGCGTATTTTTTCGTCAAGTATTTTATTTGCTGATAGAGCTAAGTCAATTTGAGCTAATGTCGCTGACTTTGAACTGTTTTTCTGTAAGAGAGTTCTGTATGACGAAGCATGATGTATTGAAGGTAGATGCGGTGGATACATCGATACCCCTACACCAGGAATGTCATCTTCGTCTTCCAACAACTCATTAAGGCGTTTTAGGTTTTCTTCTTCAAGCTGTGCTTCCTCATCGCTATTGAACTCAGAATCTGTATCAAAATCTGTTTCATTGTTGGCCATTCTTTAGAAATTACTGTATACACGATGTTTATTGTCGAAACAAGTTATCTAATTTATTATAATGTATAGAATAGCACTTAAGCAGCTATTATTTCATTTTATTCATAACTAAGTATTAAAAGGTGCACGACAATCACTTTCCCGTGTATAAAAGTTGTAATTCTTTACACAATTGCGATTAAACTGTTTTGTGTATGCTATTTTGCTAGAATATTATGGTATTTTTTGACACTTACTAGACAATCTGACATATGAAATGACATGACATCCAAAAAATTGAAATGAAACTTGAATGGCAACATTTATATACGATATTCAATAATACAAGTAAATATTATTAAATAAATATTTTATTTCATAGTTGTGAAGAAAAAAAAAGTTTAAAGGGTGTAAATAAATTTAAATCAAAAGTCATATAGTGTAGCAGGAACATCTCAAAAAATATTAAAAATAATTATTAATTCCTCCATATTTTTTTCAGATTGTCATAGTTAAATGTAATCAGTTGTCACTGTCAAGCATTAAGTTTTCGTTGTCAGTCAGTTGTAGAATATTTTGTAAGATGTAAATAAAAGCCGGCTATTTTTAATTTATAACTCAATTACAAAATATGATAAGTGAAGTCTTACTACTAAAGAAACATGGGGGAGCCAGGAATAATAAGAAAGTTAAATGAAGAAGTAGTTAATCGTATAGCTGCTGGTGAAATTGTTCAAAGGCCTTCAAATGCGTTGAAAGAGTTAATAGAAAACAGGTATAATATTGATTTAAAAAATAATTGTACTTTATAACAGAACATAAAAGTATTATTTCTATTACAGTTTAGACGCAAAAGCAACAAACATCGTAATAACCGTAAAGGCTGGCGGATTAAAATATTTACAGGCAAGTAAAAGTAGTATCTATAATCATTATTTGCTATCAGACCAACCATGTGCGTAAATTGAGAATAGAATTAATATTTCTTTTTATAACATTTATTTGTATATTTATTGCACATAATAACACAATTACAAAAATAATAGCAGACATAGGTATTAATAAGAATTTTGAATTTTTTTTAAATAATTTAAAGTTTCTGTATTTTCTAAATTAAAACAATTTCATTACTATTAACAGTTTTATTATTCCAGATTCAAGATAATGGCACAGGTATAAGGAGTGAGGACTTAGAGATAGTTTGTGAAAGGTTCACTACATCAAAACTGAGGGAATATGAGGACCTGAAAGAGATTGCCACATATGGGTTCCGGGGCGAAGCCCTATCTAGCATCAGTCATATAGCTCATCTTACTATACTCACTAAGACAGCTGCCTCTAAATGTGCTTATAAGTATGTATGCCCAAAGATTATTTGTTTTGATCCCTTGTGTCTAACCTTTTTATATTAAATTAAAGGATCTGGAAAGTCCTTTTTGTAAACACAAGCTGCCACTGTAAATTTTGATGCCCAAGAATACATTGCTCTAGAAATCCTAAAAATAAAAATAAAATATCTCTGCGATTGGCTTGCAAAGAAAGAAAGTCCAAATTAGCCAGCCAATAAACCTTATATGTATGTATAATTTTTTGTTAATTCTAGAGCATCTTATGAAAATGGAAAATTGAAGGCTGCAATGAAGCCATGTGCTGGCAACAATGGAACTCAAATAACAGTAGAAGATCTGTTCTACAATGTAATAGCTCGTAAGAAGTCTCTCAGGAGCCCTACAGAGGAGTATACGCACATAATGGAGGTAGTTGGAGGGTATGCAATACATAACAGCCATGTAGGTTTTACTTTGAAGAAATTTGGAGAGAACACAGATTTGAAGACCCCTGTCAACTCTTCTGTCATTGAGAATGTTCGGATTGTGAGTGGTATATTTGCTTTATTTATAACAAGCAGACACACAGACAAATAGAAAAAAAATCTAAAAATCATTGTTTTGGGTTCTATTTCGTATATAAAGTGTAAAGTTTTTCTTATTTATCTTGTACAGACACTACCTTTTAAAATTTTATAATAACGTTCATACTTACGTCATGCCTATTCATCTCCCTGTGGGGACTTGAGTAGGCGGCTAGCTCGCGCGCTGGTCGTGTCCCAGAGGGTCATGGTTATTCGGATAATCCGCGGATATCGCACGATCTCCAGGAAGGCGGCAAACCTCCTTGCCGGATCACCGTCATGGGACCGCGCGTCTACAGTTTACGCACAGACGCGCGTCGCCAGGGCGAGGATCCTCTGCCGCGCCAAATTAGTGCGTTGCGGAATGAGCTCCGGCGAGATCTCTTGGTAGATTGAAAGCAACGTCTGTCGCAACCGAAGCCGGCCGAATCGAGCACGCTGTTATAGCAGAGGCCCTCTTTGAGAAGTGGCTTGAGAGACGCCACGACTTCGCCTGACGCAGGTGCTTACCGGGCATGGCAGCTTCGGTAGGTTCCTGTTGTCATTATTAGCACCACCTAGAGGACACGGTAGAGCATATGGTGGCGGTGCTTGGGCTGAGCTCTGTCGTGTCCTCGGGAAGTGATCGGCGGCGGCTCTCGCGCCCGCCCTTAGTCGAGGCCATGGTGTGGAGCGAGAGGAACTGGGACGCCGTCTCCTCCTTCTGTGAACTAGTTATGCTCGCAAAGAAGGGGGCGGACTGCGTGAGAGTGGGCCTCGGCCCAGAGCGATTCGCCCCCAGTTTTTTCGACAGTAGGTACATCTATATTATTTATCGCATTTTCAGATCCACGGTAACACGATAGCTCGAGAACTGATGGAAATAGAGCTACACGATCCTTCACTTAAGCTCAATTTGCGAGGTTATATAACAAATGTTAATTACTCGCATAAGAAAGGAACTATGCTATTGTTCATCAACCATAGACTCGTGGACTCGCTATGTAAGATCTTCTTTGTATATAGTTCTACCCTAGTCTAATAATTATTATCTATAACATTAACTGAAAGTCGTGGTGGCTCGTAGGTTAAGGCGTCCCCGCTTCCTATGCATGAGGGTTCGAAACCTGAGAATTACAAATGTGACTGTCTCCGAGGTATATGTATGTACTTTCTATGATTGTTTAGACACCACTGACATTCGATGAAGGCAAACATCTAGAGGAAACCTGGACTTATCATTTCTAATTATAAGTTTCAAAATCGGCAATCCGCCTTAAGCAAGTGTGGTGGTTAATGCTCAAACCTTCTCCGTGTGAGATGAGGCTTTTGCTCAGCAGTGAGCACTTATAGGCTGATGATCTGAAACAGCTATTACAAAACATGGTGATTATACAGTAGCACCTAGTACCTTGGTGGTTATAGTTTGAACAAATGGCAGGGAATGGTTGCTCCCTGTTCAGTGATTAAACCTTGTTTATACATTCGGGAAATACAGGCATAGGTACTAACATAATAACATATTTTTTCAGCAATAAGAAAAGCTGTGGATTCGATATATTCAACTTATTTACCTAAAAATGCGCACGCGTTCGTCTACCTCAGCCTGGAGTTAGGTAAGTTTATCACTACGTAGTATAAAACAAAGTCATTTTCTCTGTCCCTATGTCTCTATGTATGCTTAAATCTTTAAAACTACGCAACGGATTTTGTTGCGGATTAAGTATCAGTCAAAAAAAAAGTAAAAAATCATTTATTCCAAATAGACCTTTACAGGCACTTTTGAACGTCAAACAAAATTTTGAAAATATAGTGTCAGCATCAGAAGAAAGAATTAAGTATGTATTGCACCTGTGTAAAGCCGGTTTTTTTTTTGTGAGCGGAAAATCATCAACAGCCGCGGTGGGTCATTACTTTTTGTTTATAACAACATCCATCCTATGTTATTGTGAATCATATATGTAGAATTGACATTTGACTGCACGGTTGGTGCGGTGGCTGGGCAACTGGCTGCCGCGTAACGTATTAAGGATTCGATGCCCGCACGGAACAACTCTTTGTGTGATCCACAAATTCTTGTTCCGTGAATTGGCGATGTGCTGTGAGTGCGTGTGAAATTGTATGTTTGTAAACGCACCCACAACACAGGAGAAAATCCTAATGTGGGGCAAAATATTTTGTTTAAAATAGAATATATCATTCAAACAATATAACAAAAGTATACTTTTGTTAAGTATACTTTTGAAGTCCAAAAGTATACTTTTGTTATATTATTTTACCATGTTTTTTTGTGATTTTTTTACTTTGATTTATATTATCTTGTTTGTTTGTTTAGATCCAAGAAACGTCGATGTGAACGTTCACCCGACTAAACACGAAGTGCAGTTTCTGTATGAAGAGCAAATCATTGAGAAGATCAAGTCCTGCATCGAGAGCAAGTTGCTCAGTTGTAATTCTACCAGGGTTATGTACACACAGGTATTTGTTTATCACGTCTTTTTTCTAACTAGTGTTAGACGACGAAAATCAACTAAATGAACGTCACTAATATAATCTGTGGTCGCGGCAACACTGGCTGCCGTGGTGACGCTGTCGTCTGTCAACTGAGACAGATGAATAAAGTTTTCCCGCGAAAAGAGTGCAACGGGGATTTCTGGTGGGAAGTTTGACGAGCATTCAAATACGTTTCTTATAAGAATTCGTTTTTATTAAAACTTAAATATTTGAGACTGTGGTGTTTTTACTTAAAACTAGCTTTTCATACATAGATAGTTAATTTACTTAAGTCGTCATCTATATACTATATAAAAATCAATGCCAATTTTCGATGTAATGTTATATGTTATATAATAACTCAACAATGCCTTTACGGATTTGGCTAATTTTGGTGTTGAATTATTCGTGTGTCTTTTTTTCAATTTCGTGGATGTCCAGAAGAGGCTTGTACGTAGAGAAAACTAAAAAAAAAAGAACTTGAAAAAGTGTAAAATTGACATCCACGAGGGCGTAGCCGCGGGCGACCGCTATTTTCAATACATTTTGTCTCGCGATACTTAAGTACTATGTAATAAGTACGTCATTGCATAAATCTGTCCATAATTATATATAAATAATAAAATATATTCCAGGCACGTTTACCAGGCGCCACAATGGTAGAAGAGATCGTGAAAAAAACAACAGAAACTAAAGCAAACCCTAGTTATATGGTCAGAGTGAACTCGGACGTACAGAAAATAGATAAATTCTTTCCCACACTAAACAAACCGAATGAAACTGTAACCGACACTGACATCAATATGGACGAACAAAACGAGGCTGTGAACACAAAAGTACCAGATGTAATTGTTAATACAGAATCTCAGGAAGTTTTAGAAAGTTCTATACTCGAAGAACCAAGAAATGAAAAGGATAGACAGGAAAAATACAAGACTCATACAGCTGTAGACCAAGCTAATTTAAGCTATATTGACCCAAAAGAATCTTTTAAAACAAGAACTTTTAAGTACGAAAGAGTCGAAACTAAGTTGACCAGTGTGAAACAGCTTAGACTAGATGTTGAGAACAAATGTAACATGAACCTGAGAGAGATTCTAGCGAATTTGATCTTTATTGCGTGTATTGATTGCCACAAGTCTCTCATACAACATTCAACTAAATTATATTTGTGCGATACGACTAGATTTGCGTGAGTACCTATCACTTGATTTTTTTTTATCATTTCTAATAGTCCCAGTAGTAAATACTTATTATGACCACATGGTTAAGCCTTTAAATCGTGGTAATTCGAAATACAGTAGCAGAACAATATGTGCGCGAACGCCGGCGTTCGCTTGGGGTTTGGTGAATTTTAAGCAATAAAAGTCTGACACGCTCTCACGCCCCATTCAGGGTGAGAGGACTTATGTGTATAGGATATTACCTTAGTAGAATAAACTGCAGAGGTCCGATAAATTGTTTTTATGTTTTTAAACTGTGATCTTCGAAGCGCCCGTTAAGTGTTCTACACATTTGTGGCAAAATCCTCCCCTGTTTCATGGGATGTTAAGGTGTATAATGAATTTTCATATATCATATTTTTCATAGTTATTTATTTGCATACTATAATGTTACAATGATGTTATAAAGGGCTTAAAGCTAGGTGCATATCAGATCCTATCCTAGGGATCCTAGGGATGATAGCTCCGTAACTGAATCCGAATCTATAGGATATCCGATATAAAAAAATATCCGTAACCGTAACCGAATCCGAAATAAAAGTTTCGGATAATATCGGATAGGGGTGGAGCCTAATTGAGACACGTTATGTTTGTGTTTTGCTTTTGAAATTCCTTAAAATTTTAATATCAGTAACTGAAATTTTCCGAAACTAACGGATAATCCCAAATAATTTATCCGTAACCGTATCCAGTACTAGCTTTTGCCCGCGACTCCGTTCGCGTAGAATAGTGATTTCCTGCAGATTTTTGGTATAAAAACTATCCTATGTCCTTTTTCGAGTTCCAAACTATGTCTACCAAATTTCACAGAAATCGGTTCAGTAGTTTAGGCGCGAAGAAAAGACAGACAGACAGAGTTACTTGCACATTTATAATATTACTTTGGATAATAATCATTCTTATATCCGTATCCCAAATTTACATATTATGGACCCTGTTAGGGAACAGCAAAAAAAGGCATAACTAAGTATAATTTTATAGGCTTTTTATAATTATATAGTTAGGCATTTTAAGTGACTAAGTTGTTATTTTCTGTGCAGGGAAGAATTGTTTTACGAGACACTGCTGTACGACTTTCAGAACTTCGGCCTAATAAAACTGTCCAGCCCTTTGCCTCTAGAAGAACTATTTGTCCTAGGACTAAGCTCGCAGGATAGTAATTGGGACCCAGAATTAGGTTGGTATCTACTCTCGTTTCCTACTTAAACATACATATTATTTGTTTCTTATTCAATTTATAGAATTTCTTGTAAAAAAACTCATTTTATTAATACGTAATACATTTGTTACTATCATTTACGAGACTGTTTCGCAATGTTTAAATATTAATTTATTTATTTAGGAAAAATTATTGTATATGTTATGTGTCTATGACACATCTTAGATCTTAATTTTTTCTTGACTTCTGGTTTTTAATCTGTGGGTGTTATACATCGTCGTCGTCGTGTTATACATGTCGTTGTGGCCCGGAGGTTAAGAAGCCCGCTTCTGATTCATGAGGGTGTAGGTTCGAAACCTGGCAAATACCAATGTGACTTTTTCCGAGTTATATGTACTTTCTAAGATTATTTAGACACCACTGACATACGGTGAAGGTAAACATCGTGAGGAAACCTGGACTTATAATTTCTAATTATAAGTTTGAAATCGCCAACCCGCATTGAGAAAGCTTGGTGATTAATGCTCTAATCTTCTCTGTATGAGAAGAGGCCTTTGCTCAGTAGTGGGCACTTATAGGCTGATTATGATGATGATGTGTTATACATAATAATATGGATTTTTATTATTTGTTTTCTTAGTAATAAATATAAATTTTAAATGATCATTTTTTATCATGTCATGACCCTCAGATCATATAATTTTTTATTGTGCAATTAATAAATTTCAGGTGATATGAGAGACATGGCTCAGCAAATGTCCGAGTTACTTGTTGGCAAGCGAAATATGCTGTACGAGTACTTCTCATTTGAAATAAATAGCAATGGAGAACTGTTGGCGCTGCCATTGTTATTAGGTATGTTTTCTATTTTTGCGCTATAGGTGGCGCCACTAGCGTTTAAAGACCAATCAATTTGAAATATCCGTAAATCTCGGAAACCCTAATGCCTAAAAGGCCGATTACTTACCATCAGATAATCCGTCTAATCGTTTGACGACCCATTTCATAATAAAAACACAATCGAATTTGTAGGTTTACCCTGGCTTTATATATATCAGATTGACCTGTAATACTTTTGGTTCTAATTTTATCGATGTCCAATTATTTAAATATATATTTTCTTCCGTTTACAGATGGCCACACCCCATTTATGGGCGCTCTTCCCACGTACCTCGTTCGTTTGGTTACCGAAGTGAATTGGGATAGTGAAAAGGAATGTTTCGAAACCTTTAGCCGACAGACAGCCATATTTTACTCCCAGCCTAACCCAGACCCAAATCCAGACAGTTTGAGATCTGAACAATGGCGACAGGAACATGTCTTGTTCCCTGCAATTAGAAGAAATTTTTTGCCGCCAACTACCTTCGTCCACAACGGCGCCATATTGCAAATTGCGAGCCTAAACGATTTGTATAAAGTGTTCGAAAGATGTTAACTAAGAGAAATAAACATTAAGCTTTTATTTTAATTTAGTTTTATTTGTCTAGATATAATTTTTGACTTATTAATATTAATATAAATATTGATCAGTATTGAAACAAAAACTAAGTCAAAAATAAATATTTTAATTCTTACCTCCCAATTTTTGATCGACAGCACAGTTGGTGCGGTGTTAACTGGCTGCCGTGCAACGTGTCGCGGGTTCGATTCCCGCACGGAACAACTTTGTGTAACCCACAAATTGTTCTTCCGTGTCTGGGTGTAATGTGTATGAGAAATTGTATCTTTGTAAACACAACCACAACACAGGAGAAAATCTTAGTGTGGGGCAAGGTAAAAAAATATTCGGTCTATTTTTGATGTGGTTGAAAAAATTTAAACATCTCAGTTGTCATTCCCATATTAGCGTTCATAAAGAGAATTAGATTGTTGTGTACAGTAAAAAGACTGTTCTGAAATTTTTCATGCAACTTTTTTAGCTAGTATCTTTAGATTTCGATATATTTACCAAAGTAAACGTGGTCGACTGTAGACTGAAAAATTAATCAACAATCAAATATTCCACACTATTCGTACAGAGTTACTTAAGATACGTAACAATCTTAATATTTGTGAGATTACTATTATAATGCATATTCTTTTATTTTTGTTTATAGATAATGATTTTTTTTTGTGAGTGTAAAATCATCAAATGACTTCTCCCGCCCAGGGCCGGTAGGGAGGGATTGTCAGACTCTTACTGACTAAAAACCCCCCTGTTCCTTCTCCTGCTCTGTGCCGAGGTCGCGGTGCCTCATTGCTTACCCCGCAACCCCGGCTGAACATCAGCCCTATAGGGCCCCGTCTGTGGTGGTCTATTGGCTCTTTGAGGCGCGCGCGGAACGCTACGCGCCGTACGCTCGGGATAGCAGGAGCTTGCATCCTACAGCAGGTGCCCATAATTATAAATTCCTATGTATTATATCTTCCTGTGTGGACTAAAACGCAGGAATGTTGGGGAGCTCCGTAACCGTAACCGAATCCGGAGACACGTTATGTTTGTATTTTACTTTTGAAATTCCTTAAAATTTTAAGATCCGTACTCGAAATTATCCGAAACTACCGGAATCGGAATCGGAATCGGAAATAATTTCGTATATGAATCCAGTATAATAACCATTCCCATCTAATTTATATCCGAAATTTCATATCCATAACATCCCATTTAAAAGTGTTTTTACCAGCCACAACACGTCAATTCTGAGAACATTCACCGTCAAAAACATATATGTATTTCAAATAAGAGTGAGGTATAAAACAAACAAAATATAAAGAATTATTTTATGTATTAAAAATATTGTTATTAATAAGAATTACAAGGCAAACAAATCATTGCATAATATTATATCGATCGATTACATTCTCTTATTATAAACTCATTATAATAATATATCTAATATAAACACTACAAATCTCACACATACATTTAAATATTATTTGCAAAATACATGCGTTTCATAAGGACCCAATTCTGCATCTCTGGTTAAGTCTGATAGCTTAACTGACATGTATAAGAAACTATATAAGCCAAATTGTAATTGCGGCACCTTTCAATTGGGTAGTTACCTAGGTCAAAAATAAATTATTTTGACTATTCAATACAATGAATTATTAAATTATAATCAAACTTTCATTTATTTATTTGACTATGTACTTTATTTAACATATTTTGTAGTTAAATATTTAAAAATAGGTATGCTGTTATACGTAACATTATTATGACGTCATTGGTTGAAATCACATACATAATTCATAGAAATTATCGTTTTTGACATTACAATAAAAGTAATGAATTTGAGTTGAAAACTACCGAATTTGGGCGTTGACTAAGAGCCGAAGTGCCATCGGTTGTCAAGCAACCATTCTCGACAGCTAATCTGGCTCCACTGACAGGTAAATTTTATTACACAGCTAAGGCCTCAGATTTGTCGAAAGTCTACAAGGCCCAAGCTCTGGAAATTACATCGCAGTCGTGGCCAGCAATGCTGCCGCATTTCAGGACACCCCACGCGGTTCCCAGAAGGTCTTCAGCATAATACGCAGTTGTATGCGAAGTTCCACAGGATAGGTCCCAATAACGAACCCTGTGGAACACCATATGACTCGAGAGTTAAACTAAGAGAAACTTAAACAGATGTGCTTTATACAAAGTAAATCTGTAATATGATAAACCAAACTATATTAAAATATATTACAATTGAGTAAAATTCAGATTATTAAATATGTTTTTTGAAATAAAACATTAAAGTAGAACTTAAGATGCTTCAGTCTAGTCTAGAGAATTGCTTCATGTTACAAGTTCTTTAGAATTTAGAACTAAATTCAATTAGCATAACACAATATTTGAACACTCCCTAAGATCAAAATAAAATAGGTCTTTACCAGCCTCAGCGACCAAAAAGTACAATACACACTCATTATATAACATAGTACAATTCTATAATTTATTTATAAAAGGCAAAAATTATATAATAAAAAATGCTTCGAAATACTAAAATTACATACTTAATTCATTATTTACAACATTACAATGTAAAAATTAATTTAATAGATCACCATTATTATTATTATTCTTGAGTATATAAATATGTTATGTCTAACTTATAATATAATCGAATAAGAAACAATACTGAGAGATGATAATTATATAAAATGAGTAAACGACTTGCGCAAAATAGTCACAAAAAGCGATAAACACAAATGTTCGATGTGACTGCTCATTTGTCAAGCCCATCACGATTATATTACCGAGGAATCTTATTATAACCGTAAAATTATTTTGGCATCTTTTTGTATTGAAAAGAAGGACTTATTCACGTGAATCAACTGAGAATAGCTCTACTAGTTTCAAGTCACAACGGGACTCTTATTTTATGAGCAGCGTGCGCGTCGTAGGGAGAAAGCGAATAGAATTGAGGAGAGCTTTTCTCGAGTTATTTCAATGAATTTAGTTTAACTCACGACATTTACTATTCAAAATTTATTGACATAAATTACAAGTATTCCATCGAAACGAAAATCGGTTACAAATTGATAAAATTTAACAGATCAAATTTCAAAACAAACTGATTTGTTACAAAAGGAATCGATTAAAAATCGATGTTTATGTATAATCGATTACCGTACTGTGTTAGTCGTCGTTATAAGTGATGTAAGCGTTGAGATAGTCTGCGGGAGCGTCGTATGCGGCAATCTTGTGCGGTGGGGGTGCCAGGGTTAGTGGAGTCGACATACCAGCTGTTTCTAATTCCTGTTACAATAAGGTTCAAAGTTGAATGACAGAACTAAGATATTGGTGTAGTATATATATACATATTCTTTAATTAATTGTTTGTTACCTTGCGTCGCTTCCTGTTCTTCTTGTTCCACGGCGCGTAAGGTATCTTGAGATGCACAGTTTGTATGTGTAGCTTCACGGCGGAGCTCTGCGTGAACCGACGACTGCAGTGTTGGCACTGGTATCGCTTTTCACCTGTATGCACCTGAAATTATGATACATCATCAGCGTACAAGTGCCAACTGGTGGGCAAAGGCCTCTTCTCTCATAGAGAATGATTTTTTTATGTGATAGGTCAGCAAACAGGAAACGGATTACCTGATGGAAAGCAATTAGTGCCGTCCATGGACATCCGTAACAACGAAGGAGTGACGAGCGCGTTGTCGACCTTTTGGGGTTTAGGGATTTGGAGATTTTGTGATTGGGGGAGGGTAAGAATCCTCCACATGCACTCACACTTACTCCACCGGCTACCTCACTCACACGGCGAAACAACGCTGTGGTATCACTTCGGTCGAGCCGACCAATACGTGCCGAAGTATTGCTCTCCCACACTTTTTTTTTGTCAGGGGAAAATCAAATTAGACTCTTACTGTCTAATACCCCCCGTTTTTTCTCCTGCTGTATGCCGAGGTTGCGGTGCTACATCGCGCTTATCCCGTAACCCCAGCTGAACATCAGCCCTATAGGACCCCGTCTGACACATAAGTTTATAAAAAGTGAATAAAAACTTACAACTAGATGTCTATCTCTGTTACTGGGCATGTTGAACCGTCGGTCGCAGTGTGGACACCCGTACGGCTTCTCGTTCGTATGAGTGCGCATATGCACTATCAGGTTCGCATATTGCTGCAAAAATTAACATACAAATATAATTTGCCGTTTTTCATGGACAAAATATCATCAAATGTTCTCTCGCCCAGGTTATTTTATTACATAAAGTCAGCGTCCATACAATTCGGTAGTTTCAAAGTAGTAAAATTATAATAATCCAATGATTCTGCTGTACGTGTTTATGTAACTAAACTCCTCCTAAACGGCTTGACCGATTTAAAGTACTTTTTATGTAAATGTTTGAGTGGCGCTCTGGATGTTGTTTAATATTCACAAATCAGTCATCGAGTAGCGGCAGTCGGCGCTGATTGCTTGAAAAAGCATGTGGTCTTGGAATCGGTTCTAATATGACGTCACAACGTTTTAAAAATAAGGTCAGTCTTTGGGGAGCTCTGACTGGGGAAACAAACTAATTTAGGATTAGGGGGAGGGGGGCGGGGAGGGGTGGCGTAGTGAATGGACTAGTCTCGTAGGGCTTACCCGTGTGGTATGTCCACAGACGTCGCACATGTACCGCTTGAGGTACTCGGTGTCGGGGTGCTCCGCCTCGTAGTGCTTGCGGGCCTGTACGTCGTTACACAGGAACTTGCCGCACTGCGGGAAATTACACACGAACTTATAAAAAAAACTTGCAAATTGTTGGTAATAAGTAGCACATTTATATTAGCAACACCGTATATTCTCTCTGGTTTTTCTAGGTACTATGGTGAAATAAAGATGTGTTTGAACTGATGTCTGTAATACCTAGTTATTCTTAATATATTTCAGTATGAACAATTCAACGAGTATTATTCTTTATATTAAAACAAATCTATTTATTTTATTTTTGCAAAAATGTTTTTAAACATCTAGTTCCTCCTCCAGCACGTCTTATGATATTTCCTTTTTTTATTTTTTTCTGAATGGCCATACTAAAATGTATTTCAAGGTTATCATTATACATAAAAACCTTCCTCTCTCTAATAGCTACTTATCAACAAATACCGCATCAAAATCCGTTTCCTAGTTTTAAAGATTTACGCACACATATGGATATATGAACAGAGAAAGCGACTTTGTTTTATACTATGTAGATAGATAGTATAATACTATCAACTTTCGCGTTGCATATTAATATTTTACTATACTTCGGGATTTAAAAGCAAAAAACAAAGGTACGGGCGCATTCAATCCTGTAATACAGTAAAGTATATATAGATACTGTGTATGAATACTTACGACTTCGCAAGTGCTTGATGTTGTGAGTCCGTTGTTGACGATCTCTGAGCAGACCCCGCGGCGCGGTCTGCCGCGCGGCCGAGTATCCTCGGGCTTCATGCGACGCTGCGGCTTAATAGAACTGGAAAACAGGCGCACTTTTATACAGGAGCTGCTTCGATATGAATGGGCCGGCTCGACCAAAGTTCCGTGGGACAGCCAAGCTTCGGCACGAATAGGTCGGTTCGACCGAAGTGGTACCACAGCCTCACAGAAAATCGGAGTGAAACAACTACGGCGTAGTGTTTCGCCATTTGAGTGAGTCCCTTTTAGTTCATCATCTTCAGCCAATAAGTGCTTACTTACAAAGGTCTCTTTTACAAGGATAAGGTTTTAGCATTAACCACTCAAAGCTCAAAGCGGATTGGCGACTTCAAACTCATAATTAGAAACTATAAGTCTCGGTTTCCTCATGATGTTTTCCTTCACCAAGTGATAACAGCGAGTATTAAGTTGGGTAAAATTAACTAAAAACCGTTACAACTTTTTTTGGGAAACGCCCTTGGCCATCCGCAACACCTGAGAAATGCCGCCTTTTGGGGGCTTGTTGGGAATGATTACTGTTAGAAAAGTTGTAACTTACTTATTTCGATGACGGTTAATTTGATAATTAAACTTAATGTTATTTTTGAATACTCATGTAAATGGCTTATTGTCTTTTTGGGAATAAATTATTTAAACTGTAACAAAAACTTACAGGTTTGTAGTAGCGTGTTTGTACGAGCTGCCGAGATGCGTGTTGAACGCGGCGAATGACATGAACTGTATCTCGCAGTCGTGGCAGTAATGCGGGTCCGCTGTGTTCACTACCATTTTATTGCTCTGCTCTATTTCCTGCAAAAAACAACCAATAAAACAAATAAGTCAAAATAAACAGTGACTTTTGAAACGTCAAAGTTGAATCATCAGTCTATCCGTCTTTTTTTTGTGTAAGAAAATCACGAAATGACTAAAAATCCCCCCATTCTGTGTTCTGCTCTAGGCCGAGGCAGCGGTGCCTCATTGTTCTTGCCCAGCAAGACCAACTATGAAGAAGTGCTCGTTCTAAAATGAAAATTCGTTTAGAGAATAACGAGAAGGAAACTCAGTGGTGACTCCTTTTTTCAAACATTTTTTTTCTATTTTACATTCTCATTGATTAATAATTTCAAATATAACTATTATTTTTATTCTCTGATGTTTTAAACGTTCCCTGTATATTTTAAGAACACAATAGCTCATGTCGGTCCAGCCTTTCTCGATTTTTAGCGAGACTAACAAACAGCATTTCATATAAGGTATAGAACTTTTTTTTTTGTCAGGGGAAAATCATCAAATTACTTCTCACGCCCAGGGTAAGGCGAGAGACAGTGTCAGACTCTTACTGACTAAAAAGCCACGCGTTCCTTCTCCTGCTCTGGGCCGAGGCCGCGGTGACTCATTGCGCTTAGCCCGCAACCCCGGCGGTATTAAGGTATAGAACTAGAGGCCCGTCGCTGCTTTCCAAGGGCAAGTTTATCTATCATAGTGTCAGTCATTTGTTTTGTTAGCGGATCAGTATGGTACCAAAAGTGTTGTTAAATACCGATTTCACCACTTACCTTTGTAACATTTAAAATAAGGACCTGCTTCTGATCTTAGAAAAAGCCGCATAAAAACACATATCAGAATCTGTCCATCCATTTACGCGAAAAGTCATGCCAAGAAGTCAAGAGAAAGTAACTTACCTCTTCAGTATGTGCTATTTGCTTATGACAATAGAGTCCAGAATCGCTTACAAAACTATGTCCGCAAATTGTGCATAAACACATGGACGGATGCTTGATTCTTATGTGAGTGAGACGTGTTGACGCTTTCCTGTAATATAAAATAAATAAACTTTATATAGATTGCCGTTGAAAGTAAAAATGCTCATAACAAGTAAATGTTCAAGTTAAACAACACCTTTTTCCAGCTTACTTAAACTGATTGAAAACGAAAAACCATTATTTTTGTCATTGGAAAATCATCGAATGACCTCTCACGCCCAGGATAAGGCGAGAGAGAGTGTCAGACTCTTACTGACTAAAACCCCCCCGTTCCTTCTCCTGCTCTGGGTTGAGGCCATTTTTAGGTTATCTCTCGAAACGAATAACAATGTAGTTACATATTTATGTCGTAGTGGCCCAGAGGTTAAGGCATCCGCTTCCATGCATGAAGGTGCGGGTTGGAAACCTGACAAGTATCAATGTGACTTTTTCCAAGTTATATGTGACACGCCACTGACAAACGGCGAAGGAAAAGATCGTAATGAAACCTTTTAATTTCTAATTTTTAGTATGAAATACACAAAAATTTGTGGATCACACGAAGTGTTGTTCCGGGAATGAACCCGCCACACGTTGCTCAGCAGCCAGTTGCCCAGCCAAGCCAACAGTGCAGTGATTATTTTAGTGCAGGGAAAATGCCTTACAATTTATAAACTTACATGAACTGCTGCTTGCAGTGCGGACATTCGTAAGTGACGTTCTTGTGCCACCTGTAATGCATGTGAGCTTGACCTCTGTAATGAAAAATATACCGGTATCAATTTCTTTCCTAAAATTCTTTGGTAAGCATAATTCGGCAAGGCCTGGACCAATTTCGCCAATACTTTTTTATTGTTTGTTTTTGTTAGGAGAATGTTTATAAAAAAAGTTTTAGACATGTCAAGAAATTTTGTTAGGTAATGAAGAGGCAAAAAATTCCTTTCGCCGTTAGCGAAATAGTTTAATGTTTTATTGAATAGATTTAATATTATTTATTGATCCTAGCCGTTGTTCATCTTTTTATACAAATCTATAATTTTGGCCGATCCAGAGGCCGGTCTCTACTTGTTGGATCGAACTGGTAAAAAAAACTACGAAGTCGACCGCAGTTCAGAGTACTCGCAAGGCTCAGTCGACAAAAAATAAAACGCTACTTTAAGAAACAGACGGCAGAAGGTAGTACAAAATAATATCACATTTAGATTAAAACTGTTCAACGGGTCTCTGCGAGTTGGCTTCGGCTCCTCGTACGCCTTCCAAAGGTCCGGGACCCTGTGGTCTCGTGAAAGGAAAGAATAAATACCTATTGCAACAGACGTAACTGCAGAGCTGACAGGAATACTTGAAGAGATGAGTGATGTTCATATGTTTGTAGAGCTTCCTTTGATCTTTGAAGTGGAGCTTACAGATGTCACACTGTAATGGACCGGCGTGGGCCTGGAACATACATTCATAATATTGAGGAGTCAAAATAATGCAGTGTTAAAGAGAAAACTAAAATGGCCGGTTTTGGGGAACTATCAAGTCTCTTTGAGCATAGAACGGCAAACGGCGTACCGGTTCAGACCAACCGAAGAATTCCCCCACCCTTCCCCCCATTCTCAATGCCTAATTGCAAATCCCTATCTAACCCTCAAAAGACCACCAATGCATGTAATATCAATGTAATGATGTTGCTGATGTCATGGGCTTCGCCATTCGCTTACAATCAATGATCTATTAATTTATTTGCCAACCTCACCCATAAAATACATGTTTAATTTATAGAATAATAATATTATTATGAAACATTCAAAAACTTTACTTACAGGATCATGTTTATTCATATGCTTATTATAAGTCCGTAGCAGTCGAAAGCCTCTATAGCACAAATGACATTGGTACTTCGCTTCTTGATAGTTCCTTGACTTCTGGCGTTCCTGTATGAGTGTGTACTGTTCCTCGTGACCGATGGGTGAGTAAATAAGGAAGTCATCCGGTAACTTACTGCTTTTCCTCACTGGTTTTAAGGTAACAACACCTTTTACCCTTTTCCCTCCCCTAGTTTTAATCCACTTCGGTCTGGATTCGTACCAGTTTGCATCTTTTTTGCTACCGTTTTGTAAATGTGTCCATATGTAGTGTTGTTTTGCTGATGTTCTGGAATTTTTCAATTATAACATAAATATTCAGCTTGCTTATTTATGTTATTTAGCTTAGTAGTAGTAGTAGTTTCAAACTTACCTATCAAAACTGACTTCAGGACATTTCCTACAAATATACTTGTACAGATGTTTTTCAGTCATATGAGTTTTCAATAGAAACTCAGTCTTATAGTAATATCGACAGAGTCCACAATGGTAGTTACCACTCACATGCTAAAAAAAGTGAAAGAGAATAAAATTAATAAAGATAAATTCGTAAATTTTTTACTTATTGTACTTATTTTAGAGTATATTTTTACTGTACCAACCTTGTCATGCATACGTAAATGTATATTCATCCGTTCTTCATTGTTGTAGGCCTTATTGCATACCTTACAATGATATTTACCCTGAGTGAACATCTTGTATACCTCTATTACGGCCTTAGCTTCTTTAACAGATATTGGAACTATCGTAGCATATTCTTCATCCATCGCACTACCATCCACTGCAGTACTCTCAACTTTAAACATTGACAAGTTCGTAAGATCCTGCTCATTATCACTGGCCATGTGATCATTGTCTAACAATGAATCAGCCATTTCAGCATCTACATTTGTGTTATTTTCAAAACTTTGCGACTCATTTTTCGGCAATTCGTATTCTATATTAATTTGCTCTTGTACTACATCATCAATATCTCTCTTAATTTTTTCTTCAGTAAATTCTAAAACCTCTGTGTTGGTGACTTCATTGAAAGTGTCATCAGCAGTGAGGGTACTGCAATGAACTACATGTATATCATTTTTGGCAGTGTTACACCAGTCAATGCGGTTTTGTTTTTTCCATTGGAATTTGACTTGCTCAAAGCGAGGCTTATCGGGACTCATAAAGGAAAGTGGCGGCATTATATCAAGGAGGTTTCGGTCTAAGTTTGAAAGGATTGTTTCGTTAATCTGTAATGGGGAAAAAAGGTTTTTTAAGTACTGATCATAAGACAAAAACTATTTAATTTGCAGATAACTATAGGTACTCGCCATCTACCTCATCATTTCTGTTTAAAATTTCTTTTAAAGCATAATGAGCACGTTGGCATCTACTCCTAAACTTTATGAATTTTCTCACAAGTGCTGCGCATTGGAAGCATAAATAATCCGGCATACCACCCTCGAGGCGGGTCTGTAAATAGAAAAGTATTCCAATTATACCAAGCGGAAGATAAAACCAAAATATTGGTATTATTATGACGCCCGCAGCAGAAATAAACAATGCATACCTTGATACCAGAAATTATTTGGAATTCTTGACGTAATTTACAACTGTTCAAACTTATTAATTTAACATTTGCGCTAAAACACACTACGCACGCCTTAAGGTTGTACATTATGATGTATTTATTTCATCATTTACACAAAAATATGCTTTTTATAAGCAATCACTGTTCAAAGCATTTTGATTTATTTGTCATTTCACTTTTGACAAATAAACACATTGACAGTGAAAACTTGACATTAAAATTGTCTATGATTATACCATAGTTGCTAGTGTTTGTTTCTATTTCATACTTTGTCTTTTGTGGTTGGTTATAAAAAATATATTTACTTGCATAAATGTTATTTAGGGTAGAGGCATCAGCCATCGACACTTTGACGACTTGCCTTTATTTCTTTGTATTATTTCTTAATACTGCATGGTTGGCGCGGTGACTGGGCAACTGGCTGCCGCGCAACATGTCGTGGGTTCCGGTTCCACACTGAATTTTTGTGTCATTTACATATTGTGATGCTTGGTCTGGGTGTTATGTGTATAAGTAAAATTATATCTTTGTAAATGCACCCACGACCCAGGAGAAAATTCACTCTTTGCCCACCTCGTGAGAGCTCCAAGGTGGGTAAACCTAACACTCAACAAATAACAACACCCCGGTGAACAAAGGTGAACAGTAGTAAAAAAAAATTCCCGCTGCACATCTAGGTGGTCTCACGAGGTGTACCCGTGAGATGTAAGATGGGCAAAGAGCGAGAAAATTTAAGTGTGGGGCAATGTTGTTTTTTTAAGTGTTGCTTGTAAACCAATGCTTCAAAAATTACAACTTAAACTTACTAAAAAATATATGCATATACATACATTTAAATATAAGTGAAATAGAGCCATGCTTAGGCACGAATGGGTCGGCTCGACCCGAGTGATACCACCGCCTCAAAGAAAACGGCGTGTAACAACCACAGTGTTGTGTTTCGCCGTGTGAGTGAGGTTACCGGAGGCCTAATCCTTCCCTTCCTCCAATCCCTAAATCTCTAAATCCTCAATCCCCAAAAGGTCAGCAACGCACTCGTAACTCCTCTGTTGTTGCGGGTGTCAATGGACGGCGCTTATTGCTTACCATCAGGTAATCCGTTTGGTCGTTTGCCGACCTATCACATAAAAAAAGAAATAAATAAAAGATGTGTATTCTCATTACATTAACTATAAATTTCATTGCAACATTGCATCTTGTGGTCTGGGTGTCAGTTCATTGGCCTCCTTGCATTGATTGCATAAAAATCATATCAGACACTCAAACCACCCTAGATTCCTAGATTTGCTAATTATAATTATACCTACTTATTGAACTGATATTTTGCAGATAAGTGTAAATCGCGTGACTTGCAAAATTATGATGGTAGGTATATGTATAGAGACTTAGAGAGTGATACAACTAAGACATCATCTTCCTGTCCCGTTTTATTTGGGGTCGGCGCAATATGTTTTTTTCTTCCATTCTGCCCTGTCACCCGTCACGCTATCACTAACTCCTCTGTCTTCCATATCATTCCTCACACAATCCATCCATATTTTCTTTGGTCTCCCTTTCCCTCTCCATCCATCCACATTTATACTTAGTCATGGCTTTTTTTACAGATACAACTAAGACATAGAAGAGAAAAAAAAACGGCACACCTCAGAGTTGAAAGTACGGCGTGTTGCGTTCCGCACGCGCCACAAAGAGCCATTAGACTACCATAGATGGAGGAGCCCAATGGGACCGATGTGCAGCTAGCGTTACGGGTGCAAGCGAAATAATCAAAGGCTAATAAAGCATACTGAAAATAATGTACCGCAGCCTCGGACCAGAGCAGTAGGGGCGGGGTGGTTTTGAGTCAGTTAGAATTCGACCCTCTCTCTCTCTCTCCTCTCTGCAAACACACTTTTCGGTATAGTTTTTTCGCTTCAACTCGGAAACTACGTCTTATTAAAAAAATGAAACCATAATGAATGGAAAATCGCTTCTTTATGTTCTTTTTTTGGTACCTACTACCCGTCTAATAGGTACGTAATTTTTATAATGTTTTTTATTTGTTTGATTTTTTGGTTTAATTGTCGAGTTAATTTGTATTGTGTACCCACTTATTTGTCAAATAATTTGTGTCTGTTATTGTTTGTGCTGAATAAATGTGTTATCTATCTATCTGTCTCCTTCGCCTACAAAATACGTTCAATAACTTATTGCCCTATTACTGACCCGGACCATAAAATAAATATACCCATAATGGTGACAACTATTTATGTCTAGTTTTACAAACTTATTATTGCAACCTCCTTTCTTTAATTGAAACCACATAACTAAATAATTTCGTTCAAATAAGTTTGTTACATCAAAATAATTTGATAAATACTCTACACATACCTACTTTCTTATATTAAAAATCACCTTTGTCTTAAGAAAATACTAGCAAACTTATTTTAGAAATATCGATAACCTTCCTAATCTACGATAATACGGTAGTTTCCTACTAGTCAAATTCAATACTTTTATCGAAATGTCAAAAACGACACTTTTCTATGAAATTAAGTAGTATGGAATACTGAGGTATGACGTCATAGTATTTTCACGTCAAATAGCTTACTTATTCCATAATAATTAGCTACAAAATATCTAAAACTTAGTGTACCAATCGATTGATGAATAAAAGTATAGTTATTCTTCATTTTTTTATTTTATTGAAACGTCGAATTTATTTATTTTTGACCTAGGAAACTACCTAATTAAAAAATTGTTTTTTTAAATATACATATATAAATAAATACTTAATTGACTTTTATATTTGAATGGTTTTTTTGGTTGCTCTTTATCAATAGGATTAGTTATTGGTTATAAATATGTAGTAGTACCTAAATTCTGAGAAATTTATTTTCAGTCGAACCTTACGGCGGATACGATATTCGGTAGATCGTAGTGCTACAAGAGTCTGCTACGCCGTAGTAGGTACTTGTCTACGTTTTACGGTGTAGCCTACTATACTACGATGCAGCTACATTTTGTAGCAGTGCACAGTAATGTAGCATACTTGCTACGTTTTTATAATATTATTATCTTCTAGCCAACTGGTCCAAGAGATTCAGTAAGTTGATAGAGGACTGTACATTTTTAAAGTAGTTACACTATTGTGAGATATGCGTATTGTAGTGTAATGAGTTCTCACTCTTAGGCCGTTATCCCACTAGGCGTTTTACGAGCGTTGACGTTGACCTAGGTACAGAATAGTACATTTTAGGTCGATTTTTTTGGTAGTTGGTATAGTTTTATTCGCCATGGTACATCCGCCATTTTGACTCTCACGTCAACGTCGCGTTTGCTCAGCGTCGCTCAACGACGTAACCGCCACGTCTTTCGCGTGCCGAGCATTAACGTCCCCTAAACGCGACGTTGATGACGCGGCTGCGCAACATTGAAGCTGCGCGGACGTTCGAGAGACGCCGACGCTCGTAAAACGCCAGTGGGATAGCGGCCTTCGTTGCTATATTTATTTACATGAAAGTATTTAAAACTTCAGGCAAGGCTGCCGTGCGCTCACCCCAAGCACGGGTCGTCGCGGACAACGTTACAAGTAGTTGCAAATTTAAATTAAAACAACGGCTTTTTATATACTCAATAAAAGTATTTTATTTGTCTCAAAATACTGAAGCACCATATGTGGAGTAGGTCTGTACATTGGTTGGTTAAATAGTTGTATGTTTTATAAAATCAAAAAACTTGTTTGATTAGATATTAGGCATAGGTAGTTATAGTGGATTATGTATTACAATTTTGTAAACCAATATAGGTAGGAACTTAACACTCATAATATATTTTAAGGGTGTGCAATGACCGCCTTATTTATTTATAACCTGCCTCTGGCCTTAGTTAATCAATAAAACCATATCAAAATGATACCACAGATATGGCAAACCATGATCGGAATAATAATATAATATAAACATTTACAAGTTAACAATTCATCTTCAAAACCAAAACAATAACAAAACACACACACAAAATAATAATTTTACAAAAATAATATCAAAAAAGTATTTTTCATTTGCAGTTCTTGACAACTTCTGATCAACGATGCTTATATGTATAAAAGTGGCTCAAGTTATCAAACGAAGACCATGATATTAATTTCAGTAAAAAAACATTTATAAAATAGGCTTCTTATTTTGAATTCCTATCCTACCATAAACAAGGGAGTGAGACAATTTGTTTTTTGATGTGGCTAATAAAAATGTTGCTATTAGTACAAGTGCGTCCTGGGTCCATGGGTAGGTTCCATAGATAGAATTTGTAGACTTGGTTAATTTTTGCATTGTACCGATTTACTCCTTACAAACCTTTGTTGTAATAAACTGACGTTATCTTTGGTGACAATTTTAATGCGTTCTCCTGAAAAAATAATAAAAGAATATTGGTTTGAAATACTTAAATTAGAATCATTTAAACTTTAAAAAAAACGTAGATATTCTACTAGTTATCTTAAAAGGTCAATTAAATGTAGTGACTGATTGAATAAAACAAACAATCATATTCCAATTAGACCCTTACAGACACTTTTGAACGTCAAACAAAATTTTGAAGATATAAGTAGTGTCGCAGTCTGTCGGTGCAGTCCTCTTAGTAAAGCTCGTTCCAAAGTGTAGATTCCGATGGAAAAGAACGAGTAAGAAACTCCATGGTTACTCTTTTTAAATCAGTTTCACATACAGATTTCTAGTACGGAGAACTCTTTTATAGCAGAGTGCCCATGGTTCATTTGTAGTGGCTGAAAGAAAAGATGTTTAATAAACATACATAATGATATTTACCTTTATTTCTTTTTCAACAGCATTAATGCTCATAGTAGCTTTCTGATCGAAGAAAGCGCAGCCAAGCGGTGTGGCAAATGTGACACACAAAAATACAAAACCTATTTGAAACGGTATTACGGCCAATGGATAGTGACAGAATAAACCTTTCTGTACTGCCGTGTTCGTAAGAATCGGGACCAGTGCTGGAAAATTGAGAAATAACTTACTACTTTTTTTATGTAATAAGTCGGCAAACGAGCAGACGGATTATTTGATGGTAAGCAATCAGCGCCGCCCATGGACACCCGCAACGGAGGAGTTACGAGTGCGTTGCCGACTTTTTAGGGATTAGGGATTTGGAGATATAGGGATTGGGGAAGGGTCCGGGAAGGGGAAGGATTGGGCCTCCGGTAACCTCACTCACACGGCGAAACACAACGCTGTGGTTGTTTCACGCCGGTTTTCTGTGAGGCTGTGGTATCACTCCGGTCGAGCCGACCCATTCGTGCCGAAGCATGGCTCTCCCACACTTGAAATATACACACTTATATTACAACATATCGATAACAAATTAATTTGGGATAAATCTATCTCTACCTAAGCAAATCATATAACATAACCAGCCTATAAGTACCCACTCACTGCTGAGCAAAGGCCTTTCCTCAGACGGTGAAAGTTAGATCATTAAATTGTTTGTTCAAAGCGGTTTTAAACTTATAAGGTCAGGTTTCCTCACGATCTTTTCCTTCACCGTATGTCAATGTATCTAAATAATCATAGAAAGTGCATATAACTCGGAAAAAGTCACATTGGTACTTTAGTCCAGTCATTTTAGGTTTCTTCTGGGGAAAAATTCCTAGTGAGCTGAATTTTTGTAAACCGTTAATTTTACAGAAAAACTAGGTATAAGAGACATTTTTTGTAGACAATTTTATGAGGAACAATTTTTATAATGACCTCATTGACGTCCGATCAATAGGTCGCGAAATATTTGCAAAAAACTGATTTTCGTGACCTTTTGACCTCTGTATTTTTTTCAGCCGACACGATAGCGATGTCGATTTTTCACAACTTGATAATAACGCCGTAATAAAGGTGTATACAAAAATTCAGCTCACTAGGAATTTTTCCCCAGATTGGGGTATAAAATGCCTAAAATGACTGGACTACTTGCCAGGTTTCGAATACCCAAGGTTTAGTGTTGATTTACAATATCAGATGTACAAACATGATTTTTTTAACATATTGATACCTGTACCCTCAATGTATAAACCTCTTGTAGTCGTGAAGGTTTTAACAAATTCTTATCTAGAGAAAGCTCAGAATATACTGTACGGTTGATCAGAACCGGGGAAAGGCGTTGCAATCAAAATCCTCAAATTTGCTGGTGATCAACTGTTATCAAATCGTTTCTCAACCGTGGGGATCATATCGCAAATTTTTAATATATTAAAATGAATCGCAAAATGTGGAAAAATTTTGTCAATTTTTTTTGTTGTATTTATTACTGTCAGGAGGATATTATCAAAGAAAATTTTAGAAAAGTCGAGAGGAAAGTTGGTATAATGTGACCCTTTCGTTGTTTGCGATATACTTAGTTGGAACCGTGGAAAGAGGGGGCAAGCCGCTAGTTTCTTAAAAATGGGAGGTCATTATTCAGTAGCCAACTGACTATATTGAGGTTAATGAAGAAGTGAAAGAAGCAATTACTTACTCATGCCAGGAATCGCCATCGCCACTCGCGATATGCACACAAGAAGGATCCCAGTACGTGCAGCGATCTTGGAGTCACCAACTTTCTGCCCTTCTGGGGCGAATACGGGCGTACCGCTCATTAACTCACTGCAAATAATGCAAATAATGCTTAACTGCTGACTTTGTTGCAAAGGGCTTTTAACATCTCAGGCAAAAATTAAGATACTTATATTTTTTTTAAGAAATAGGTCGGCAATCTGGCAGACCGATTACCTGATGGTAAGCGATCGGCCGGATGGGGGGAGGGTTAGGGATTGGCCTTCCGGTAACCCCACTCACATGGCGAACAAAGCTGTGGTTATTTCACGCCGGCTTTTTGGGAGGCCGTGGTATCATTTCGACCCATTTGTGCTGAAGCTTGGTTCTCCCACTCTTAATGAGACAAGCAATCGCTTTCTACCAGAGTTTTTCACACCTCTTAACAAGAGATTGGACTTTTACTTCTTAAACAAAAATATGGTACTAACTTGCTTCTCATCATAGGAATATTGATGAAGTTAGCACCGCATACAGCTGCGAAGGGCACCAACCGCGCGAACAGTGGATTCATGCCCTATAAATTATAGATTGAGTAGTAAAACCTCATTCGTTGTTTTTTATGTCATAGGTTGGCAAACCAGCATACGGATTACCTGGTAGTAAGCAATAAACGCCGCCCATGGACATCCACCGAAAAAACGTAAGAGTTACGAATACGTTACCGCTCTTTAGTGGTTTAGGGTAGTAGGGCAGATTTAGGGATTGGGGAGGGGTTCAGAGGGGAAGGATGGGACCTCCGGTAATTTTTATTTTAAACTTAATGCACAACCAAAATTGTACATAAGGCACACTTAATGCAATGAACATTCTTCCAGTCTCACTCATAAGGCGAATCACAACGCTGTGGTTGTTTGACGCCGGTTTCCTGTGAGGCCGTGGTATCACTCCGGTCGTGCCGAAGTATCGTTCTCCTACACTTAGAAAATACGTTTTATGCCCAATTCTTAGTAAACTTAATTATATCCTACCTTAACCTTACTGTTGAGGTATAAAGCCGTAGATAGAGCACCGCCACAGGCTGCACAATAAGATGCAAGCAACTGCCTGCCATGGGGAAAAAAAACAAAAGTCTTATCAAATGAACGAGACGCCACTTAACGAGCTGAAATGTGTTGGGAAACATAGTAGCACGAGCGTCATTTCCCGTAGGCTAAAAAGACCGCTTCTCAAGTATGACATTGCTATTGCAGAAAAAAGAGATAGAAAAGTTCTTACTTCGTTGTGATAACTGCGTCTCCAGAGCGATTAGTGTAATTAACTATGGCGTTAAACGTCTGATTTAACCATTGCCAAAAGACGATTGCGGGCTTTGTTTTATAAAAAGTTATCATACCTGAAAGGAATGTTAACAATTCAGAACAATTTGAATTTTATTCTTATTAAGGGCCCAAACTACAGTCTGCGGCATCGAGTGCCAATCTAGTGTATCAAAGTAAAAATAATCAAAGTATCAAAGAAAAAATAAAAATCTAGTGTATAAAAGTGACTGCGCGTGAGTTTTTTCAACCTTCTTCGAAGTATAAACTTTCTGATGACATTAGAGCCGCCTCAATTTGTTTTGGGTGAATAGAATTTGCTAGATGGACTGACGAAATCTGCAGGGTGGCTGGCAGTGGTTGGATGAGAAGAGCTGGAAATCGAGCTCATGATTATGATGATAATTAATATAAACGAGGCGGCCAAAGTTATTTAGTGTGATGAAAAAGAACTGCAGGGCAGAGCAGATGAAAAATACTTTAATAATACAACTGTATGCAGTGACGTACTTACACCCTGTGATTATAGCGTTCATAGGCGCCTGCGCTGACATACGACCGATTCTGAGCATTTTCTCGCCTGTGTCTGGGTGGAATGCACTGTCGTACAAGTATTTAGCTGCCCATAACTTATCTTCGTCGTAACCATGTGGCAATACTTTTGTTTTCCTAAAAATATAAGAGACTGAAGCTTGCCCTGTTTGCTGAATGGTAACTTTAGGTGTACCGCGCAAGAGGTACCAATATAGTGTCATTTTGTATTACTTCGAATTGGGAGAATAGCAACTACTTGTATATTTTTTTTATTAAAAAAAGTTTCTCTACAGTATTATTTTCTTCTTGGTGCGTTTACAAACATACAATTTCACATACACATCACAACCAGACCCGGAACAACAATTTTTAGATCGCACTAAAGTTGTAACGTGCGGGAATCGAATACGCGGCTCGTTGCACGGCAGCCAGTTGCCCAGCCACCGCGCCAACCGTGCAGTCAATATAACTCAATGAGGTTATCATAGAATACCTTCATTTTTTATTTCGACACTCTCAGTAAGTCTATAAATATATACGATCTCGTAGCATGACATTGTATGACATTACATTTTATCCACCGAGACATGATATTGATCCACCGAATCGCTGCCAGTACCTACTCAATATTTCTCGATGGTAAATACCGACGTAAAAAATAATAAAACACATTTTAAGTTCAAACTAATAAATGAATAGACGTAGAAAAGTTCGTAAAGGAACATTTTATAAAAGCATTGAAATAGCTATACTCACGAGCTTTGGAATGATCTTCCGGCGGCGGTATTCCCGAACCGATACGACCTTCAAAACTTCAAGAAACGAGCGTGCTCCTTAAAAGGCCGGCAACGCACGTGTGATTCCTCTGGTGTTGTAGTCCATGGGCGGCGCCGATCGCTTACCATCAGGTGATCCGTCTGCTCGTTTGCCTCCAATTCCATAAAAAAAAAACGAAGGAACTTAGGTGCTAAAGCATGTTAAGTAAACGAACCTGTACTCCTCAACCACCCTTTTAGCCATATCCAAGTCTTCATCACTAGCTAAACAGTTTAAAGGATTGGTGATCAATAGAAAATGTTTGACACGGCCCATGTATGTACTCTGGTCCCATTTGGGCTTACTTAAATCTATAGGCTTGGCCATCGCTTACAGCGCTGCGAAGAAAAACAGATTTTGTTACAGTTACAGTATGTATCACACGATGATAGATCACATCATCAGCCTATGAGTGTCCAGTGCTGAGCAAAGGCCTCTTCTCACACGGAGACCTTTAGGGCATATCACCAAGCTTGCTCAAGGCGAATTTCGAACTTGTGGTGTGTAAATAATCATAGAAAGTATCTACATATAACTCAGAAAAAGACACATTGGTACTTGCCAGGTTTCGAACCGTGCGGGTGAAGCATGAGGAGCGAGAGCCTCAAACTCCAGGCCACCCCGGCACTTTACACGATGATAGATACTTCATACAAAAGCCGAGCAGTTACCAACCCTACAGCGAAGTCTGAAGGTTCGTTTTTGTGGTAATAAATTTGAAACCTCATCGTAACCAACAACATGTATTCTGTTCTAAGTTCAGCAAGAAATACGACATGTATTTCAAGAAACGAATGACAAATTGATGACAAAAATGATAACGATCACATCGTCCATGACTCTCGTTTCTGAAGATTACCAAACTATGCAAGTACTTACCTAGTAAAAAGGCGGTAATTTAAAGTAAACTTCAGTTCAATTCATACACTCCATGCATTTATTAATTCAAAAAATAAATATGATAATCCCATTGTTTAATTTTGTAAATATTCTATGAAAATTACTCTAAAAGTGATTCTAATTACAAAATTGACGTTTGTTTTTTTTTAATGATCATACATAGAAGAAGGTATTATTTTGTTTCTTTACACTATGAATATTTTGTGATCAAAGATCATAATACCCGCTTAGAATAATCACCCGTTTAAACATTATTACAGATTTCCAGAGATCAAGCGAGAATAAAGTCTAGTTCTGGACTAAACCTGTGAAATCGACATTATTCCACTTATTTAGAAGTCGTTATAGCGTGACCTCAGAATACAGAGCGTGACTTACTGTGGTGACTATGATTTGGAGAAGAAATCGGTTTCGAAAATGTTTCAAACATGCTTATGAATTTATCAATGAAATTAATAAGAAAGTAAAAAAAATAATGGATTTGGGTGAAAAATTCAATCAGCTATGAAGAATCCGCTGAATATAGACTGACATTAGACAAAAAACTTTAAGGTTACTCCTTGCTCCGGGGGTCTTATTTCAGTGTGGGTAAGAGAAAGAGCTATACAAGTTGTCTAGTTCTGTCTCTTACCCACACTGAAGTAATATTAAAACAGTCTTACTTTGAATGTCATGGTGGAAATAAATGTGATAACTTGATCATTTTGATGAAAATTTATAGTAGCTGTGTAGCTAGCATAAACATTATATACTTTTTTGTATTGGGGAAAAATCTTCAAATGGCTTTTCTCGCCCAGATAAAGGTGAGAGGGAGTGTCAGATTCTTACTGACTCAAACCCTCCTTTTTCCTGCTTTTGAGGGCCTACCATGACGTGTTAAAGCGTGAATCTTTCGGGCGAGAAAGAGGGATGCACTCGGGAACATTGTAGCTATCAATAAGTAAAGGATTTTAGGAATCCGACCAGTGGTTCCAATAATTACCCCCTACATACAAACTTACAAATTTTACCTCTTTATAATATTAGTTATTTTCAATTAATTTAATATGTACCTATGAGTCACGAAAGTTACTATTCAGAGATTGAGGTTGACCACACAAAACTTTCGAGGTGTGATATATTGTTTAGATATGCTTTACCCGAGAAAATAATTTGTTAATAACTTGATAATTTTATAAAAACTACTAGCGATCCGCCCCGGCTTTACACAAGTGAAAAGGTGACTTATTATCGTATCAATGCCGCAATTTCTCCACTATTTAATGGATGTTAAAAAACTGAGATCCGGGCAATTAGTAAAATGGCTATTAAAAAATAAGGGTCGATCGTGATCGAAAATTTCGTCTAAAAATAATAAAAAAATTCGGGGTCGACTACCCATAACATTTAGGGGGATGAAAAATAGATGTTGGCGGATTCTCATAGATACCGGATAAGCACAAAAATTTCATCAAAATCTGCCAAGCTGTTTCGGAGGAGTATGGCAACGAAAACTGTGACACGAGAATTTTATATATTAGATTTTGTTTAAGCATTTAAACATTGTGCACCTTTTTTAGAGTTGCCCTACTACTAGTCTACTAGCATTGTGTGTGCGTACTAGCATTTTCTTCTGTAGCGGGTGCCTTTACAAACATACAGCTTCATATACACATCACACCCAAACCCGGTCACGGCGCGGCAGCCGCCCAGCCACCTCGGCAACCAAATCATCAGATATCTCACCCTGTGGAGAGCGTCATACTCTTATTGATTGAAAACCACCTCGTTGCTTAATTCTGCTCCAGGCCGGACCACCTATTGTACACATTTTTTTTTTGTAAATTGAGCTATGCAATTGGGTAGTTTCCTAGGTGAAATTTAAATTAATTCGACGTTTCAATACAATAAAATACTGAAAAATAACTAACTATACTTTTATTCATCGATCGATCGATACACTAAGTTTTAGATTTTTTTAGCTAATTATTAAGAAATAAGTACGCAAAAATTTTATGACGTCATAACGCGGTTTTTCATACAAATTTCATAGAAAAGTATCATTTTTGACGTTTGGATAAAAGTAATGAATTTGACTAGTTGGTAACTACCGTATTATGCGGTGTACACTAAATTATATTTAAATAATAAAAAATAGATTTCTTTCTTACTTTTCCCGCATTAATCCGTAAGACAATCAACTTATGTTTGTGTTTACTATAATCACATTATCAGGGAGAAAAAACAGCTCATAAGAGAAAAAAAAACAAAAATAACAATTTACGCAGATGTTTATTAGGACAATTTTATGTGTCTAGCTACTTAAAACATGTATTTTAAATAAAAAAATATAAATAATTATACAATTTATAGTGACGAAGCGAGCCAATCATTATAGGAACAATAGAAACACATTCACAATTGTTTTTTTACTCATATCAACATTAATTATAAACAAAATGATTAAGTTTTATTTAAAAGATATACCTAAAAATCACAACATTATTGTCAATGGTAGTTACGGGAATTGACACAAGGTTATAGGGATACATTATAATATATAATTTATATAACAATTATATACATAAATAATATCTTTGGAATGTTTACACATTATTGCTCATTTTGATAGTATACATCACTGAAATCAGATCGTTAACTAACAAACAGAATAAAAATTGAGCTTTTTTCTTTACATTTTTTTAGTATAAGTATCACACTAAAATAAGCTCAATGAAATCCTACAACGGAACTCTAAGGCTCTTTCAATATGACCAAGCGACAAAACATTTCACCATTCCTTGAAATGAAAAAAAAAAAAAATATTAAATATATTTTTACAAACTACATAATAATCCGTAATTTAACAAATATCAATAATAAAATATATGTAAACGATCAACAAGCAACAATAAAAATAAACAAATCAACATAATTACATGAAACTTTTGTACATTAATATTAAAATCAGTTTTTGTTTGAAATCAAGCGTCAGGACACAATGCCTTTTGATCTCAAACATAATATACATTTCAGTTTAGCTGCACTACAATAAACCATAGGCAATTTATAGCGAAAAGAAAAATGCAGTAAACACATGTCTCTTAAATATTCGATGGAACGGAAAGTAAGTTAAAAGAGAAAATATGAAGCTATGTATAAAATTATTATAATAAAACTTGACCCGCAAACTTTAATTAACCAATGTTTTCAAACCTTTTAAACCTCACCTGGACTTATGTCAAGTATATAAATATGTCAAGACCAAAATTAGCCATATCGGACCAGCCGTTCTTGAGATTTAGTGAAGCAGAAGAAGAATATATCATATGTATTTATATATTAAAGGAACATTTTGAAAATACAGCACGAACGTGTTTTACGGTTATATACCTAATATAATAAAATTGCCCATGGAATAAAATTGCAGTGCAACCTAAGCCTAAAAAAAATTACGATAGATATCGTATTTTTTCATACAAAATGCAAATAGCCTTAACAACTATCATAACAATAGCATTTTCTAATGAACCATTTTTCTAAAATACGCTCGTCAAACAAACTTTCTTTGGAATTAACCAGACACCAATTAACTTAGCACATAATTTAGTACAAATAATATAAAAAATAATTTATAAATGCAATTTGATGCTGAAAACAAATATCATCTAAGTTCGAAAGACCTTCCTACTTTAAACTTCTCAAATTATATCTACAAAATAAAAAAAAAATATTGCTCGAAGTTGTCAACATTTTTAAGAATATTTGACGTGTGGTACAAATTAATGTATTTGCGGTTTTTATACGTAAATTTACGCATATTCAATTTCATACACAGATTTTACCATTTCAATATAATTATGAACTGTATTTTTACCTTAAATTTTAAATAACCAGAAAAAAATTATTTAATAAATATAAATCTGTATACGTTGTGCGTTTGGTAAGTGTAAATAAAGTGAGGTACTGATATTTAAAGTTTAGTAAAATCATCGATGGACTATATCAGTTAGGGTTGACATGTAGCCAGGACTGAAGGCCGACCAGACCTGCGACCTTTCAAAATATTATACCGAAATAAGTGATCATAATTTATAATCACTAAATAATTCGAGGCTCGACCTGCATAGGCAATCAAAATATACATATGTATGCCTGGCTATAACAGTACGCTTGGCAACCCTAACTGCAGTCCATAATCGCGCTATTCGTACATAGCGCGCTATTTTGTACACTGACCAAATTTTACCAAAGGTTACTTTTTTCAGACATTTTTATGCATTTTCGTGTGCATTTACCACATTTTTTTCAGCTAATTTTATATTATATATATTTGGTTTACATTTGTCAAACTAATTTGTTCGTTTATCGTTTTTTTTTACATAATTGTCGTTTGATTTTAAATTCTTGAACATCAGCTAAAGCTATGGAATGGATTTCAACTAACATACCACAGTCCAGTGGAATGTATCAACGCTTTAAGATGCAACTAAAAATGTTAACAGACCTATCTACGTTTATCATTGAAAAACGATCTCTATATTTATCGTCTCTAGAATTGACATTTCTAAGTTGCAAATTTGATGATGAGTACAGGTTTGTAAATACTAAGTGGAAAGATAACTCTGTTGGAAAATGAATTAGTTCTTAGGGTGCTTGTGAAGATTCTAACACTAACACTGAGTGCCTCCTTCGAGTTTGCTTAACGTTAAGACGATCGACATGATTATGACGTCCGGCGTTCTGATTGGTCTGCTTCAAGTTAACCAACCAATCAAGGGCTACACGCCTTAAGGTTTCATTAACACTCACAATAGGCAATCTGGTCTAAAGAACACCTGACATAGTTTTCTACTAATGGCAAAAAATATAATTAAACAAAACAGAAGAAAAATAACTTTTTTGTCGGTTCTGACCCAGTAAGCATGCTTATTTGCGACTCCATTGCTGAACAAGTAATGAGCAACATTACCTTGAGTAACATACAAAGGATCTTTCAAAATTCTTACAAACCCTTGTTAAAATACACTGTGTCCGTCTTTGGCGATAGTTTTAAGGCTTTATCCTGTAACAAAGAAAATTTAAATGAATTGTGAATTAAACGTGAAAAAGTTGATGCGGAAGAAGACGACCCACAAAAAATTGAGAGTAAATAGGACAGGATAGTTGAGACAAAATGGAGTATGTGAGAATATTTATGCCTATGAATTAATTATAAGTGTCTGGCAAACATCGTATATTGTGTGGGGTGCTTCGGCGAGAATGGACCGACTCGACTGAAGTGAAATCACAGACTCACAGACAACCTGCGTAAAAAACTTTTACGTTTCGCTGTGTGAGTCATTCCCCAGTACCTCTTCCATCCCCTATTACAAAAAACCTAATCTTACAATTCCTAACCTCCTCCAAATTCACTTGTAACCTCGGTAGTTGCGGGTGTCCGTACGACACCTAGTTGCTTACCATCATAACAAAATTGGGATAAGAAGAGCAAGAAAATGATCAATAAATAAAAGAGTAGAGAGAATTTGTAGTTTAATTACAATCTCATAGGAGATAACGGAAGAAAGAGAACATATTTTATTCTATGAACTAAGAGGGCAAAGGGCAGAAGAAGATTAGAAGGATATTCTAGAAGTTCACGAATGGGCCGACCTGAAAGGAGCTCAAAACCAGGTTAAAAAACGCTCGTGTTATGAGTCACCGTGTTAATGAGATTACCAGGCACCCAAACAAAGGCCTTTATCGTATTTGTACCTCCTCTGGTGTTGCTAGTGTTCAGTACAGCCCTGAATGATTACCATCACGCGGCGTGATCTATGTTCTCGTTGTTTTCTGATTAAAAATATGCAGATTCCTGCTTGTTCTCCTCTAATCGAATCGAAGTACACTTTGGAACGAGCACCTAGCTTTATAGACGAACTGCTGTTTAAGTTTTAATTGGAAAAAATGATTTTGTATTTGACTTTGGCTTTGAAATACAGAATTTCTTACCTTTAAGTTAGCTTCAATAGTGTTGATACTGATGTTGGCTTTCTGTTCGAAGAAGGCGCAGCATAGAGGCGTGGCGAACGTGACACAGAGACACACCAGCGACAGCTGGAAGGGAACGATGGCCAGCGAGGACGGGTGGAAAATTTTCTTTTTAATCGCCGTCTGTGTTAAAACGGGTACCAGAGCTGAAATAAGAAAGAGATCATTATTCGTGAACAATTGACAATTTGGAGCGTACCTCCAGCTTGGATTCAAACTAGGGTGCGGAGCGACAAGAATTAAAAACCTGTCTTCCTTTCTGCGAAGTAGTAATAAACTAAGGAAGACGTGGAGAGAGTGAGGGAACAAATCTTCCCACACCCCAGTCGCCAAAGAAGACGTTCTGGGCGTCGGTTATCGCGAGATGACTGTCCATCATAAGCGCGGGTCTCCGGACGGCGAGGGTGACTCGGCACTACATCAAATTCAGATCTAAGCGTTCGATGTTCATTCAGAGGGCCCATTAGACTCGATGCCCGGCTGGGGTTGTAGATAAAACCGATACTTTACCGGCCCTGGCTCTCTGGCAGTAAGAGTCTGACACTCCTTTTCATAATAAAAATTCTGTTTAGTATTTTTAAGTTTATCGCAAAGAGACACACCCCACGTATTTGATTTGCAATAGACAAGTATAGAAAAGGAAATAGCGTGCTTATTATTTACTCTCCAAAGCTATAAGTGCGAAATGGAAATTTTAAAACAATACATTGAGTGATTTTCATTTGAAAATGACTTAAAACTTACTCATTCCCGGTAAAGCCATGCCCACTCTGGATATGCAGACTAGAAGGATGCCCGTTATCGCCGCGATCTTCGATTCACCCACCCTTTGACCGTCAGGTGTAAACACCGGCGTACCGTTCATTATTTCACTGTAAAGTTGAAAACAAAACATCTCAAATCTTCGTATAAATATCTTATCATCACCATCTGCTTGCCCATTGCCGAGGAAAAGTTTATTCACACAAGGACAAGGTTTGAGCATTAACCACCACGCTTACCTAAGGCGGATTGGCGATTTCAAACTTGTAATTACAAATTACAAGTCCTGGTTTCATCACGATAATTTCCTTCACCGTATATCAGTGGTATCTAAATAATAATAGAAAGTAAGTACATATAACTCTGAAAAATGACACATTTATACTAGCTAGGGTTCCAGTGGTTCCAACCCGCAGGTTAAGGCGCCCGCTATTCATCCATGAGAACCTCCAGGCCACCACGAAGAAATCTCTAAATAATTTGCCAAATTATAGCTTGTAATAATGTTTGGGTTTAACTTACTTGCTCCTCATCATGGGGATATTGATGAAGTTAGCACCACATACAGCTGCGAAGGGCACCAACCGGGCGTACAGGGGGTTCATTCCCTATAAATAGAAATAAGAATCGATAATAATTTGATGGCTAAGGGGTTATCGATGACATCGGTCGTCACGAAGGACTGAATGATGAAGGCATAAGATCGAAGAGCCGGGTGGAAATTTATTTATTATAAAAAGGTAGGCTCACAGCTTACCTATGTATACAAATTCGTTAAAAGTATTGGTTATAGGCAGCAGGTCTTATACATTAGCCAGTTACGAGCTAACCAGCATTCATAAAATTATGTGTTTGTACAGACAAAATATATTGAAGAGGAAATTGGATGAGGCCCAAGTCTAGAGATGGAAAATACATGGCTGAAGATTACTTATTTATTTATTGAGGGCGGACTGTTATCAAATGCCTTCTTCCTGCCCTAGGTGGGCCTAGAGCACAGTATAAATCAGTATCACTATGAGACTATATGTTCTATGTGCCTTGATGGACTGTACGACTCTTACTGACTAAAAGACGCCCTTGCATTCTAGTCCGAACTTGGTTCGACGTACATTAAGTACTGCTCTTGAATTATTGAAAGAAATTTTAGTAAAGTTTTTGATTTAGAAGCTCACCTATTTTGGTGTGTAGCAAAAAGCGATAACCTTTACCAGTGTAGCCGCACCTCACGACTACATACCTACCAATACCATACTCAAAACCATGTACCAATTTACCTTATATATTTACCTTACCGACGCCACCGAATACCTTACCATACCTCAAAACCAGATACCATATACCTTCCACATACAAACGTTTTTAGACTTTCTGTTATCAACAGAAACATGATAACAATTGTCTTAAAAAGACAGTTTACGTTTTAGACTCTTAACACGAAACGAGAAATATTGTCTTGAAAAAGACAGTTAACGTTTATGACTCTGCCAGAAACAATTATTACGCCGTGCCGAGCGTAGTCGCTTCGAAAGAAGCGGTTTGTCATTTGCGAGCATCGCTAGCGGAGCCGGAGGCGGAGCACCTGCACCCGCCGCGTCTTCAATCTTCACACAGTCTGCACTCGACGACGGCGCGCGGCGAAATGTCGCGCTCTCGGCGCGCGACTCTTTTATATGCAAACGAGAGATCGCGGCGGCGCGGCGCCGCGACCAAAGCGGCGGCCCTCGCCCCGCGCGGCCCGCGCTCGCCGGCGCGTCGCCATTGGTCAACACATACCTAACGGCGCGCGATATGGATTGAATGTACATTTGTAAATATAGATATAAGTAGCAACAATTAGCGAAATAAATCATTCCGAAACACGCATCTCAACGAGTATCATTTACAAGAAGAACCTTCTCGTAGGACAACTAGGCTCTCCTACCTAGTTCCTACAGTGGTGACCCCGACGTGATATTATCGACGCAATTCTGCTGTCGGATCCCTGCAAGAATAAGAATCGCCTAGCACCAAATCAAGCTCGTCGTAATGTCGGTTGAAAAAATGCCGGAACTTTCGAGCGTTTCGACGTCGCTGCGCATCCCACCCATATGGCGCGACAAGATACGACTATGGTTTGCTCAGTTTGAAGCAATAATGTCGCCACAGAAGAAGGGCGACCAAGCCATGTTCGAGCTTGTCGTCGGCCACCTGGAACGACAAGACCTCGACGAAATCAGCGACATTATTCTTCACCCACCCGAGAGAGAACGCTACGAAGCTCTGAAAAACAGACTACTCCAGGTCTACGAAGAATCAGAGCAACGTCAAGTACAACGGCTTCTCTCAGAGATGGAGCTAGGCGATTTAAAACCATCTCAGTTGCTTCGCCGAATGAAAAATCTCGCCGCGGACAACATATCTGACGCTGCACTTCGCATCATGTGGACCAATCACCTGCCACAGTCCGTACGTGCAGTCCTCGCTGTCAGCGATAACATCGCGAAGTACTCAGATATCCACGATCTGGCGATGATGGCAGACAAGATCCTCGAGCAGACGCAACCCCATGGCACAGTCGCCGCTGTCACTGAAAACCCGACATTCCCCCGTGTACAAGCAAGTATCGAAGACAAGATCGATATGCTGACGAGGGAAATCGCTGAACTTAAAGCAGCGCAGTCAAGTCATCGTTGCAATCACCAATCAAGACGACCCCAAAGGTCACGATCCTCGAGCCGATATCGTCCCCACCCCAGACAGCGTGACAACACTCCACGCCGCACAGAATCTGGTATTTGTTATTACCACCGCAAGTTCGGGAAGGAGGCACAGCGATGCACACGTCCATGCAATTTCCAGAACAACAGCCCCCACCCGGAAAACTAACAGCTGCGTTGGATGAGGCGGGAACCGGCGCAACAACTACGTCATACCGCCTATTTATAACAGACAGAAACTCACGTCTGTCATTTTTAATTGATACTGGCGCTAACGTCTCCGTCATTCCTAGACGAAAGGGCGTGAAGGTAACCCCAACCGACTTTTGTTTGTACGCTGCAAACAACACAGTCATCCCTACCTACGGTGAGAAGACACTCCAGCTAGACCTAAACCTACGTCGACCCTACAGTTGGAAATTCATCGTTGCTGAGGTCAGTAAGCCAATCATCGGCGCCGACTTCCTACGCCACCACCAACTACTCGTCGACATAGCCGGTCGATGTCTTATCGACAAAGTCACCAACCTCACCGTCCAAGCCCCAATCTCATATTCCACCGAGCCGACCGTAAGAAGTATAGACGTTGAACAGCCGTATCATCAAATACTTAGTCAATACCCCGACATCCTAAGACCATCATGCATGAAGACTACTCCGAAGCACCGCGTGGAACATCACATTGAAACCACCGGTCCACCTGTACATAGTAAAACGCGGCCACTACCTCCACACAGATACCTAGCCGTGAAGAAAGAATTTGAAATTATGATGCAGCAGGGATTATGCCGTCCAAGCAAAAGTCCCTGGTCCAGCCCACTACACGTCGTACCAAAGAAAAATGGCGACATACGGGTATGCGGTGATTACCGACGACTTAATGACGTCACTAAGCCCGACCGCTATCCAGTACCTCGCCTTAAAGATTTCACATACCTACTCCACGGCAAGAAGATTTTTACCACTCTCGATTTGAATCGTGCATATCAACAGTTACCTGTCTACGAACCTGATATAGAGAAAACAGCCATCACAACCCCGTTTGGTTTGTTTGAGTTTCCCCGAATGTGTCCCGGCTTAAAAAACGCGGGACAAACATTCCAACGGTTCATACACCAAGTACTCAACAATCTAGACTTCGCATTTCCGTTTATTGATGACGTAATCATCGCATCAGAGAACAAAGCACGTCACATCGAAGACCTACAAGAAGTGCTTCGAAGATTAAATGATTACGGTATCACCATAAACCCATCTAAATGTGTCTTCGGCCAAGATAACGTAAAGTTCCTGGGATATCAAGTGTCGAGCGAAGGAATCAAACCTCCACTTGAAAAGGTCAGCGCTATCTCTGCTTACCCCAAACCGGAAACAATAGCGGATCTACGTCGTTTTCTTGGCATGGTAAACTTTTACCGTGACAGCATACATAACGCAGCCCATATACAAGCACCGCTAAACGCATTTCTACATAACTCAAAGAAACGCGACAAAACCAAAATCGAATGGAATAACGAAGCACTACAAGCATTTGAGTTGTGTAAAGCTAGCATACAAAACGCAGCTTTACTCGCTCACCCATCCCCGTCACCAACTCAACCTATTTCACTCATGTGTGACGCTTCAAACACCTGTGCAGGAGCTGTCCTACAACAATACATTAACAACAAGTGGATTCCCCTTGGCTACTTTTCAAAGAAATTCTCTGAAGCTCAACAACGATATAGTACGTTTGACCGCGAATTACTATCTATATACATGGCGATCAAACATTTTAGAAAAATGTTCGAAGGAAGAGAACTCATTGTATACACGGATCACAAGCCGCTCACCTATGCAATACGTAAGCCGCCGTCGGACAACGACACACAACGACGCACTCGTCAGCTATTATTCATTAGTGAGTTTACAACCGACCTACGTCACGTGAGTGGCGCGAACAACATAGTCGCCGACGCATTATCACGCGTCGAAACTATCGACTTACCATCCCCAATTAACTACGACGAACTATCCCAAGCACAAGAAAAGGACAGCAATATTCACAACTTAATAAAACAAACAAACATTCAACTTAAGAAAATATCCATACCTACTTCAAACAAGTTTATTTACTGCGAAGTATCGACGCCTCACGTTCGCCCGTACTTACCGATTGACTATCGTCGCATCGCATTCAACGCTGTGCACAATACAAGTCATCCTGGCATACGTACTACACGCAAGCTAATGCAACAACGATACTTCTGGCCGTCTATGAATACCGACATTGGCGAGTGGTCAAAGACATGCATCGAGTGTCAACAATCAAAGGTACATCGACATACGCACAGTGACGTCACATCATTCCCACCCAGCGAGCGATTTGAACACATACACATTGATATCGTTGGACCTCTGCCTACATCCTCGAGCGGACATCGATACCTACTCACTATGATCGACCGCTGCACCCGCTGGGCTGAAGCCGTTCCCCTGCGAGAGATATCAGCCGAAGTCGTCGCAAGAAAGCTGTACGAAGCATGGATAACGCGTTTTGGTTGTCCTATCAAAATTACAACCGATCAAGGACGACAGTTTGAGAGCAGCTTATTTAAAAATCTCGCTCAGCTACTGGGAGTGGAACGAACTCGTACTACTGCCTATCACCCGCAGAGTAACGGGATCGTAGAACGCTGGCATCGTACATTAAAAGCCGCGCTCATGACTCGACTAGCCGACAACAACAAATGGTTGATCGAGTTACCTACCGTGCTACTAGGACTACGAGCCGCCACGCGCACCGACACTAACACTAGCGCCGCACAACTTACCTACGGACAAGCAATACGATTGCCAGGCGATTTTATATCGCCGTCGCCTACCAACACGAAGATGGATAACGACTACGTAGCCGACTTGCATCGTGTTATCACAAGCTTAACGCCCGCTTATCAGTCGCACACTAACAGACTGAGCATCTTCGTGCATAAAGACCTGCAAACATGCAGCCACGTATTTGTACGTGACGACGCAGTTCGCAAACCACTGCAACGTCCATACAAAGGCCCGTACCTAGTTACCTACAGAAACGACAAGTACTTTACAATAGAAACACCTAGAGGTACCACCAATGTGTCAATCGAGCGTCTAAAGCCGGCCTACGTCATAAACAACGATAACTCAGAACACTGTGCAACACCACCAGCGACTACCCAGGATCAACCTAGTCAACCTCCGTCGAGCGACAGCGATGTACGAAGAACGCGAACAGGCAGATTAATCAAGACCCCAGTACGCTTCGCTCGGGGGGGAGTACTGTAGCCGCACCTCACGACTACATACCTACCAATACCATACTCAAAACCATGTACCAATTTACCTTATATATTTACCTTACCGACGCCACCGAATACCTTACCATACCTCAAAACCAGATACCATATACCTTCCACATACAAACGTTTTTAGACTTTCTGTTATCAACAGAAACATGATAACAATTGTCTTGAAAAAGACAGTTTACGTTTTAGACTCTTAACACGAAACGAGAAATATTGTCTTGAAAAAGACAGTTAACGTTTATGACTCTGCCAGAAACAATTATTACGCCGTGCCGAGCGTAGTCGCTTCGAAAGAAGCGGTTTGTCATTTGCGAGCATCGCTAGCGGAGCCGGAGGCGGAGCACCTGCACCCGCCGCGTCTTCAATCTTCACACAGTCTGCACTCGACGACGGCGCGCGGCGAAATGTCGCGCTCTCGGCGCGCGACTCTTTTATATGCAAACGAGAGATCGCGGCGGCGCGGCGCCGCGACCAAAGCGGCGGCCCTCGCCCCGCGCGGCCCGCGCTCGCCGGCGCGTCGCCATTGGTCAACACATACCTAACGGCGCGCGATATGGATTGAATGTACATTTGTAAATATAGATATAAGTAGCAACAATTAGCGAAATAAATCATTCCGAAACACGCATCTCAACGAGTATCATTTACAAGAAGAACCTTCTCGTAGGACAACTAGGCTCTCCTACCTAGTTCCTACACCAGTTTTTGTTCTAAACCAGATTGCTTTGCAGAAGTCCTTATACAAGAAAACTTAAATAGTACCTAAGTAACTGACCTTAACCAATGGCCTAACTAAAAATAGACGAAACAAACAACTGCAAAGAATTATTAGAAATATGGGCGGACTCTAGCGTCACACGTTGACATAGCAAAACAACACGGTACAACATGTTTGTTTTTCTCATTATAATGTATGCGCTAAATGTACTTTCATGACATAATTATTATCGATAGCACTTATTTATGTGTAAATCTGCTAAGCACATTTAGATAAATCGCTGTTACGTCAGCATTAAGTAAGTTGCTGTGTATATTGACTCTGTGATAGATAATCTAGCATATCTATTATCTAATAAGTACTAGCAACATGCCCTTGCACCACGTGGTTTTTAACTAATTTCCAGCATAACAAAACATTTGACGTCATTACATGTCTTTTATATTCATTTTTGTACCTAGTTTCACTGACGAATAGACTGACAGACTACAATTCTATTTTGACGTTTCAAAAGTACCTAGGTACCTATTTATGGTTTAGTTGGAATAAATGATTTTGATTTGATTTGTAAGTATTACCCGACAATGACGATGATTTTTTTTCTGTCTGGAGGACTAACCTACCGACTCATACTTTTAGCTTTCATATTTGTTTGAGTTCATTCAAAAGTGTGTGTAATTAGTGGTTTACAATACTAGTACGACTAAATGATTTGAGTTAGATTTTGACGAATGTTTGTCAATTTTCTTATACAAGGTTATACCTACTAGTCTCAGTAGATTAAATCTTGAATCTTAGTAGACAGGGCCCGTGACCTTATTTACCACATTCGTGTAAAAATACTAACTTTCTAAAGAGGCACGAGCCACGGCGAAACACAAAGCTGTGTTTCGCCGTGGCTCGTGCGTGAGTGACGTTACCGGAGGCCCAATCCTTCTCCTCCCCAATCCCTCTTCAATCCCTAAATCTCCAAATTCCTAATCCCTAAACGGTAGGCAACGCACTCGTAACTCCTCCGTTGCGGGTGTCCATGGGCGGCGCTGATTGCTTACCATCAGGTAATCCATCTACTCGTTTGCCGACCTATTTAATAATAAAAAATAAAAAGATACTACACTGTAATATCCACATACGCATTCCATTATTGCCTAAAACGATTACAAACATGAAAATACAGTAGGTAAGAATTATTCAAATTCTCTTTACTACACGTAAAAGCTGCTAACTAACGTCATACGAATAGTTAAAACCAAAATGTGTATCTACAACGCAATATACATACGTAAGCATGACATGAAATGTGTGTTTTTTGAGCATAGAAAAATCATTAAGAGACTTCACCCGCCGTGGATGGGGAGGGAGGGAGTGTCAAACTTTAAAGTGCATACTGAATAAAAACCATCTGTTCAGAGCCGAGGCCACGGTACATTATTTATAAATGTATGTATTTGCAGTCGCAACCCCGAAAAAGTATGGTACCGTTTAATACCTTAGCTCAATTTAAATTGGTTAAAAAATTAAAGCCATAATTTTAACAAGGTATGTGTGAAAGAGAAATCGATGTTAACATTTTTGTATCGAATTAGACTTGGGATTTTACAATTTAGAACCCGTACGAATCTGAGCTGGCGCAGGAATCAATCCAGGAACTGCTAGGCATTAAACGGACCGATCGCATTCGGGATACCACGCGACTCCTGTTCTGGAACATTGATACGTTTAACGAGTCGCTGATGTAGGCCAAAAGGCGGCCAAATTAAAATGGGGACATGTCAGCCGAATGCATCCGGATAGATGGGCCACTATCGTCACCCACAGTCGGGGTAGGTCCCGGAAAAGATGGTGTGACGATCTAGACGCCTATCATCAAGACGGTGCGGTCGAAGGTTCTTGAGGTGTGGAGAGAAGCGAGATGGGAAGGCCTTTTCCCAGCAGTGGGCGTATATTCGTCATTAGCCCCTAGTATTCCTAAGGTTTAAGAGGCCAATGCGAAACAAGTTGCTCTACGTAAATATGTTTACATTTACGTACTTACATTTTATTTTTCATATTGCTAAACGAATACATGAGTCACTTATAACTACGTAAAAAATTCGCATCAATCATCTAAGTATACAATATGAGACTTGACCAAGAATTTTCTTGGAGAGCGCGACGTTTTCTTATATAAACATTACCGATACATAGTGTAGTTTATTATAGCTTGGTTTTTCCGACACACACACAAACAAGCCCGACACACCTCCATGACGTAGCTACACGACAATAACACCCGTGTTTACCTACTCCGTTTCACCAAAATATGTGATAAGTCGGAAAATCACGCGATACGTTGATAAAACGTGTGATAAATTACTGATTTACTGCGACCGATATATTTATTGGCGAAACGAGATTGTATAACACTGATTTTGATTTGAAAAATATGAATTGAAAGGGTTACAAATTAATTTACGATCTATTCTATAAGTAAGACTTCATTTGAGGAGGCGCGTTAGTCACCCATCGTACATTGCTCATACGTTGCTGTAAGTACGTGTGACCGACTCCGCGAACCGTTGCTGGAATGTACGAAAAATTCTCAACTCGACTAAACGTGGCCTAAGAATCGTGAGGACCTCACACGATTATCAGCAATTAAACCCTAAATCTAAGAGCGGGAGAGTCATGCTAAGTATGGGTGAGAGCTTCGGCACGATTGGGCGCGACCGGAATGTTAGGTACCAAGGCCTCATAGAAAATCGGCGTGACACAATCATAGCGTTGTTTCACCTTATGAGGGTCACCTGAAGCCCAATTCGCCTGCTCCCGTCCCTCCTTTATTCCTAAAATTCTAAAATTCCAATCCATAAAACACCGGCAACGTACTCGTAACTCTTTTGCTGTTGCGAGTGTATTGCTTACCACCAGGTATCTATCCCGTCCGCCAGTTTGCCGACTTATCACATAAATAACCAGTCAATTGTTTCAGAATGCTTCAAGAACATACAGGTTTTGCTTCAAGAAGTCGAATTTTCAAGGATTTTCCAAGATTGTTAATCTTGTCGTGAGATCAAATATTCCTTTCGTAAAGACATCCAAAGCTCGACAGCTTAATACCTCTCTATAGATTTTTTTATGTCTCAGGTCGGCAAACGAGCAGGCGGATTACCTGATGGTAAGCAATCAGCGCCGCCCATAGACATTCGTAGTAATCAAAGGAGTCACTACAAATGCGTTGCCGGCCTCTTGCAGTTTATTCGGGATTTGAGGGTTGAGGATGGGGGAGGGAGGAAAGATTGGGCCTTCGATAACCTCACTCACATGGCGAAATACAACGTAAGAATTGTTTCACGCCGATTTTCTGCGAGGCCGTGTTATCACTCCAGTCGAGCTGACCCATGCGTGTTGAAGCATGGCTCTTCCACACTTCTACACAGATCTATAAATGCTTACCTTTACTTTACTGTTGAGGTACAATGCGGTGCTGAGGGCACCACCACAAGCCGCGCAGTACGACGCCATCAACTGCCTGAAAAGAAAGCGTTATCTGTCGTATAAGGGGATAAACTCAGACAAAAAATAACATATTATAAAGAGGTATTTGTAAGTTTGTAACAAGAGTGTGTAATCTTTGGAAACGCGCGCTGGTTGGATTTCCAAAAATATTTTACTGACAGACAGCTATGATGTTTCCGAGCGCTATACGCTAGAAAACATCACGTTACCATATACATATAGGAGCCGATCAGCTAGTAAAACCGCGCGTGATTACCTACTTATTTATAAAGTTATCATGTTACAGAGCCATAGCCGTGTTTAACAGATAATTTCGTAACAAAAAACTGAAATTCTTAATAACCTGGAGCCAAATCAATCCAGCCCAAAAGCCCTTGCTCTGCGATCACGCTTGTGAACACTTCACCGAGCAATTTATAATTTTAGGCAGTAGCCCTTCAAATCGAGTAGAAGGCTTGTGGAGTTAAAGTCAAAATCAACTTACTTAGTAGTGATAACCGCGTCTCCAGATCGGTTCGTGTAGTTGACTACCGCGTTAAACGTCTGATTGAACCACTGCCAGAAGATAATCGCTGGCTTTGTCTTGTAGAAAGTTATCATGCCTGTGGGGTAGAAATAAATTGTCATAATCATAGACCCCATATAATCTATACGGTAAACACTTGAAAATGGGGAATAAACCTAAATATAATCATCATCCTCATAATTATTAAACTCAACTTCAATGCTGAACACAGGCCTTCCCCAATAGCTTTGCGGAAGGCAAGCAAGAATATGGCTGACCAAAATCAGACAGTGCTGTTCCGCGCTCCTCATAGAGCTATTGCGCTATCACAGATAAGGCCCACAGGAGCTGTTGTCTATGTACCCGGTTCAGAGCAGCAGAAGGAACTGGGTTGTTTTTAGTTCATCATCCAACGGCTCTATTATACAATCGCTAGGTTTTATGTTTCAAAATTTTTAATATTTCAAATTGCATACAGCAAGGATTTTCGACTTAATTACTAAGATCACTGAATTTGGCTCTTTGGTAAATTAGAACACTTATTTAAACCTGTGACCTCCATACTGCGTACGCTTGAAACCTGCAGTAGATATAGCTTTAAAATACTCACATCCAGTGACGATTGTGTTCATAGGCGCCTGTGCAGACATACGTCCGAATCTGACCATCTTCTCTCCTGTGTCGGGGTGGAATGCACTGTCGTACAGATATTTAGCGGCCCAAAGTTTCTCTTCATCATATCCTTGAGGCATTCTCTTTGTTTTCCTGAATATTGCGGATAGAAATATTTTTTAATAAGAAGTTCCATATAGGTATATTTGATTTGATTTGATGAAGTAATAGAAAAAAGAAGTGCCATTTCATAAGACAAATGGACAATATTGTGTAAAATTTAAGCAAAGTAACATCAAGTCAATCAACTTAGTGATCAGACTCACATTATATTATTTACATCAATTCTGTTTTATTTTAATATAATCATAGAATATTTAATGCCTCTAATGTCGCAACAAACTTTTACGTTCGTTAAGTGTAATCTATTAAACAAATAACATATTTCTTAAGTAGTTTTTTAGTTCGTGTCTGTGCTAATCGCCGGAATGACAGGCAAAACTTGAACAATTATTTTTGTATTGGATGGTCCATTTATTACTGAAGGTTATATAAAACATCACCGCCACCGGCCCCTGTCAACCGAGCAGACAGTAGGAGATTGGGATTAGCTATCATTAATCTTCCAGCTAACAGAAAAAAAATTTACCTACTAATAAATAACTAAACAGCATATATGAAAGAATAATATAATGTTACAGAACATCATAATTACAAAGCAAAACAAAATTAAACTCATTTGTTTATCTGGTTCAGTGTCATTGTGACCGTCTGATGTTATCCAAACAAAGTTCAAGAATCGTAAACGCAGGCGCACGATTGTTTTGCTACACAAATATCATTTAAACGACATTAGTTACTAGTTACAGAATAGTTAAGTAACATTTCATATGGCGTGTTAAGCGATGAAATAATGTATTGGTTTTGTAAGGGCTGATTTTTCAATATAGTCAGATAAATGTCATCTGAGGAATAAAGAATAAAATTGTTGCTATCACTGTCTTATACAAACATTCTGACGCGACAGCATCATAATTATTTTCGAGCTAAATTTTATCTAACCATTGAAAAATCAGCCCTAAGTGGGATATTAGTCCCATGCTGGGTGGCAATATGGTTCTAAACACAAATGTAACGTTATTTTAAAATCGTATTACATAACAGGTCAAATAAGAACACATTTTCAAAAAAGGGTTGAATAATTTCTTATATACAATAAAAATTAATTGCCGTTTGTTAAGTCTCTCTAAAACTCGAGAAAGGCTGGATCGGCATGACTTAAGTATTGTGGTTATGAAATATTTTTGGATATTCAGGGAAGGTTTAAAAAGTCACAAAAAATAATAAAAAAAGTTATATTTTAGGTGGTGCGAAGGGTCCGAACCCTTCCCATTATTAATTCGGTCAGCTAGTCTTAAAAAAATCAACTGATACTAGATTTGTCTGTTCTTTGAAAGACCCGCGGAGGTAGGTAGGTAGGTAACATTTTTGTGCCCGTTTCAGAATTTGTTGGTTTTCGACATTGAGAGATTTCTCTTAGTCTGGATAAGCTTGTCTTGACTTTGTCAGTGTTAATGTTCCATGGAGTATAATGAATGAAGGTCTCACCTGAACTCATCTACGACTCGCTTCGCCTCATTAAGTGACTTGTCTGATGCGAACGCGTTCAATGGATTTGTGAGAAGTATAAAATGTTTTGCGCGTCCCCAGTACGTCTTCTGGTCAAATTTGGGCTCGTCTAAGTTTATCGACATTTTGGATTATTCTGAAACAAAAGTAAATGTATTAAGTACTTATTTGACGCAATTAATTCCCTGAAAGTTGAAAGTAAAGGAGATAAAGCTTTCGATAGATGGTAGCAATTGCGTAGGACCTATCTGCACTATCGCGAATCGATCACATCACGACAACATTAAACTATTCTTCTCATCAGACGCGATATACACATATTTTTATTTTGTTTTTGAGGTGGGGATATCGTCAAAAGACTTCTATCGCCCAGAAGTAGTGCCAGACTTTTACTGACTAAAAACCACTCCGTTCCTTCTCCTGCTCCAAGCTGGAGACGTGGTACATCATTGTACTTGTTCCGCAACTCAGACCAGGTGGCTCGAGTTTAGGGCCACATTGGGTCATTGCTTTTGGGACGAAGGAACTTAATGATCCTTCATTCTTAAAAGAAACTAAACTGATACTCAATGCTGCTATGGAAATTACAACCCTATGGAAAATTAAGCCGGGGTTGCCTTGGCCTAGAGCAGAAGGAACGGGGGGTTTTAGTCAGTAAGTGACACTTCCTCTAGCCTCACCCTGGGTGGGAGAAGTCATATATTATGATGATTTTCCCCTGACAAAAAAAAACCGTATGGAAAATTAGTCGTAGCATGACTGGGTGTGACAATTTGTTTGCTAAGAACACTTTCACATGTTAAAGACGGCAAGAAATAATTAATGATCGTTAACATAAGTTTGCATTACATTAATAAAATAATATTCATGAGTCGGAGCGCACTTATCTAAATCACACAGTTGCTTAACAATTAAAAATGTTTGTTTGACTCGAGATAACAACTGGTACCTAATTAGATAATTTTACATACTCGCTGAACGCAGAGACGTATTATTGCTATCATTCAAACAATTCCAAGGACATTTATGTATCACAATGCAAAGTTTATTTGTTACCAAAAGAAAATAAATATTGTATTTTCGTGTTTTTTTTTCATGGACAAAGGTGTAGATTTTAAACAGCTAGTTGTTTTTTTTTTTAGTGAGACCCTTGCAATTGAACTCCAATCCACGTTTCGAAGTAGGTACCTCAAAATAAAAAAAAAAATATAGATTAGATAGGTACCTACAGACGACAATTTGAATATAGGAGAGACACAAAACTTTTTCCGGACATCGAGTCTCAGAACTAATTTGTAATTTTTTATATTTATATGTATAGTAATACTAGCTTCCGCACGCGTCTTCGCCCGCGTGGTGTGTCGATAAAAAGTAGCCATGTCCTATTCCGGAGTGTACCTATCCTATGCCAGTGCCAAATTTCATCAGATCCGTTCAGCCGTTTTGACGTGATTGAGTAACACACATCCAAACATCTTAACTTTCGCATTTATAATATTAAGTAAGAGTTAGAAGTCAGATTATACCTAGTATCTACTTATTAGTTTATAAAGCGTATTACTTTTATTTTAGGATAGAAGGACGGGATTCCAATTTCTTATTATGTTGGTACTAGTTATTCCGGGTGTTCTCAGCTAAATTCTGAAAAGAATAGTTTTATTGAAATTAATGGGTATTACAAGTACCTAGAGTACATACAATAAAGAGGTTCCCTACTCACATTTACCTAACCCAAGTTTGTTCAGAACTCTTCAACTTCAAGTGAACTTGCTAACATTTAATCAATTGAGATCTATCTTTCTTTTTCGTATCGAAATTAATTCAACGTAGGATGATGAATAATGTTTTAAAACATGCCGTTTCTATTGCCGATGTTTGGCGGTATTCAGGTATGTAAAAATTTTGACAAATTAAGTTATTCACACAGAAATAATTTCGTAAACAAATAAATACAATATTAAACTTTACAAAAATGACAGGCTTATTTTTTCTATGACATCCAGCATGAATGAGCTTCCGAGCTTACGAAAGAGGTTTTACTATTTAAACCAAAATACATTTCAAGCTCTGCAATTCCTATCGGTTTGGGATTAAATAAAATATTTTTTTAATATTATTTGTGTGCAAAAGTAAGAAATTTATTTTGTCTCAAATAAAAAAGACCCTTTAAAAAAATGTAACTAAGTATAGGTACCTTTCTTATTTAGGTAGGTATTAATCGGAAAATTCTGATTTTAACGGTCGGTTTCACATTGCCTGAATAGTTGAAAACAGCAGATAAATTTGAATATAGAACATAAATTAACGTATTTTTTATGAACTATGTGCTACTTAACTTTATCAGGCTTCTTTTTATCTTTACCGATTCGACCTTCGAGTGCTTTGGTGTAGTGGATATCCTTTGGCGGCGCTGATCGCTTACCATCAGGTGACACATGTGTTCGTTTTATTCCGAATGGATAAACAATATCGTGTGCTTCTGAAGGTAGTAAAACTAGCCCTTAATTATTGAAGACCTTACGCAATCACTGCGGGCATTCTGTGTTCCAATCTATCTATATCAGCTGACCCTAAATCATGTCAAAAAGTATGTTGGAACTAAAGGTGTCATTAAAGAACTTATCGAACATGGTGAAGCCATAAAAATCTTGGTTATCATTATCGATATCACGACAATTATATATCTAAATGGCGTTAATATAAATCACAGTAGATAATTTACTATCAAGATTATACCTAATACGTACAGTAACAAAAAATACGCTTTTTTATAAGCCATTATAATACTCAATTAAGTTACCCATACGTATTTAAAATCTTCATTATAAATGCCTTTCTATTCAGTTTAACAATGTAAATGTCCGGTGAAAATTTAGATCGAATAAAATTACGGTATCATGCAGAGAATTTGCACATGTTAATTGCAAATCAATTTTATTCATTAAAATGTTCAATTTAATTCGGGGTGAACGTTTTTGCTCTTTGTATGCTAAATCGTGAAACTGATACCGAAACTAAATCAACTATACATTTTATATAAGTAATTTAGCATGAGACTGACCTACGACTTCTTATCGGTATTTTAACAAGACTTAGGGACTCCTTAAGCTTACCAAACAATTTATTCGTTGTTACGTATTGATCAATAATGTTATCAAATAATTTTATCTTAAGATCTTAACCTTACTTGAAGATCAATTTTTTATGAACAGTGTTAAAATATAATATTATTTTTAAACACATCTAAGGTATTTACAGATTAATTTAAACACTATCGTGTTTATATTAATTTGGGATTTCATATAAAAAACACTTACCTTTTTCACACCCGTTTCTTTTCGCTTTATAAGCGAAAAATTAATACGTATATAAAATCACTTTATTAAAATGTTTACAAAATAATATAGTTTAGTACGAGGTAGTGACATGCATTCTGTAACACTTCAAAACCAAAAAAAACACCGATTTTTACGACGCTGAGTTCAAATGTTGCGCCGTGACAAGCACTTGAACGGTGATGTAAAAATCAATCCGCTCGTAACTTGGCATTGGTTCGATAATTTTATTTCATTCAGGGTTGCCAATACTCCTGAGTTACTACTATGTATTTTTATTTGACACCTTGTCTTTGTTCATCAATCATCATATTATGAGTAATTAACTACAACGTTTTAATTATGACTTATCTTTTTAATATATTTTATGACATTAAAATAATATATATTAATTTTCATTCTCACTAACGTAAAACATAATTCCCAAGTAGGTACTGTAAGAAAATTATTTTAAAGACTGGCAATTATTATGAAAGCTATGTTTCATTATACGGTAACGCACCTCAAACCCAAATCATAATTATACTTTCATTTAATTTGGTAATTGTATTTGTACTGTACTAAACATTATTCCACGAGTTATAAAAATAATTGAAGAAAATATTGATCTCTCTTAATTTAAGTAAGAATTTTCTTTGCAAGTAGATTTGTCCGATTGGTTCAGGAACGGAATCAGCTGGCAGCTGTCATGTTCTGTGCAACGAAACGCGTTGTAGGTTAGGTTACGTCTTTGCAGAATTCTGATCCAAAAATAATTTTGTGCTAAAATAGCCTTTTTAAAAGGTTTTATCAAACCAACAATGTCGCTCCTAACCAGAAATGTATGCCGTGCGCTGATGCAGGTATTGTATGATTTTTATTGTTATTTGACAAAAAATACTATACAATGTCCTGACCGACTGTTTCGTAACTTGTCTGTTGTGAATTATCATTTCGCGGAAATGTTTATAATTTCCATCGTTTTGTATAGACAACACAACGTTATCATGTTATGGACTATGTTTGTGTTTTGGAATAATGCATAATTTTATTGATTTTTTCCGAACCAGCTCACGTGATCTTTGCTAATAATATCAAGTGCTTGAAGCTACAGTTCAATATGTGCGTCTCATTTTCCTGATTAGCGAAATATGATAATACTAACAATTAGCTTTATGCCACTATTTTGTGCCGTAACAATGTTGTCTTATAGTAATAGTATGTCATATTTGGTCTAGTTTTTTTAACATTATTTTTTTCTCATAGACATGTTAGTTTTTTATCTTATAAGAACAGCATTTCCATATTTCATTTATTTCATTATTTATGTGTTCAGAAGATGTAGATAGCATAGAAATTTAATTATTACAATAATAAAAATATAAGTAGTTGCTGTGGTTAATTTCTTTTATCTTTTTTACAGGGAACCTACATGACCCATATGGGTAAAGGTGTTCACACAACTTCGGTAAACGCAGACAAAAACGTATGTTACGCTCCACACAGTATCAGCACCCTGGTGAGCATACTAACTGTCTACTAATACCTCACTTTGTACGTAACAAAGCAAGTTTATGAAAAGAATTTAAATGTCATTTATTTCAAGTTGCATAAAAAGAGGTATAAGGAAAGTCCTACGCTATGTTCAAGTAATGTAAAATAAATGTAAGTTTGGAAGAGTCAAGCTTCAGCACGAATGGGTCGGCTCGACCGGATTGATACCACAGCCACACAGAATACTGGGTTAAACAAGTACAGCGTTGTGTTTCGCCGTGTGAGTGAGGTTACCCTGAGGCCCGATCTCATCCTTATATCCGCAACCTCTATCCTCAAAAGGCCGGCAACACACTTGTAGTTCCTTTTTTTTTATTTTATGGGTGTCCATGTGCGGCGTTGATTACTTACCAAAAGGCAATCCTTCTGCTTGTTTGCCGACTTATACCATAAAAACATACTCATCATTATGCATTCAATAATTGTAAGTTGAAGTAAATATTTTCATGAATAAAACTTGCTTTGTTACCTCCTAGCATAAAAGAAAAAATGTGTAATATTGATGTATTCAAAATTCAAAAGTGATTTACATTAGAATTGGTTGATTTGGTATTCAGAGTATGTCAAAGTACTATTTTAATGTAAAACTAATTTAATTATTTAGATATTTTACTAGGTTTCCTTGTAAAACTTTAAATTGAAGAACCGTAAGCTATACATTTTTGTGCATGCAACTCCTCTCCGTATTTCTGTTTTAATGTTGTTTTAAAATATACCATTCTATTCTTCTTCAAGTTTTTCTATGTGATACTTTCAAACTACATAAATTATCCAAAATGGAATATTTTATTTTTGGAAAATTAGGATTTAAATTAGTTGAAATATCTGAACGTTAAACCTACACTGTACACACACAAGTTTCCTATTTGTCTCTATGAATTGTTGACAATGTCACTTTACAGTGCCATAAAAAATCACACTTTACATTGACACATTCAATTAGAGAATAGGATGGTCCTCCTATATAGCATGTTGTTAAACATAACTTTAATGTTAGATTGCACCCTGAAACTGCAGACAAAATTATCCAAAATTGCACAAAACAAAGTTGAAATTCGATTTCAAAATAATTTGGCAAATACATTGGCACTCTATAAATTAGGCTGGTAATATTAAAAAAAAAAGATTTAAGTATTAGGAAAAGAGGAATAAAATTCCTTTTTTAAATTATCTGAGCTGCCAGTTCAAAGGGTTGAAATGAGTGTTATTTGTAGCATGCAACCTTATTGCAATGTCTATGTGTTGTCCAGCCCGTTTATAACTATAACCTTGGGTCATTTAACCAATAATGGTAGTGTAAATGTATTCACTGCTATTGTAAAATGCACCTATTCTTAAACCGACAGGCTAGGATGTTGTATTTGTAAGTAAGTACTGCCAGATTTGTCCAGTTTTTTGGTAAGTAATTTAATAGATACCAAAGTCCAACAAAGAATTTAAAACAATTACAATAAGGTTTTAGGAATAAAGAATGAGTTATACAAGTCAATTACATGCCAAATAATCTTTGAACTGTAAAATCACGTATCTTGTTTGTATTTACAGTTGAGAGTGATAAATGTATCATTTGACCTGGCCTCACAATGTTATCAATGTCTATAACATTACGCTGTAAGCCCTAGCGATTGTTTCATAGTCCCGCTAATTATTATTTACAGCAGATAGTTATTGCGTCTAAACGCAAGACACGTTAATGAAGTGTAATATTAATAATTATTATTGTATGAATGTGCTTATGTATATTTTCTACATGTAAGTATTTTACTTGAAGCTATTAACTGCAAAATGAAGGAAACAAAATCAGCATCAAGTTTGCCGACTTATCACATAAAAAAAACCACAATTTGTTGTTTCCGAATTGTTTAGGGAATTGACTCCCGAATCGTGACGCAGCGACTGGTACTCCAACGACATTTTGTTTTCTAATGTAGTCAAATTATGCTTGACCACGTTTGAGGAGACGCGACGTGTTGAGTGTTCCTCGTACGTTGCTCGTTATGTTTGTGCATGCGCGAGCGATGATGCGGCTTCTGCTGCAGTGTACGATAGATTAGGAGTCACATAACGTCGTCTCTGTAAATTAAGTCTTGGGGCCAGAGTCAGAGTAATAGTAGTATGCATCTACCGCAGCCTCGGCCTGGGGAGGAGTAGGAATGAGGTGGTTTCATCCACCCAGACCCGGAACAACAATTTGTAGATCACAAACAGAGTTGTTCCGTGCGAAAATCGAAGCTGCAACACGTTGAACGGCAGCCAGTGGCCTAGCCACCGCGCCAAACGTGTATTCGTTGATTTCGTTGTCAGTATCTAAAACCATTCTTTCACTTTTGCCCACGAGGAACAGAATTCAATTGTCCCTCTTAGCCGAATCTACCGTTCTGGTCAATTAATAAGACAAACAATAAAGTGCTAAGATAGGTAGAGTTCCTACTTAACAAATAGTCAAATATTAAATACGCTTTTTAAATTGTGAATATATATTGCTTTCTAAATTTATTCGGTAATTGGGTGATGTGACGTCATTAAATAATTTGTCGTAATCTCAGTTTCCTAGATCAAAAATAAATTAATTCGACGTTTCAATAAAATATCGAAAAATAACTATACTTTTATTCATCAATCGATCGATACACTAAGTTTTAGATTTTTTTAGATTATTATTAAGAAATAAGTAAGCTATTTGACGCAAAAATGTTATGACGTCATAACTCGGTTTTTTACTCAAATTCCATAGAAAAGTATCGTTTTTGACGTTTGGATAAAAGTATTGAATTTGACTAGTTGGAAACTACCGTATTATAGGAACTTCTACTTAGTAAGATATATAGGTTATACAGAGTTAATTATATGATTTTTAATTATTAAAACTTTCAGTACTATATAATTATTAAGATCTTACAATCTTACATATTATTATATGTTTTTACAATAAAATATTATATTTCATGTTCAAAAGGATGTAGGTATCATTTTTAATACACAAAAATACAACTAAGAATGTGTTTTAAAAAAATATGCATTCTATTTGTATTACAGTAATGTTGTCAATTGCTTTAATAAGTTTGTTGACTGTCTAGCAATCGAGTTCGACAGAGGGTCGCATCAAGTGCACTTTGATTCCCGGAGATGGTGTCGGTCCTGAGTTGGTCTACTCAGTACAGGAAGTTTTTAAGGTAAGCCAAAACGAAGGAAATGTAACAAAATTTTATAACTATAGTTTAAATCTATGCACAAATATGGATAGCAGTCATCTAGTTCAAATAATATTAATGAAGTTATTCTAATCAAATAAAAGAATAATGAACTTTACGTTGCTGGTTTTTATTTAATTTAACATTTTATTTTGTTTTCACTGGAGGTAGAGTTGCAGGTACAGATTTTTTAGTTTTTTTTAGATTATATTTTATTCAAAAGTACCTACATCTCAATATATTTTGATCTTCCAAGTCAATATCTAAATTATAACCAATTAAAACTGGCTATATTCCGTGGTGTAATCCGCCAAGTTTATATACAGCTCATATAATATTCAGCGGGGATAATGTAGCTTCCCGACAATGAAAGATTTTTTCAAATATGTTAAGTAGTTTCGCAGCCTGTTCAATTCAAACTAACAAACAAATCTTCTCTCATTAAAATACTAGTATAGATTAGTGAATTGATGGTCTGTTTAATAATGTCCAGGCGGCTGATATCCCGGTGGACTTCGAGTCCTTCTTCTTCTCCGAGGTGAACCCGACGCTCAGCGCGCCGCTGGAAGATGTCGTCAACTCTATCGCCAGGAACAAGTGCTGCATCAAGGTAAATAAATTATCATGACGGATTTTCACAATTGGCCGGCTAGACCGGAGTGCAAGGTACCTTACAGAATACAAGTCCAATTCTCCCTTGATGATTTGAAGGATTTGGATCTACATATTTTTTTTTTTCATTTAAAAAATGTCCAGTGCGTCTCTTATAGGCTGCAAGTCCTAAGTCGTCTTTTAAAATACGCGACATGGCTCTAGGTGCTATCTTTATCTCCCGAGATAAAATCTTTTGCTTTCGGACAGGAGTTCTTCGAATTCTTTCCCTTACTGCTTTGACCACCTTTTTCGTACGAACACTACGTGGACGTCCAGATCTTTTTCTGTCACAAACAGAGGAGGTCTCATTGTACCTATTAATAGCCTGGTACACAAACATTTGACTAATGCCAAGCGTGTGGAGAGTTTTAAAAATTGCATTTGGCTCCATACCCACTTTGTGTAATGCAATCACAGCGATTCGGTTCTCTTTATCACCCCACTCCATTTTAATATCGCAAAATATTGAACAATTTATTGGCGCCAAAATAAGAAAACACAATGAAAAATTATAAAAAAAATTCAGATTCCAAATTCAAATGTAATATTTTGTTTATTTTTAATTGTAACAGTATTTATGGCCAGACTGTGTATATAAAAATCCATGTCACTTTTCGTTGTTATAACTCAACATTGCCTTTACCGATTTGGCTAATTTTGGTCTTGAATTATTCGTTCAAGTCCAGGTACAAACACAAATAGTTATATTTGAGGCGATACAGAGTTCGCCAGGTCAGCTAGTATTGTATACAATTTATAATCGTACGACATAGACAAAGTCTCTAGTCCTAGAGTTGGAACAATATATTTTTAAAATCAGAAAAAAGGATTTAAAACCATCGCCTTCGTCTTCCAGGGTATCCTCGCCACCCCAGATTTCTCTCACACCGGAGAGCTGCAAACCCTGAACATGAAGCTGCGTAACGCTCTGGACTTGTACGCTAACGTGGTGCATGTCAAGTCGCTACCCAACGTGAAGAGCCGACACCATGATGTCGACTGCATCATCATCAGAGAGCAAACTGAGGGAGAGTACTCTGCGCTGGAGCACGAGAGTGTACCTGGTAAGAATTGTTTTTATTTTTGTGATACCTCTGCTCGTTTGCAATCCTGATGGTAAGCAATCAGCGCCGCCGCGCATGCGATGCAACAACAGAGGAGTTACGAGGGCGTTGCCGACCTTTGGAGATTTAGGTATTGGGGGAGGGGAAGGATTGGGCCTCTGGTAAACCTCATTCACACGGCGAATCACAACGCTGTGGTTATTTCACGCCCGTTTTCTTTGTGGCCCTGGTATCACTCCGGTTGAGCTGACCCATTCGTGCCGAAGCATGGCCCTCCTCCCACATTTAAAAACTATTTAATATCTACATTACAGGAGTAGTAGAGTGTTTGAAAATCATCACGGCAGCCAAGTCGGAGCGTATCGCAAAGTTTGCGTTTGACTACGCCGTGAAGATGGGACGCAAGAAGGTGACAGCGGTACACAAAGCTAACATCATGAAACTTGGAGACGGACTCTTCTTGCGTAGCTGTGAAGAGGTGAGATTTTGCATACAAAAATGGAAAAAAAGTAGAAATAGTATACTTTAAAGACCAATAATCTTCGAATGTCTTGGTTTAAAAGCCCTTTTAGAGCTTTTTTTAAAGATGTAAAAAGAAAATTCTACGGTATTATTTTTTGTTTAAGTCACAGCACTGTCTTTAGTGGGCAACACTACAGAGTAAAAAACGAAGACGCTTCCCGCGGTCTGTGTCTATGTATGCTTAGATAATTAAAACTGCGTGACGTATTTTGATAAGCTTTTGATAGATAGAATAATTTAAGAGGAAGGTTTAGGTGTATAATATATATTAATAGTACATTAGGGTTATTCATTAGTTCATTAGGGTTATTCATTATAATTCATTAGGGATTGCGGAGGAAGAACAAAAATAAAAGTAAAATGGGGTGCATAGGAATGTTTCCCCCAAAAGTCTGGGATCTTCATCCTTTGGTGTTGCTAGTTGCGCAAACGTGGCGGTAATCATTTAGGTGATATAATCAGTATGAACGTTCTCCCCTACCTCTATTCCATAAAAAATGTACACCACATTGTTGAACTCTGATTAATTGAATTTGAAGTTCAATTGAAACATGTACAATTAACACTGGACTGATAGAAACAAAATCCTTTCCAGATGGCAAAACTGTACCCTCGTCTCCAGTTCGAGAAGATGATCGTGGACAACTGCTCCATGCAGATGGTGTCCAACCCCAACCAGTTCGATGTGATGGTCACGCCGAACCTGTACGGTAACATCGTTGACAACCTCGCCAGTGGACTGGTGGGCGGAGCCGGAGTCGTCGCTGGAGCGTCTTACAGTGCCGAGTGCGCTGTCTTTGAACAGGTAATGATAATTCAGTGAATGTATCAATGAATTTTCCCTCAATACGGTACTGTAGCGACCACGTGGTACCACATTTCACCGGTAGATAGCGCTGTACACAACATTTGACTTCACCTCTTTTTCCTACACTTTTATTCATTAAGTTAACAAACACTAAGTAGTTATTAAACCATATTCACAATAAGAATTAATATTAAATACTCAGTTTATGATTAAAATAATATGATTAAAAGACTTGGATCTTGGATACTTGACTTTTATTACACAGTACACAGTCGTGCAGCTCACTGCACCAGAGTTACATTGTCAATGGCCGACACTCGCTCGGCCACTCTCTTTATAGTGATATGTGCGACACTGATTAGTATTACTAATCACAGACAATACAACAGACATAACTATATTAGAAGTCTTTTGTGCAATGATCAGTTGCGCAGTAGCGCAAATATTTTCTCAGTTTATTAAAGTGAGTTATTATCGATACTTATACTTAATATTATAAAGAGGTAAAATTTGTAAGTTTGTATGTAGGGGGTAATCATTGGAATGGCTGGTCGGATTTTCAAAATTCTTTCACTGATAGATTGCTACAATGTTCCTGAGTGTCATAGGCTATAAAACATCACGCGACAACTAAATGGAGTCGAACAGCGGGTGAAACCGCGCGAGAGTAGCTAGTTTGTTATAAATTTAGTATGCCTCACGAACGAGTTTCGATTCAAAAAATAGTTGCGCAAGCAGTTTGCGCAACGGTATCTTATGTAGTTAGTATGTTAACTAAGGGCTGATTTTTCATGGTTAGATAAAAGTTACCTGGGAATAATAAATTATGATGCTGTCGCGTAAGAATGTTTATATAAGACAGTGTCAGCAACAATTTTATTCCTCATAATTATAACATGTATCCGACTATTGAATAATCAGCCCTAAACCTAATACAACTGTGAATAATATCAATCAATGATTAATCAACTTTTTTCAGGGAGCCCGTCACATTTTCTCTGGTGCGGTGGGTAAGAACATCGCGAACCCGACCGCCATGTTGCTTTGCTCCGCAAACCTACTGGCCCACGTCAACCTGCACCCATACTCCAGGATGATCAAGAACGCCATCAACAAGTAAGTGAAATCAAACTTTATGATGAAGAAAACAAGAACACTGACTCACCAAACTTTGATGATTGTGGCGTACGTGAAGATCTTTATTATTTATTGCTGGAATGATGATGATGATGATGATTTGACCTCTACAGATTTATTATAAGTAATAGAATAAGATTGCCAGGATTATTAGTATTGTACGCTACACATATCAATAATTAATCGGTTTTTGAGTTGTTTGTGTTGCTGTAAGCTTTTCTCAAAATTCTGTGTTTATTTAATTTTAATCTTGCTATAAATGTGACGGGTTGAGACAAAGCGTTTGCCTCGTCATTTATACCGCGTACATCGAGGGATTGGAACAGTTTGCCGGCTGCAGGCTTTCCGTCCGAATACAATTTAGGCGTCTTCAAGGCTAGAGTGAATAGGCTCTTAATAAACTAGTGCGCCTTACCATCAACGATTGCATCACTGCTTACCATCAGGTGGGATCGCAGTCAAGCACTAGTTTATTGCAAGTAAAAAAAAGTTACTCTGTTTATCTGTCTATATCTCCTTCATACCTACTACAACTACTGAACCGATTTGGATAAAATTTAGTAGGTACAGACATAGTTTGAAACTCGAGAAAGGCCATATGATAGTTTTTATCCCGAGTTCCCGAACTCCTACGAGATCGGGAACTATGTGGGTAAGACCAAAAATCTGCCAGAATTGACTGTTTCATGCAGACAAAGTAGCAGGTAGAAGCAATTCACAATATTTTGACTTAAATTTCGATCGTGATATAGGTAGGAAACTTCATGCTAATAATTATGATAATATCATTATTATTAATCGGTATATTTCGTCCACAGGGTATTGACCGACGGTAAAGTAAGGACAAAGGACCTTGGAGGACAGTCCACAACCAAAGACTTCACCAACGCAGTCATCCACTGCCTGACATAAACCTAGACCATTCTAAAAGAACCAATGAAATAAATTAGTGAAGTTATTTTGAACTTTAATGCTTAGACACAAAGTTCATTATTGATTGGCAGTAAAGTTCTCTTAGGGTTGTATGACTCGAGTAACGTTTAAAATAATTGTTACGTCATAATCTATGTCGCTTATGAGACATTAAAATCGAATGGATTTAAATCGAGCAATGAAAGCAATCTAATTTGGACTATAGCCAAAAGAATTTAAGGTGACATTTCGTTTCATTGGTTCCTTGTAGCATAAAATCAAAATCATCCCTGAACACGTGGTGTTCGTTAAAAACTACATTTAATTATTTATTTATTTTTACTATTAATGTAGAAACAACGATCTGTGAATAGTGACATTATTACAATTCAGTATTCATTTATATGCAAGTATTTATGTAGGTACAATCAGTTGGGAGATGTAAATAAAACCATATTATGTACTACTAAGGGTTGTTTTTTATTTATCAACGTTACCTATTAACATATGACTGTGTACAAGACATAACTATTAGAATAACGACGGCAAATCTACCAAGTTACAATTTCTTTTTAAATGCTTTCTTTGGCAGTTATTTTTTATTTAATAACGTTGGTGTCTGTTGTCGTTCGTTATCCGTTGTTTGACGTTCGTTTTGTGTTATTCATCGTCCTTTGGTATAACTCTCGCAACGGCTAGCTTTTTAGTTCTGTCCGTTATCACATATTTTAGTGCATTGGGTGCCACCTGGTCAAATATAAAGAGATTAATTTATGAGGTCCATAGTGTCTCTCCACTGACATACAGTGAAGAAAGGACAGTCGCAGCGTTGTGTTCCGCTGCGCGAGTTAGGTTACCCGAGACCCAAGCCTTCTATTCATTAATCAAATCAAATTTCAGAGATCGTAACCTCAAAAAACATCAGTCAATTAACAAAAATTAACAGTTTTTATTTAAAGTTTCGTTTCCTTTTGGCACCCTCACCGTGATAGTGCCTGGTCCGTTCGCACCGGCCTCTGTATCGCCATACTTTAATACTGGGCTTGACATTAAATAAGAAATGTCAAAAGTTGAATTCCCCCCGAAAAACCCCCGTCATGTGGCAATAGACTCACGTTCTTACATAGGACTAGGAGTCCTAATTGTTGAAAACTAATCCTGATTGTTGAAAACTAATCCTAATTGTTGAAAATTTACTTAATATAATATTAAAACATACTTTCCTCGATCAATAATAATCGAATATCGAATCAAAGTTCTGCTTTGTGTCCTCTACCGTGCTTGTGACCTCTCAACAGTTATGAATAAACACTATGGTTGGCGGCCGATATCAAAATCCACTATAGATTGCCTGCGAGTCCCGATCGGAGCCTACTGTGTTTGCATTACGTTAACTCGATCGAGACTTTGCCGCGTTTAGCTCCCTGATTGGTTGGCGATTTTTGGAGCAAGCCAATCACAGTGCCGAACATCAAAAACATGTCGATTGTTGTCCCATTCATAATTTGAATGGGGGTAATTTTAATGAGTCTGAAATTTTTATGACGACGAAAGGGTGGGAATAATAAAGCTGAAAAACTTATCAAGGTGAGTTTATGTTAATGGCTTTAGGTATATACCTTCATTGGATTCCTATACCACGCTTCCTGCGACATCCTCTTGTAACATTTAAAGCGGGGCAGTAAGCTGATTTCCTCGATTCTTGGCATCAGAGCCTCCAATGGCATACTCTTACCTCGCTGTAATTTTCAACAATTTTAGTAGTTAGTAATAAGTACATCTTTTCGCAGTTAATTCCTGGTCACTATTTTTGCGAATGTTGGAATATACGCATAATGTACGTATACAAATATCCCAGTTTATACAAAGCATACTTCAATCATTCGTCAAACATTCAATCATTCAATGTTCACTTCAATCGCACTTTCTGTAGCGGACACTTCAATCGCACTTTCTGTAGCGGACACTGCCTCGAAATATATCAGTCGTTGAGGATACACGTCTTTTCTTTGTTTCACCTGTGCCCATTTGCTTTGGCAAATAATTGAAAAGTAGTTAGAAATAAATAAAATAGGTAGAAACGCAGTTAATACTACCTAACCATTCTTTAAATATGTATGATTTCATGGTGGGTGGACTAAACCTGCCAATGGGCACGAGACGGCAAATGAAAAGGTAGCTTTGGGCTCTTCAGGACCCGGGACGGGCCACTCCATACCTGTAGTTGTCCCTGTTAGTCTACCACTGGATTTTGTCATTAATTGTTTATTTATTGTTCTTGGGGAAACAAACAGATGTTACATAACATTGTCTTAATGTAAAATAAAATTATAACAACATACAAAGGAGTAGAGTCTCGACCGGCGTGATACCACGGTTTCACAGAAAACTGGTGTGAAACAACCACAGCGTTGTGTTTCACCGTGTGAATAAGGTTACCGGAGGTCCAATCCCTCCCCCTACCACCATCCCTTCCTAATCATTAAATATTCGAAACCCTTATCCCTAAAAGGCCGGCAACGCACTCGTATCTGCTTTGGTGTTGCGACTTGCGAGTGTCCTTGGGCGGCGTTGGTTGCTTACCATCAGGTGATGCGGCTGTTCGTTTGCGTTCGTAGCCTGTGACATGACAAAGATAAAATAAATAAACGTTTGTAATAGAGTCTTACCTTAATCGGTGGCGGCTCAAACACCTTTTTAGGTTCAGCAATTTGTGAAATGTATTCCATTTTCCTCTTCCATTCTGTATCGGTCCAGCCTTTCTTCTTTTTCAAATCTCTAGCATCCATTTTCTTAAGGTCTACCGTACAATTAGCCAGCTTCGCGTATACCGTGGCATTAGATGCTTCTATCATTCTGTCTATACGCTCCAGTCGATCTGGACTGAATCTATTTTTGTACATCCTTTTCAGTAGTAATAAACGTCTGCAAATGTATTCAAGGTAAGGTATAGGTATGTAAAAGTGCATACTTTAGGCACATCAAATTTAGGTGTGGGAGAGTCATGCTTCGGCACGAATACGTCAGCTCGACCGGCCTCACAGAAAACCGGCGTGAAACAACCACAGCGTTGTGTTTCGCCGTGTGAATGAGGTCACCGGAGGATCAATCCTTCCCCTCCCCAATCTCTAATCCTCAAAATGTCGGAAACGGACTCGTAACTCCTCTGTTGTGGGTGTCTAGGGGCGGCGCTAATTGCTTACCATCAGGTAATTCGTCTGCTCAACTTATTTTTTTCGTAGGATGAATAAAATTTACGTGTTTTACCTAAACCTACAAAATGTCTATGTACAATTAACAATGATTTTATGTATATTATATTTAAACATATTGATATCAAAGGTGACTGAGTGAGAGTGATTTATGAACGCACAGCTCAAACCACTGGACGGATCGGGCTGAAATCTGGCATGCACGTAGATGTTATGGCATAGCCATTCGCTAAGAAAGGATTTTGATCAATTCTACTCCCAAGCGGATAAAAAAGGTGATGAAAGTTTGTATATTAAGTATAGTCTTACATTTTCAACTGAACGAACTGAAGTTAAAGATTGGAGTAATAGTAGGTAATTAATATTAATGGAGTTCAGATATTGATAAATTTTATACGCAGGGTAACTGCGGATAAAATAAGGGATGATGAAGGATGCAAAAAGCGATCGAAGCCGCGGTCAAAAGCTATATACTTAGCTATCTATTAGTTTTGTACATATGCGACAAGATGCGAAGAAAAAGTTTTTTTAGAGGAACAAAGACAGTCTGTGTCTAAGACTTACTACACACAATTTTTATCATAAATATGTCGTTCTTTGTCGGTAGATCCTGCTTCACAATGTTTGGATAACCACAATATTCCATATATTATGACATATATAGGTACCATACCTAAGTTTCAAAATATAGAATTACTTACATTTATCGGGTACTTATGAAGGTGGTAAAGCAGGCCTGTAGAGTAACAACCAAAAACCTTACCTAGTAGATGGCCAAGCAATATCGGTGCTTTTGTCAGTAAGTCGCCCAGTTAAAGCAGATTGCCTGATGCCCGCCCTCGTGTACTGCGGCATTGATCCTTCGTAGCATTCAACAAAATATCTCCTCGGTTGGCTAAGAAGTTGGAGTCGCCTCGGAATCTTATGAGGAAAAGAAGTGGTTTGGAATTCATATTTCCTATCCATTTTGCTAACTGTTAAGAGAGTTATCCAGGTCTGTGTGGTTGGTTGTTAGTTATTGCTAGAGTTCTGATGTTACATGTTTGTTTAATAATATTTCTTTTACGTGGTCTCACTATCCATTTTGTAGTGTGTTTCTGGTTTCTGACATTGATGTGTTGTCGTGGTCTGACGGACATTTGAGCGTGCATTGTTTTCTACCTTTTTGTAAGGAGATTGCTTAATTTGGAGATCGTAATATACCTACATAGACGAGTCAAGAGCCTGCCCGCAGAAATTATTTCACTGAGGTGTAAATGGAAGTATCCTCACTGGTGGTAAAGGCTAGTCTGAAGACGGAAGACTCTTTGCAAACAGGCGTCGGTTGAAGTTTAAGACTGACTCATTCGCAAAGTTTCGTTAAAAGATAAATATTCTGTGCCATGTCACAAGCCACACTCCAACTAGTAATAGATCTATTACCTACTGGGCGATTTTATTTCGCTGAGCGGGACCGACACCGCTTTTCAAAGGGTCTTTTACTAGATATGCGTTAGTGTCGGCTATCGCTAAAAATCAGCGCTGCGACACTGTCTTGAATAGTGTCGCTGCATATGCTGAGCGAGGGCCATTTCGCGTGCTTGTGACGCAAATTTTTACTTATATTACTCTTTTTTTATATAGTATTACCATGTTTTTTTGTTTTTGTGTTTGTTTTGTGTCTTATGTGCGTTCTAGACGGGAATAAATACTTTTTCTTTCTTCTTTCAGATAGTACCTATATAGTACCTAGTGGTTAAACGAGCAGACAAATTACCTGATATGGTAAGCAATCAGCGCCGCCCATGGACACAACAACAGAAGAGTTACGAGTGCGTTACCAACCTTTTGGGGATTAGGGATTTGGAGATTTTGTGATTGGGAAAGTGGAAGATTGGGCCTCCGGTAACCTCTTACACGAAACAACGTTGTGGTTGTTTCACACCGGTTTTCTATGAAGCGTGCCGAAGCATTGCTCTCTCACACTTTACCGTATTTGAATTCGAGCAAAAATGAAATGCTTTTGTAATTTTAAACCATATTTATCTTTATTATTTGCGTCGGTTATTGATAGACGTGTTATACAAAAACTTCGTTCCTAGTCACTGATTTCACACCGGCACGATTGATACGGAAGGTCGATGATGATGAGAATGGCGGGGTGGTCTTGGATGCTCTTCAAGTGTCCGGTAAACTCCTTGGAACGGCTAGCTTCTTAATGCGATCCGATATTTGGTATTTGAGGGCAGCGGGATGTACCTGGCATAGAATAGGACACTGTGCTAGAATGTTTGATTAACAACGTGAATTTATTAATTACGGTAAAGAAAAACAGCAAAAATTTTGATTTTTATTACAAGTTAGAAATTGCAAATACATCTTGAGCAAGCGTGGTGCTTAATGCTCAAACCTCCTCCGTATGAAAAGAGGCCATTGCTCAGCAGTTGGCTCTTATAGCAGATGATGATGTGGTTTAATTACCAAAAGAAATTTTTACGTGTCCAATATTATAATTTTTTGAGGAGGGAATATCAGGAGAATCACCCTTTCTCTCTTTTACTAAATTAAAAACCCCCGTTCTGTCTCTTGCTCTTAGCCGAGGTCACGGTACCTTATTGCGCTTAAACTGCAAACCCGGCTAAAATATCATTTATTCTATAATAGAGAAATAGTCACCTTAATTGGATCTTTGTACCAGACTTCCTTCGATTCTCTCCTATAACACTTGAACTCAGGTGGGGACGATATCGCCTTGATCCTTGGCAACAGAGCTTCTAGCGGCATGGACTTACCACGCTGCAATATTAACATCGTGTATCAGAGACACGACCTAATTGCGATTCGACGCGATTCTGAGCGTGAAGATTTCAGAAGATATTCCGACTGATGATTGTGATTTAGGGAAACAAGCACCCTTTAGATTACTTTGGCATCGAACCATATCAAGTCTAAGGTAGACTATGCTAATGGCTGGCCTGCCTATAGATTTATCGAAACTTTCTTTCTTTTATCTGTTCATCACTACATAGTATAAAACAAAGTCGCTTTCTCTGTCCCTATAACCCTATGTATGCTTACATCTTTAAAACTACGCAACGGATTTTAATGTAGTTTATTTTAGAGTAATTAAGGAGGATGGTTTATATACGTAGATTACATGTATTCGTGCGAAGTCGGGGTGAGTCGCTAGTTAATTTACATTTCTTTCGAGTCAAAATATTTCTGTCGAGTTTAATTTAACCTTGGTTCTACGCAATTAAAACTCCACATGGACGGGATTTGGGAAATTTGATCCCTTATTTTAGAATCGACACAATTACTATCAAATTCGTCGCAATCATTGTCTTACTAATTTTGATGAATGACAAACCTTAACAGGGGGTGGAAGAAACGTCTTTTTAGGTGCAGCAACCATTGTAATGTAATCCAAGTGTTTCTTCCTCTCGCCCTCGGACCATAACTTTTTCTTCTTTGATTCTTTAGTGTCCTGTTTCTTGAGGTCAACCACGCAGTTAGCTAGCTTCGAGTAAATGGTTGCATTACTAGCCTCAATCATGCGCTCGAGTTTTTCGAGACGTTCTTGACTGAATCTTTTCCTGTACATATTTTTGACTATCATCAAGCGCCTGAAAAATAAACTAATTTATTTCAACTAGACCCTTACAGGCAGTTTTGAACGTCAAACAAAGGTTAAAGATGAAAAATGAATGTCGATCAGTCCTCTAAATGAAGCTATAGGCTCGTTTCAAAGTGTAGATTCTGATGGAGAAGAACGAGCAAGAAACTCCATGGTTACTCTTTTTAACCAGTTTCACGTACTGATTCTTTGTTACTCACATTATCTAAGTTGGTTTCATTATATGAGAAAAGTGTAGCATTAAATATTTTTTAGTTTTATGGTAACACTAGCTACTGTCCCGCGGTTTGACCCGCTGCTTGGCTCTTACATAACTTAGCGTGATATTTTATAGCCTGCCTCGACTATATATATTAGATATTAGATAAATTGACTAAAAAACCCAAAAAGATTTGTTCGATTTTGATCAGCGCGTTCCAACAAACTAACAAACTCTACAGCTTTATAATACTACTTTAGTATAGATTCTTACCTAATCCATGGCCATGCGATATCATTGATTCTATCGGAAGGTTGTCCATTCAAAGCGGATTTTCTGATCCCAGATTGGGTGTAGCCAGGTCCATCCATAGATTCAACGAAATCTCTTCGTGGGATGCTTAGAGCATTCAGCCTCTTGGGTATTTTGTAGGGGAAGCTAGCTGTTGGTAGTTCTACTCGCGTATGATATCTAGTCATGGTGATAGTGATAGCTAGCCGACCGTAGATTTTATATTAATTTGTTCCTTATAGAGTTACATGTTTGTTTTACTTACAGATTATTTTAGGCGATGAATGGATTTATTTCCATTGTTATTGTTTTGTTGGTTGATGTGTTTGTTGATTGACGTTGTCAGTCCGTGGCCAAAGTGAATTTGAAAGATGTGTTCAAATTTAAATGACGTTTTGTTTTTTTAATTTCTTTAGCTAAAAAAGGGTTGGTTTCGAAAACGGAGTAAATCTACAATGTTAATTCGTATAACATTCGTAAATTACGATTTTCTTGCTAGAATTAACTTTTAATGTGGTGACGTCACTGATACCTAACAACTTAACAGTACACCATCTTGATCTCCGGCCACCGTAAGTGCGGGTTTGCGGTCGGCGAGTAATTGTCACTCGCCGGCCGACCAGAACCAGACCCGAGCGTACGGCGCGTAGTGTTCCGCGCGCGCCTCAAAGGGCCAATAGACCAACACTAACGGGGCCCTATAGAGCTGATGTTCAGCCGGGGTTGCGGGGTAAGCGCAATGAGGCACCGCGACCTCGACCCAGAGCACGAGAAGGAACAGGGGTTTTTTTTAGTCAGTAAGAGTCTGACACTCCCTCTGTGTCTGAGAAGTCAAACAATGATTTTCCCTTCACAAAAAAACAACAGTACACCATCTTCAAACAAACAAAGATTAAAGTCTTCAGTTTAGCTTGATTGCATTGGCTGGCGTGCAATGTGTCGCGGGTTTAATTCTCGCACGGAACAACTTTTTGTGTGATCAGCAATTTGTTGTTCCGGGTCTGGGTGTGATGTGTATGTGCAATAATATGTCTGTAAAACGAATCCATGATAAAGGACAGAATCCTGGAGTGGGGTAAAGTTTTTATTTAAAAAAAGCGTTTCCATTATAGGCTTTGTTTACAAGCCCGCTTTTAATATTTTGCTATAATTATGACGTACGGACTTAACCTAGAAAGGTGCTACGCAAAATGCTTTAACGTACCTAGTAGAAACAAAACACATAATAATATACGTTACAAACGAAAAAAAATATAGAATTTATATTTGAAATAAAAAATATATTTGTAACTGAATGAATTTTATTATATTATATTCGAAGTGAAATTTTATTACAATTGCATTTAGGATTTTGAGTAATAGCGTGTATGAGGAATAATGGATAATATATCCTGTGAAGAGTCGTTATTATAAATCAATACAAATAATAGGTATGTTATAAGAATTAATGAGACTATAAAAACCAGAAGGTAACAAATCATTAATACGAAAGGGTTCCAAATCAGAGTTGGCGGTGTGATCATCAGTAGCAGTCCATTCTACCGCCTCGGCAGCTGTTGTACCCGCTGTACCCGTGAGCTCTGCAGCACTCGTCCTTCTCAGCGTCGATGCGGGAGCAGACCTGGTCGCAGGGGCCCACACGGACGGCGCCGACGGAGGCCAACATCGCGAAGGCAATGAGGAGCAGCACGAGGGTGGTCTTGAGAGCGGCCATTGTACTGGACAACTTGATGTCGAGAGACGATTGTAGCGAGACGAAGATGTGTCAACTGTGGAGCTTTACCAGCGTCGCTCGGTATTTATACTGCGAGTTTCATCGTAGATGTGTCACTAACCAATTGTTTGTTTACATTTTATTATAAGTAGGTACCTACCTGAACAGGATATTTTACTAATAATATTATCCTTAAGTAATTTAATTCTCTTTTTGTGGTTTCATTTAAATAAGTGGTGCGTAAAAAACATAAAACAGCTTTAGTTGTTAGGTATCTGAAAGTGTTGGAAGTAGTGGAATGGGATATATTTACCGCCTTATAGGTGTATAATCTACTTTAAAATTCACAATACGATTATTTAAAACCAAAGTCAAATCATTCATTTCCACGGTACTTTTGAAAGTCAACAAAATAATTAAATTTAAGAAGTTAAAGCGTGCCAGTCTATCGGTATCCGGTACCTGTCCTGTCTAGTGAATATGCTCATTCCAAAGTGTAGAATAAACTGTAGCCTATGGAGAAAAACGAACAAGAAACCCTATTCATGCTCTTTTTTAGATAGATTGTAAATTGAACTAAGAATTGGACTTTATAATGCCCTTCATTATTAGGTATATCCTATATATGGCGGCTATAAGGGCTTATAGCCACCATGTGAGGGTACGATGCCACAAACACTATGGTACTTGCAATGTAGACTTGTTGTTGTATAGGATAAGGCTGATCAACTTATATACGCAACCTTAGCATGGACCTAATAAAAAAATATACGCGGGAATAAATATAATCGTGGGAAAGCCATGTTTCAGCGCGAATGGGCCGACTCGGTCGACCAGCATGATACCACGGCCTCACAGAAAACCGGCGTGAAGCAATACTTACGTTGTGTTTCGTCGTGTGAGTGAGGTTACCGGAGGCTCGGAGGAGGAGAAATAAAATAAAAATTAAAACAATTGTCTTTTTTATTTAGTTTATTACAAATAAAATAAAATTTAAAACAGAAAAATAAATCGAGGAATCAGTTAAAATTGGGCTCCAGTACTCACTGGAGCCAACCCAACACTGGTTTTCAGTTGGCATGGACGAAAACAATGTTAATCGCAAGGTAAATATTATGAGATGAATCTCTGTTGAGAGCTTAAGGTTGATTGTGCTTTGTTGGTGTTTTATGACGATCTTGTTATAAATAAAAATGTATTGCTGTTCGTTAGTCTCACTAAAACTCGGGAACGGCTGATCCGTTTTGGATAATTTAGGTATTAAAAGATTTGTTGTAGTCCATATGAGGCGGTACGGAGTTTGCCAGGTCAGCTAGTTTTAAATAAAATGACACTACTGTTTAGCTGTATATTATAGTTAGCTGTATATTGAGGCAACTAACTTAACGCAACAAACATATGCATTCCATCGGACACTCTCCTAATGGTATTTACCAATACTGTTGCCTCTCGATATGGTGTAACTATTCATAAGAATTGTGTGTGGAACGAACATTAATTTACAAGCAAAGCTGCAGATAAAAGTTAGTCTTCTTAATAAACTTAGTTCAGCTAACCAGTCTTCCTTAAAATCTATGCAACTCTTTGTTGTGGTTACCTAATGGTTTCTCCAAGATCTAGTTAGATGAATCAAGATCACCTCTTTCCTCCTGGAAATTACAAGGCAGAACGCAGTTAAGGTGTTTACTAATGAATAAATACAGTACAAATAAGAAACATTGCAACATGTTTTATTACTAAAGAACCTACCTACAAGCCTATGACACAAAACAAAGAAATGAACCTTAAGGGGGATGAATGCAACCAGACGTGGTCGGAGTGCCGCAGCCCGACCCTGAGCAGAAGGTAAAGGGGGTTAATCAGTAAGAGTCTGCAACTCTCTCACAGTGTCGGAGAGGTCACTTCCTGAATTGGCCCCTTCAAAAAAATTCTCGTGCTTTAAAAATTCTTTCAAACAAATAGGTAGGTATTGTTAACTCTACACTACTATGGCGGCTGCCATCGCCATTCGCCATCTCAACAAAAAAATATTGATTACTAAATTAATTACCTATTACAAGTGTTTCTTCATATTTCTCTTCTATCAGATGTTAGTTTTCATGACTTATATAAAATACCTAATGGGTTGCAGGGATGTCTAATTTTTAATTTTAAACATTCAACACGTAACAAGATGAGGTACCTATTATTCATCTTATTACGGAATCAAAGACATTTGACGATACATTGATTTAACTTATTTAATTTTTTTTATGGATAGGGAGTAAAACGATAAGATGACCTGATGGTAAGCGATTAGTACCGTCTTTATTCACCCTCAACACCAGAGGATTGACAAGTGTGTGACAAGCAAAAGACCACCACAGACGGGTCACACACGGGAATCACAGGGCTGCTGATGTTCAGCCGGAGTTGCGGGGTAAGCGCAATGGGGCACCACGACCTCGGGCCAGAGCAAGAGAAGAAACAAGGAGTTTTTAGTCAGTAAGAGTCTGGCATTATAGGGGAAAGAAGTCACTGGACGATTTTCCCCTCACAAAAAAAGGAAAGGTATATACGGTAAATGATGTTTTTGTACGACAAGATAAACAAATACGTTTCTAATCAATTCAATACCCTCTCTGATGTTATTTGTTTACGAAATTATTGATCAAGTAGCCACTTTGATAAGCGCCACCAAAATATTATTGACCATCACATTTATCTCTGGGGGAAGCACCCAAGTTTGATGATAAACAAAAAGGCAATAAATAAAATAATTTGCATTATTATATGCTAATAAGTCACTTAAGCTTTTTAGTGACAGATTCAGATAACAGTGACGATCATCGATGTTAATATTGCGCATTGTAAAAGACATAAGCACTAATGTTTGAGGAAAAGAGTATTTTTTATTTGCACAAATTATCCTGTTCATGTCCTTTAAGTACCTAACAAATATCTTGTTTAGTGACATACCTACAATTTCATCCATAGTAGATGTGTCACTAATTGGTTATCATTGTGTTTCCTACGCAACTATCTGAACAGGATAATTTTGTAGGTAAATAATAAATGAAGCTTTTCCTCATACATTCGTGACTGATATGTAATCTAAATATTTTATTAAAATGTAAATTTCGTAATTAGCATTTATTATTATGTAAATTCCTTTTTCGCTGTCGGATTTATAATCGGATGTTTTCCCCAGATATAATTGAAATAATGTTAGTGGTGGTATACTAAAGTATTTTTCATCACACTTCCTCAAAGCCACTTTAGGCTTTTATCCCATGGCAATTAGGCACATAATGACGGCTTTATTCATCTGTGACTTTTTCATTATAAGTATTCACTAATGAGTAAAAGTCCTCGGCTCCTCAGCGGTAATCACCAACATTACACACTTGTACCATAATGTACTATTATCCTTCATCAGTTTTTTTATATCACAATCATATAGAAAATTTTGCCAATAATAATGCAAAAATTTAATTGGTAAAATATTTAAAAAAAAATTCAAGCCTTTTTTTTTGTGTGGGGAAAATCATCATATGAAGAGAGTGTCAGACTCTTACTGACTAAAAACCCCCTCATTACTTCTCCTGCTCTGGGCCGAGACCGCGGTGAGTTAACTTCAACCAATACCTACCTACATATAGGTATTACGTTTATTATTGTGGCTTAAGAATGTGTAAATTTAATATAAGAAAGCTCTATTTTAACATCTTGCAATTATCCTTTATCATAGTTATTTACTATCACTGACAATCTGTTAGGCTCTGAGTCACATCTCCGTATGAAGCTTATCCCCACGCTTGATAGGCAGGGGATAAGAAAAGAGAAAGATTTTAAAAGGTACAGGTTTATCAGAAAGAAGTCATACTTTTTGTTAAACGTTTATTTGTTTGAGGGCTGATAAACCCCCAATTCCTTCTCTGGCCCTAAGGCTAGAGGGAGTGTCAGACTATTATTGGCAATCACTAAAAATCACTCTTAGCCTTCTTCGGTGGGCCAGGCAGCGGTACATTAATACGCTTTCTCCTACCCTGAGTCAGACTGCGGTATATCACTCACTACGCTTTGCTTGGAAACCCATAGCCCCATATGGCCCATGTGTAGTGGTCTGATAACTCTTAAAAGGATAGTCTCAAAATTAAAAACCGATCACAATATCAGAAAACTGGCGTGAAGCAACACTTTACGTTGTGTATCGTCGTGTGTGGGAGTGAGGTTACCGAAGGCCCAAAAACTCCCCCTCCTCCTTTAAAAAATCTCGTGAAGGTATCAAAATCACAGCCATTTGTATGACACTGATACATATATCATTATTTTACAACACGCGCAAAAAAAGCGGGAATGCATAATTTTCCTCATAAGTAACCTACATCTCTATAGTACATACCATAAAGTGGGTATAGTCTTGTCATAGGTAATTAGACTTCGGGGAAACCACTACAAACAGTTTCTTAGACATTGAGGAAGTGTGGGCAGGTAAACTAAGCTAGCTTTATAAGCTAATACACTACTAGGTAATACGCGCGGCTTAGCTCACGCAATCACGCAGTACTTAATTGTGTTTAATGAAGCCTTATAATATAATTATTCGTAATCCTTTCTTATAAGCCAAATGGTTGGAGGACCACGACCTCGAAGAAAACCGGCGTGAAAAGGGGAGGGGAGGCCCAACCCTTCCCCTCCCCTAAGCACTAAATCTCCCAAATCCCAAATCCACAAAAGGTCGGCAACGCACTCGTAATCCTCAATTGTTGCAGGTGTCCATGGGTGGCGCTGACTGCTTGACACCAGGTAATACGTCTGCTCGTTTGCCGACCTATGACATAAAAAAAGGCCGGCAAAGCACTCGCCACTTCCCCGATGATAAGGGTGTACTTAGGCGTTTATTATCCCATAAAAATCTGTTGTAAAGATATATGTAAGTTACACTTTCGTCTCATAGTCAACGTAATGTTGTCGTTACTTGTTAGGTAAGTATCTATACTACGCAGCGACCTCGTGACAACAAAACATAAATAAAATCGTTCAAGGAAAAACTTTATATTTTATTAAAATTCTTATGACGATAAATAAATAAGTAAACAAACAATAACTAGTTTAGTAACACACTTATAATTATGTAGAGTATAAATACAGAGCGATGCTGGTAAAGCTCCACAGTGGCCACATCTTCGTCTCGCTACAATCGTCTCTCGACATCAAGTAGTCCAGTACAATGGCCGCTCTCAAGACCACCCTCGTGCTGCTCCTCATTGCCTTCGCGATGTTGGCCTCCGTCGGCGCCGTCCGTGTGGGCCCCTGCGACCAGGTCTGCTCCCGCATCGACGCTGAGAAGGACGAGTGCTGCAGAGCTCACGGGTACAGCGGGTACAACAGCTGCCGAGGCGGTAGAATGGACTGTTACTGATGATCACACCGACTCTGCTAATATAATGTCGTGTTTGTAACTGTAATAAGTGACACAAGCCTAGAAACCTAATCTATTAATCTTGTTTGTAAAATTTCGATACACGTGTGTCTTTCTCTAATTAATGAGGGTTGTTCTATTTCTCCTTGTTTACACTAAAAATGTGAATATTAGATAAATAAATCATAATTAATAAATAAATTTATGATAAAAAATTGGTTATCTTTTATTCTTTATGTTAATCCGACCTCTTGCAAATATGTATAATTTGAACAAAATAATTCTGAAGAAACAAAAGTCCAACTTTTACAGATTTAATTCCCGCGCCATTAAAGTAGTGAATTTTTAAATAAAAAAACTTAATATGGAATATTCTGTATGGCAGTATGATCAAAATCTGTAGGTACCATACGAATCATATAACTAACTAATCTATATATATATACTATACATAAAGTAAAGTATACATACAGAAAGCGACTTTGTTTTATACTATATGTATACTTAGTGATACTTCACTAAGTATACATCTTCTTCTTCTTTATATATAAAAATGGATCGCAAAATGTGTTGTAAGCGCATAACTCAATAACGCCTGGACCAATTTGGCCAATTCTTTTTTTAAGATGTTCGTTGAAGTCCAAGGATGGTTCTTACGGCGAGAAAAAATCGAATAATTGCCGGGAAAACCCTAAAAACAGTCCTTTTCTTTTTCACATACAAACGTTTTCTAACTAAAACGTCGAATCAATTTGAGCTTTATTGCTGTTATACATAAGGTTCATATTAAATAACAAGCACTCACTGTCATCTAAGAAATAAGTGAAGGAAGAAAAGGTGTGTTCCTTACGTCAAAAAGTAAATTTGCACTTTCTTACCACTTAACAAAGTTCAAATTCAATCATCTATCAAAACAGTGTGCGCGTGTGCTTTGGAGCTGGAGCTCAGAATTCGTCGTTTGAGGATTAATAAGTTGGGTTCCGAATACAAAAAAAAATCCGATTTGAATGATTCTTTCAGTGTTATGTAGTCCATTTATCGAGGAAGGTATATTTTATTTAATTCAAAATTAGGGATATGTAATAAAATTGCTATTTTGTAACACAAGGAGTAAAATCGAAAACCTATTTTTGCGTGCGCTGCAATAACTATTGACCATAGAACAAAATGATGTACTACGGGTTTGTAGATTCTATTAAAACCTACAAAAAGTCTGCGAGAGCATATATCTAGCTATCATGGTTTAATCACAATACCCGATTTTGTGTTCAAAATAATTATTAAATCGTCTGAAGGAAAAAAAGCGTTAAATGTGTATCGTAATATTAGGTATTCTTTATCGGAATTAAGCATTATGTTATCAAGAGTATTTATTTATAAGTATTTTAAAATACTTTTTTATTTCCTCTCAATCTCTCAATCGTTTAAAAGTTATCATGTGTGTAAGATGTTAAGAGTTGGTACCTTATTAATGAGTTATGGACCATAGAGTTTTTTATCAACATAAAATCCTGTAATAATATTTTTCGTAATATATTTGTTGATTATTGTAAGTATAAGATGTTTGAAGAGTATAAGAAATACATTTCTAAACTAACTCTGCTAAGGAAAAGGAAATCCAAGGAAAAACATACATCTTAATTTGGAAATGTCGTTGCGGAAGCCATACGATGTAAATGAATTAAATGAGTATATTACTGTAAATGCACCCAAGTTCTTTAATGATCAGGTAATGGCAAACAATAGTGTTTGCCATTACCTGATAGTGTTGTTTCAATGAGGGTAAAATATTTTTTTGGATGCTCCAGGCGGAACCGGCAAAACTTTCATTAGCTACTAATATGATATTAGCAAAAGTAAGGTCTCAGGGAAAACTAGCTTTGGCAGTAGCGTCATCTGGAATCGCTGCTACTATATTAGCTGGCGTACGCACAGCTCATTACACTTTTAAACTAACATAACCTAACCGTTTCGTTACAGAAAAATGGCCTTTTAGGCAAAGTTTTGTAAGATGTCACTTTAATAATCTGAGATAAATGTACCATTATTCATAGAGCTCATGTAGAGGCTCTAGATAGGACTATTATAGATATTAGAGACTGTGATAAAATCATGGGTGGGATTACTGTCATGTTTGCTGGGGATTTTCGGCAAACTTTACCAGTAGTAGTAAGAGGAACTAAAGTAGACATTGTAAAAAATTGCCTTCAAAGTTCTCTGTTATGGAAATTTGTTCATACCTTAAAACTATCTACGGACATGAGAGCATATTTGGGAGGAGGTAGTACAAATTTTCCTTTGAAGTTACTTTTAGTTGGAGACGGAAAAGTACCTTATTTTGAAAATAAAATACCTATTGATCAAGATTAAGGAGAAAAAAAGACTAGCATTGAGAGTTAAATATCAAAAGATATCGTCGAAATAGAAAATAAAGATTATCAATGGAAGTGTGCACAGTCGGTGCGGTGGCTGGGCAACTGGCTGCCGTGCAACGTGTCGCGGGTTCGATTCCCGCACGGAACAACACTTTGTGTGATCCACAAATTGTTGTTTCGGGTCTGGGTGTCATGTGTATGTGACATTGTATGTTTGTAAACGCACCCACAACACAGGAGAGAATCCTAAAGTGTGTACAGTAGAGTAAAGTCTAAACAGTAGTGTTGACAAAATTAACGATTTAATTTTAACTAAACTTCCAATGGATCAAGAATATGCAGTCCATTTATATCCATACAGGGATTTTTTCATTCTTTAAACCCGAGGGGCATCCCATCACATTCTCTCAAGTTAAAAATTGGTGCCCCATTATTTTACTTAGAAATTTATGTAACGGGAGACTTTAGGTTAAATTTGTTCGCAATAACGTGATAGTTGCAATAATAGTTTTGACTGGTCCAGTGGTTGGTCAAACAGTATTTAAACGTCGGATCCTAATGATTCCAAATGATTTGCCTTTACATTTTAATCCAATTCAGAAAATAAGACAAAAAATATAATTTATACTTTTTACTTTAAAATGATATTTGAACCCGGTTTAAAGTGGACGGACACTCCCGTCTGTAGTCGTAATTCTTACTTTGGCTGAATTTCGAACAGATAAACAGCTATTGCTTACTTGACTTATACAATTTAACTTAATCTATATCTTTCTTAATATTATACCTAAACATGAAAAGTTTGGTTGTTTGTTATGAAGGCGGTAATCTCGGGAAATGCTGATCTGATAATAATGAAAACTGTTTAAATATTCAATAGTCCATTTATTGAGGGAGGCTATAATATAGGCAATATTTTATCTCGGTATTTCCACGGAAACGACAAAAACGCGGGTGAAACCGCGGGGCACAGCTAGTATAGTATAAAACAAAGTATACATATAGTATAAAACAAAGTCGCTTTCTGTGTCCCATTTTACATACATAGGGAAATGGCTTAATTAAATCTTTAAAAGCACGCAGCGGCTCTTGCTGCTGGTTGTTTATACGATAGAAGAGGATGGGAGAAGGAGAAAGCTTATCACCACATCTATTAAGTAGTGGCGAAATTGAGTATCAGCTTTGCACCGGAGCGAAGCCGGAGCCGGTCGCTAGTAGGTATATTATAAACGCAAAAGTTTGTAAGGACATACATAACCGCACCCGGATTCGAAACCTGGCAAATACCAATGTCACTTTTTCCGAGCTATGTGTACTTTCTGTAAATATTTATACGGTGAAGGATAACGTGGAGAGAAAACCTGAACTTTTAATTTCTAATCATAAGTTTAAAATCGCCAGTCTTGACCGAGCGTGGTGATTAAAGCACGCTCAGCATTGGGCACTTATATGCTGGTGGTGATGATGTGATTGTGCCCCTCAACTTACCCTTTTGAAGGATAATAAGGATATTATTTGTATGTTATTATCAATTGTCCCCGGTCACTTGGAAGGCGTACGAGGGGCCGACACCAACTGCGCAAATCCAAAGAATGAAGAAATAGATCATTTATTTGTTTGGTTACCCCTGTATACACTATAATTAATACGTTATTTCGCGCCGTTTTTCTGTGGTATCACTCACATACACTCAGGTCGAACCGACCCGTTCGTGCCGAAGCATGGTTCTCCCACACTTAAATTATTATTACAGAAAGTTTATTATATTAACAATGAAAGTCAATCATCGAATGTAAATAAATAGAAACTCGTTTCGTATACCTACGTCATTATTTTGTTGACGTCGCGATGTGTGTAATCTTGTTTTGGGTGCAAAAAACTATTGATTTAATTTACATAATATTATAGGTATAACCTAATAAATAACACGTTTTTTAGTTACCTTCTGTGAATCGTTTTAGGTGTGTTACCTAAATGTCACACGTGTCGTGTTATCGTGTAGTTATTTTTTAACTACTTTCATGTTCAGTGTTGTTTGTTAGGTTGCATACTGGGTTTAAGGTATTCAGATTATCATATATCAATGTATCTTCAGCAACTAGGTTTAATACGGTAGTTTCCAACTAGTCAAATTCAATACTTTTATGCAAATGTCAAAAACGATACTTTTCTACGAAATTAGTATGAAAAACTGAGTTATGACGTCTATGACGTCATAACTCAGTTTTTCAAAAACTTTTATCCAAATGTCAAAAACGATACTTTTCTATGAAATTAGCATGAAAAACTGAGTTATGACGTCATAGTTTTTTTGTGTCACATACATTACTTTTTTCTTAAAAAATAGCTGAAAAATAACTAAAATTCAGTGTATCGAGCGATCGATGAATAAAATTATAGTTATTTTTCAATGTTTTATTGTATTGAAACGTCGAATTAATTTATTTTTGACCTAGAAAACTACCCAATTGTGGGTGAGCCAAGCTTCGGTATGGTTCGCTTCACCGGAGTGACCATGGTCGTTGTTTCACCGTCGGAGTGAGGTTACCAGAGACTCTATTCATTCCACTCCTCACCTAATCTATCCTACTCCCTGATCTACCTATCATTGACAAATCCCTACATCACAAAAGGCCGACAATACACTCTTGATTATCCATATTTTGGGGACCCTTCCCATCGCTCAAAATTTGCCGGTTTCCATGGGCGGCGCCAATTGATTACCATCAATAATCCACTGCTCTTTTGCCACACTGTTACATAAAAAAATGCCGATGGATAGCATGAGATTAGCCCTTGCAAGAAAAGAGATAATATGATTGATGTATTCAATAGACCCTCGCGCCTAGTGCTACGCGCCGTACGCTACGTGCTACGTGCTACGTGCTACGAGCTACGATTGACACTCTGATGATTTCTCAAATAAAGACTCCGGACGACCACGACACTTAATCAAGTAGGTATTAGGTATACTCGTATAGTCATTATAAATTAAACAGGTTGTGTAATTGGAGGTTGTGAGGATATGACCTTCGGTTTATTGTATGAAGAAATAAATTACATTGTTTTATCAATTATTCATTAATTCGCGAAGTTAGGTTGCCAATAGCAACAAGTGTTAGCAAAAAAAAATTTATGTAAATAAAAATATTATGACGTTGATAGACAAACTGGTTCATTGGATTTCCATAGCTGTAGCATTAAGGTGACGATTGGCTCAAAACATCCGCAGGCACCTACCTACTTTGAAGCAGTTTTTTTTCTTAATAAGTAAATATGAATATGAATAATCAATACCTAATCTAAAAAAAGTGTGGGAGAGCCATGCTTTGGCACAAATGGGTCGGATCGACCGGAGTGATACCACGGCCTCATAGAAAACCGGCGTGAAACAACCACAGCGTTGTGTTTCGCCGTGTGAGTGAGGTTACCGGGAGGCCCAATCCTTCCCCTCCCCCGATCCCTCCCAATCCGTAAATCTCCAAAACCCTAATCCCTAAAAGGTCGGCAACGCACTCGTAACTCCTCTGTTGTTGCGGGTATCCCATGAGTGGCGCTGATTGCTTACCATCAGGTAATCCGTCTGCTCGTTTGCCGACCTATCACATAAAAATACTTACAAAATGATATATTCAACACAATCATGCCCAGAGCAACAACAGTAACAGGAATCAAAAGTTGCTTAGCAGGTGGTCGGCCAGCTACTACGCCAGCCGTGTAACTTACTGTAATAATGTAGAGGACGATTTTCTTAATCCTAATCCACACAGGTAAATATGAAAGACGATCTCTGGGCACCTTAATCGTGGGTCTGCGGACGGCGAGTAAGGGTAGCCCGCAGCCCTACCAGAACCAGACCCGAGCGTACGGAGCGTAGCGTTCCGTTCGCTCCTCAAAGAGCCAATAGACTACCACCTACTAGCCGGGGTTGCAAGATAAGCGTAATGAGGCATCACGACGCGAATCACGAAGTGTGTACCGTGCTACAAAACCTATTATTACTGTACAGCAAGGTAGGATACAGTTGTCACCAGTATCCGGTCCGGTTTTAGGGGTCTAAAACCTACTTTCCCTCGGACAGGCGGCGGTATGTAGACAGAATCAAATTAACAGGACTCTCTGATAAAACTGATCCTAAAAATTACGACCTCCAACGTTCTCGTCGAACTTGGAGGTTATGGCATAAAACAAATATCTTTTGTAAAAAAAGTCTAGAGTTCAGCTTGCTTCAAAGAGCCGTTGATGATAATAGTAAGTCTTATAATGAATACCTTAACATGTTTAAGGAGGTTTGAGTATAGGTATATAATTATATCAAACAAAATAGTTTTAAATATAATTTATTAAACACGATTATTTACAATTTTCAGATAACAATAGTATTGTGTTCGGAGCATCTTATACTGATGTGTTAATAAAAATATGTATAAACATTAAAAATAAAACAATTAAATAACTAAATTTGTACCTATATCATCGACTTTGAATATGGTAAGCCTAAACTTCCAGAAGAATTGGTGTGATCATCAGTAACAGTCCATTCTACCGCCTCGGCAGCTGTTGTACCCGCTGTACCCGTGAGCTCTGCAGCACTCGTCCTTCTCAGCGTCGATGCGGGAGCAGACCTGGTCGCAGGGGCCCACACGGACGGCGCCGACGGAGGCCAACATCGCGAAGGCAATGAGGAGCAGCACGAGGGTGGTCTTGAGAGCGGCCATTGTACTGGAGCACTTGATGTCGAGAGACGATTGTAGCGAGACGAAGATGTGGAACTGTGGAGCTTTACCAGCGTCGCTCGGTATTTATACTGCGAGTCTAAGCGTATGTAGGCAAATAAGTATGAGAAACTGGTTATTGTTTCTTAATTAGGTACCTACGTGAACAGGATAATTTTGTAAATAAATATATAATAATAAATAAAAATGAAGCTTTTCCTCAAATATTGTAATATTTACGTCTTCTCACATTTCTCTTAATGCGATTGTACCTAACTGGTAAATGTAATAATTATGTAGATCGCTTTTTGGTTCTTCCTTCTGTGGTGTTGCCATAATATTTTCCCCAGTTACAACGGTGTGAAAAAGAAATATTTTTTTTATGGAAAGAAAATTAAAACGTGTTTTATTACTAAACTACTTAGCTACTCTCGCGCGGCTTCAACCGCTGCTCGGCTCTATTTAATCATAGCTTGATGTTTTATAGCCCATAGCACTCAGGAGCATTGTAGCTATCTATCAGTAAAAGAATTTTGGCAATCGCACCAGCAGTTCCAAAGATTACCCCCAACATACAAACTTTATTTTTCACCAACCGTGCAGTCAACTACAGACTAATCTAGATTTAATTAAGATTGAAGAAAAGTCTAGATTGAATTAGTATTACTTTGTCAATATTATTTTCATTCAGTAGAATGAAAAAAATCTTACTCATAGATTTTGATTGCACGGTTGGCGCGGTGGCTGTCGCGCAACGTGACGCGGGTTCGATTCCCGCATGGAACAACTCTTTGTGTGATCAAAAAATTATTGTTCCGGGTCTGGGTGTGATGTGTATGTGAAATTGTATGTTTGTAAACGCACCCACGACACAGGTGAAAATCCTAGTGTGGGGCAAAGTTTTAATATAAAAAACCTATTTCCCATTTTTGATGTGATGTAGCTTAGAGGTAGATTTATAATAACAAAAATGTGTGTTGGTGTGTGTGGTTACATTCTTACTGTTTTTCGATTTATACTCATGTTGTCGCTGATAGAAAAATTCTTTGTGTTCTCTAGAAATTATTATATTGGATCTAACTGCGATAATTTGGAAACTTTGATTGTAAAACAGTGACTTATATTAATTAGTAATATATTCCTCCACGTTTGTTTACATTTTGTCTAATAACCAACACGTGATGTTTTGTTGTTGTTTATGTAGATTTTTACGCGCCAAGCGTGGCAATGCGACCTCAAAACATAATCAAAATCAGTTAAGGAAAAGTATATTTTATTATTTTCCTGTTGTAATAGGTATAATAAATACTATAACCAGTTAGTGACAAGCTTAGGTACTATCAGACTCACGGTATAAATACAGAGCGACACTGGTAAAGCTCCACAGTCGACACATCTTCGTCTCGATACATTCGTCTCTCGATATCAAGTGCTCCAGTACAATGGCCGCTCTCAAGACCACCCTCGTGCTGCTCCTCATTGCCTTCGCGATGTTGGCCTCCATCGGCGCCGTCCGTGTGGGCCCCTGCGACCAGGTCTGCTCCCGCATCGACGCTGAGAAGGACGAGTGCTGCAGAGCTCACGGGTACAGCGGGTACAACAGCTGCCGAGGCGGTAGAATGGACTGTTACTAATAATGACACCGCTAACTGTGCTAGTAGGTATTGGAGCCTTCCCGTACCTATTCATGACTTGAACAACGCAGCTCTCTAGTGACCTAACGAACACGCCAGAATTATTGTAAATATTATATGCTTAATCGTAATTATTAAAATTTAGAAGAACTAAGTGTTTTGTTTCATTTAATGATTATCTAAGTTCTGACATTGTCTTTAAACGTGACCCTTTCACGCGCATTAGACTTATCCACTCTCCAGTTCCCGTAACAACCTAAATTGCTACATATCACCTACCACACATCTCTGCAATACCAAAAAGATGACTGGCAGAAAATGCTTCTAGCATTAAGTCCTCCGATATGAAATTGTATATAAAAAATAAACAAATAAGTGTAACTCATCTGATGTTATGGTAATTATTGAGCACTAATTAAAGCTTTAAGAGACTAAGTGAAATCAATAAAATGAGTAGAATCACAAAACGTAAAAAAATGTCTAGCGCTCTTGCACTTGAACGATATGATATTCTTCGTTGGGGAGTCGGCTGACTCAGTTGGTGGCTCTTACTCCCTGACAAAAAGGAAAGGTATTTTTTTTGTTTTCCCTGCAAGTACAATATGTTTTTTTATGGTAGGTACTACATGTATTTCATATGTTACTGTGGTACATTCGTAGGTATGGTAGAGATAAGGTTTAATTTTGTAAACAAATAATTACTTTATTGAACAGCCGAAAAGCGCGATAATTAATAAAAAAAATGACGCTGCATAAATGATACACTGAAAAAATCCTTGTTTAGGGAAACGTTTAAAAAACTGTTTATAAAATCTATGATAGGTATATGTAGGTAATATCTATTTATCATAACAACATAAACAAGATGTTAACATTTTTTATTCGATCACAACCAAGAGGATAATATTATGTAAATTAAAACAATATTTATAACCAAAACATTATGACGCATCAACAAGATTATGACGTAGGTAAGTAAGTGCATACGTACCGACAAAACTAGTTTATCAACCTACAAACGTTTGTCCTAAGATGTCCCAGATATGAAGCGTTGTAGGAATTGTCAGGTGTAACTATTAAATATTATTTATTCACGCATCATATGTAATGGAGGCAACACTAGTTTGTTTTCAATATAGGTTGTTTCTAATTCGGTATTTTGCACAGTGCCTAAATAATAAATAAAATCAGTATTTCCGATTATTAATTGTCTTTTCGATAAATTTTACATATATTTATTTTGGTACCAACTTAACTTTCGTATTTTTTGAGGCACTTCTTTGACGTTCCATTGTCACGCCATAACTTGAAAACGGCAAGACCGAAATGACATGTCTTTTATTTTTCGAACAGACTAACTCTAAAGTCGCAGTCCCCGTGGAAGTGATCGGCGGCGGCGACCTCTCGCGCCCAGCCTTAGTCGAGGCCATGGTTCGACTAAGGCTGCGAAGCAGTGATGCTCGCAATAGGCGACATTCCAGGCGTCGGGGATCGAGAGATTATCTCCGGCCACCGTAAGCGCGGGTCTGCGGACGGCGAGTAAGGGTAGCTCGTCGCCCGACCAGAACCAGACCCGAGCTAATCTCGCTCGGTTTCACCCTCTGCTCGGCTCCTATAGATCGTAGCTTGATGTTTTATAGCCTTCCTCGATAAATGGACTCACGAAAACGAAAAGAATTGTTCAATGCAAACCAGTACCTAAACTCTTCAGCTTTATAGTATTAAATAATATATATAAATAGAGATTTATATTACAAAGTTTATAATCTATGACGATTAAGTACTATGCGGACATAAGAAGCTTCGTCTTTTGTGTTTGGCGTTGGGGGGTTTTATGAATGTATTCTTACGAAACCATATTTGTTTTGTTTACTTTGTTTCTCATTACCACCAACAGCTCGCGTGACCTCGTCATAGTCAATGGTTAAACTATAAGTCTTCTTGACAAAGGGTTAGTTACACATTCTGACCAAAAACTCACTCGATTATCGATGAGATTTCTACCAATTAAACAACAATTTAATTGTAAGCCAGCTACCTACTTGTGTACTCTCTCTACTGTTTAGCTATCTACTACCAGCTACCTACTTCAAAATCAGTAGGCGGTCCTAATTAATCATTATGTTATTGATTTCATATCAAGGTCTAATGAAAACCTTTGTCCTTTTCTAAGGGGAAGCACATGACGTATTTGAGCAAACATCAAAATATTTTTAACATTTTTGTATATTTGAAATTATGTTTATGACGTCAATGGGGACGATACTTCTTTTTTGCTTGACGTTCAAAAGTGCCTTTTTTGGTCTATTTGAAATAAAGAATTTGTTTTGATTTGATTTGATTTGATGTTATCTCCTCCCCTTCCCATAGACCAACTGTGAGTCAGCGGAATCGCCCACGACCAGACAAGAGCACTAAACATTTTTAACGTTTTCGGATGGTAATAATCGTATTCTTAATTTTAGTTGACTGTCTTCTTGTCTTTTTCCTGGAATCTTGATTTTTTTATGGAATATTAGGCAAACGAGCTTTTGTATCTCCTGGTGGTAAGTGACACAGGCGCGTTGTCGGCCTTTAAAGGATTAAATAGGCCTTTTGAGAAGGAGAAAAGCTTTTTTTTGTCAGGGGAAAATCATCAAATGACTTCTCCCGCCCAGGGTAAAGCGAGAGAGAGTGTCAGACTCTTACTGACTAAAAACCTCCCCGTTCCTTCTCCTGCTCTGGGCCGAGGTCGCGGTGACTCATTGCGCTTACCCCGCAACCCCGGCTGAACATCAACCCTATAGGGCCCCGTCTGTGAAGGAGTAAAGTGGAGATCAAAATGAGCAACACATTATTATTGTACCTGATGTGCATAATAATAATGAATCACATACACAAAAGCTGTCTGCGACAAGCTGTGTCAACTGGGAAAAAAATAAATCAAAAGCTCACAAAAAGTAATAAAATGAAAAAAACATTTTCTTATTAAAATCACTCGTTCCTTCTATGCGAGCGTAACAATTTCTCAGACGAGCGGCTTTCCAGTTCCTCTCGCTTCACCATGTCCTGGATCAAAGCGCTTAATGGATGCTTACAATACCTATATAACTTTCTTTGTAACACAAGTGTAAGTGTGGGAGAGCCATGCTTCGGCACGAATAGGTCGGCTCGACCGAAGTGATACCACGACCTCACAGAAAACCGGCGTGAGTCAACCACAGCGTTGTGTTTCGCCATGTGAGTAACGTTACCGGAGGCCCAATCCTTCCCCTCTCCCAATCCCTTCCCAAAATCCAAAAGTCCCACAATCCTAATCCCTAAAATTCTTTCGTTGTTGTGCGTGTCCTTGGGCGGCGTTGTTTGCTTACCATCAGGTACCTAATCCGTTTACTAGTTCGCCGAAATAGCCTGTAACAAAACAACAACAATATGTTAATTGTGATTTATTAATTGCGAGTACACACTATACACTTATGCATATGAAGTTTTGTAAAATGCCTAGATAATTAAAAGGTATACCCCTTACAATGTCGACAAATATTATTTTGGAGAAAGTTTATTATAATTATGCTGCAATACTGTGATTCTTTTGAGGTACCTAAGCTATATGTGCCCTGTGCGTTTTGAAATGTGGCAAAAAAGAATACTTGTGTCCCCGCTCCTGAGGTCCCATAGAACATCAGTTGAGAGGACTTTACTTGACAAAGACCGGAGAGCAACACTCTCTAAATGCGCCCTCAAATCTGCTTACAAAATATGAAGATTGTTGTATTGGGACAGAACTTTAGAGTTCACTAAAAGAAAGGTAATCGAAATAGGTGAGTCAAGGCACACGACTATTTGAAGAACTCGAAATTTTGGTAGATAAACACGTTTTAATTTTCTTTCCGCAGAAGTTATTTCTCACCTACGCCATTGTACCTAACTGGGGGAAAAACATGACAACATGCCAGAAGGAAATACAAAAAAACACAATTTACATAATCACTACATATGCCAGTTACAATCGCATTAAGAGAAAAGTGGGAAGACGTAAATATATTACAATCTTTGAGGAAAAGCTTCATTTTTATTTATTCACAAAATTATCCTGTTTACCTAATTAAGAAACAAAAACCAGTTTCTCATACCTATGTGCCTACATACGCTTAGACTCGCAGTATAAATACAAAGCGACGCTGGTAAAGCTCCACAGTTGACACATCTTCGTCTCGCTACAATCGTCTCTCGACATCAAGTGCTCCAGTACAATGGCCGCTCTCAAGACCACCCTCGTGCTGCTCCTCATTGCCTTCGCGATGTTGGCCTCCGTTGGCGCCGTCCGTGTGGGCCCCTGCGACCAGGTCTGCTCCCGCATCGACGCTGAGAAGGACGAGTGCTGCAGAGCTCACGGGTACAGCGGGTACAACAGCTGCCGAGGCGGTAGAATGGACTGTTACTGATGATTACACCACCAGCTCCTCAAGTAATGAAGCCCCTTCGCATTCATAACTCAAAAAACTTGAAGAAAAAGATTTTCCTATCTTTATCTTAACCATTCGGTGTTTATTTAATTGTTGACTAAATTTGCATATTTTGTAAACACATCATTATACACATCATAAATCTACACATTATAAATACACATCTGCAAAATTGTAAATAATCGTATTTAATAAATATAATTTACAAATATTTTGTGTGTGTGTGGGAACGCTTGCTGCAAAGCTCATGGGTTTGAGGGATACAGTCACTGCGTTGGTGGAAGAATGCATTGTTACAAATAACTCAACTGTTACACGCGCGGGTCTGCGGACGGCGAGTAAGGGTAGCTCGCCGCCTGACCAGAACCAGACCCGAACGTACGGCGCGTAGCGTACCGCGCGCGCCTCAAAAAGCCAATAGACCACCACAGACGGGACTCTGTAGGGCAGATGTTCAGCCGTGGTTGCGGAGCACCGCAGCTTCGGCCCAGAGCAGGAAAAGGAACGGGAGCGTTTTTAGTCAGGAAGAGTCTGACAATCCCTCATTTGAAAAATTGAAAGCACTATTACTTTATTCCCTAATAAACGTGCTGTCTTTTAACCATATCATTTTCATTTGTCCATTTTCTATTGATGAATATGGATGTTCTCTTTTATCAATTCACTGAGCGTAATATTTTTAGTTCTATGAATCCAACTAAAGCTCCCTTTTTGTTTATGATGGCTACACCACATTAGTCGATGCGGTGACAAATCTCTCGGCTGATGGTATTTTTTAAATAATAAAAAAAAAACAATCGAAGGAGGTATCAATAAAATTTTGAAAATGGAACCCATATTTTTTTTTACTAAAGCATACTGCTCACTGCCCCGTAGGGCGATAAAATTGCCATTTAAGGCGATATGAAAAGGTTATAATAGAAAAAAAATTGTTAATTAAATAAAACAATACACTTTGTTTATAAAAACGTTTGTATTAGATTCTTAACATAATGATCTCACATGACAACACAATACTGATCTCATACCAAACATTTTAAACCAACGATTACCTTACTTCACATCTGTTTCACCTATAAACGAGTTGCGAAAGTCACCGACGTAATACGAACCGAGATCGTATACAATACAAATACTTAAAAAAAGCAAAATAAAACATAAATGTTGAAAAAATAAAGCAAAATTTGAAAAAAGAAAGCTATGTCTATTTCTACCACACAGTATTGCCAGATTATTGAGATATTTACTACCAAAAATGCTTTCCAAAATGTGTATTTCATTTAATTCCTTTAACAATGCAAATTTGAATAAGGTCGATTTCCAGTCTAGTGTGTCATATTTAAATTCTGGCAACATGAAAACACATGCGAAATAATCAAGCATTGTACCCTTAACCATATTGGTGCCATTAAGGAACAGAAAGAGAAAATAATATAAAAATTTGTTCGAGTGACATACAATACAATTCTATAGGTGAAATTCATTCAATTTCGTGACAAAAGTCTAGATGACCACATATTCTTAACTCCCTTAAAAAATATCGAAAAATATCACAATATAATCTTCGATTTTATTGCAGTAGTTAAGAATATGCGCCATCTTTGTAAAGAAATGTGCGGCGCCAAAACATATGAAGGCCCGCATAGCAATAAATAATTAAATAAAATCACAAGTCCTCCAAAAATGCATAATAATGCTTTCAGAAAATTTTCACAAAGTGGATGGAATAGCACCCATAAAAAATAAATCAACATTCAAGATACAATAAAGTTTCAGAAAAATATTTCGCTATCAAATAACACGTATATCAAGATCATAAACTATTTAAGTTACATTTTTATATGTGACAAGATATGTCTTACAATTATTGTATCTGGTAACACTAGTTAAAATTTCAATTTTAGAGCACAATTTATAACGTATTGCTTTGAGACGTTCGTTTTTTAAATAAAGTCTTAGATGAATAAATAATATCACTTAAATAAAAGTTAAACAATTAACAACCGTGTTATACATGTTAGTTGACGGTGGCGGAGATGGTGTTGACGTTAACGTCGGGTTTGACGTCAGAGACGTCAGTCTGGGTGTTGCCCTCAACGTCCTCTAGACCTTTATTGGCCCGTCCGTAAAGATCAGCGGTTGTGAGGATTGTGGGCTGTGGCGTGTCTCCTCGAGGTGTGACGTCTTCTTCCAGCATTTTCTTGTGCTTTCCTCGGTTGACAAAGCTGTAATACGTCTATAATTAGTATTCCTAGAAAAGATATGTTACAGATAATGTATTCTAAATTATAAACGGCTCTCGTCGAAATTAAGGGCTCTCTCTCAAATATCGTCAAAACAATCGTCAAAAAAATTATAACATAATATGTAGATAAATATTCAGATACCCTCACGTTATTTTTTTAATATTGGACTGGTGATTACTATTATTAAACAATATTATAATTAATATTATATTATATAATATTATTATATTATATAATATTATTTAATATTATATTATAATATAATATTATATATTATTATATAATATAATATTATATATTAGATTAGATAAATTGAGCCGTTATAATTCAAAATACTTAATAGCATGCATTTTTTCATAGAAAAGATTAGAAATTAGAAGGGTTAGATAAAAGGTTAGAAAAACAAGAATAGACTTTTCATTATTCGTAAAAGCAGTTGGAGACTTAATGAAATGTCAAAAAGTATATATCTGTGTGAATCTGTTTTAAATTAATAATGAATTCAATTAGGATGAGGAAGTAAAAAGTATTTGCATAAATCGTAACATAGTTTTTGTAACAATATGAGTCACTATTCATAACAATAATTAAAATTGCACTAACACCTAATTCAATCCCAATACGGTAGTTTCCGACTAGACAAATTCAATACTTTTACCCAAATGTCAAAAACGATACTTTTCTATGAAAGTTGTATGAATATCCAAATTATGACGTCATTTTGTTTTTATTTCTGCGTCATAAAGCTAAAGAAAATTTAGAGTATCGACAGATCGATACTGATTTTTCAATATTTTATTGTATTGAATCATAAAATCAATTTATTATTGACCTAGGAAACTACCCAATTCTATGCAGCTTACTGATTATATAGGACATTCTAGAAATTAACTTCCAACCAAATAAAAAAATACATGTTTAGTCTCCAACCATATTTACGAATAACGATATCACGTGAAGTATTTACAATTTGTATTGAAGCAATAACGCAATATGTTCGTTAGATTATTATGTACTCGTATTAATAACTAAATGCTGTCTATTATCCAAGAAATCTACCACCACTACCCGCCGTACTCAGAGTCATATAATGGTTACTTTATCCAGTTCTCACCAATTGTTTTTGGAACAAAATGGTTACTAAGGAACCGTTTAATTCTAAAACTAATATCCCCTTATTACAAAACAAGTTATCTTTAGTCTAGGTTAAACCATTGAGTCGGTTTTTGTATTTTGAATCTTATTTTTACCTACCTTCAAATTGAAATACAAAAACTGGCTCAATGGTTTAAACCTAGACCAAAGAAAGACCTTGTTTTGTAAAAAGGCTGTTAATGTTTGGTGAAAGTTTTATAATTACAATAAGAATGTTATATACCAAAGCGACCCAAAGGGCTCATACCTCTTAAAGAATAACATGCATGGATCTGAATTAAATATATTTTTAAAACAATATTTTTGACGGGTTCCAGAAATGCTTTATTTAAATTACTTTCTCATTTTTTCTGACAATAAACAGCATTTTATTTCGTTTTATTTAATCGGTTGCCTCACTAAGCGTTTCTATAACATGCAACTTATATCCACCGCAACCTTTACAAAAAATACTTCTCAGATATTTTATAAAAAAAAAAATTAGTTTTATATCGCTACCAAATTCACGTGTAATCATAAATAAAACTAAAGAAAAAATATAATGCCTTATTCCTCATCTAAAAAGCTTAATACATCCAGCCTATTGCTACCAAGCGAAGCATAGCACGCGTTCACAATGAAAAATCGGAACCCAACACCTCAACCCGGTACAAATACATGTAAACATACCTCCCATACTGTCACGACAAACCGTGAATGATGTTGATGTTAACATTTTAATATGAAAAACAAAAAAGAAAAGAATTTCATTTAATTTCGAATTTTATTCAATCGCCAATATTTTTATGAAGATATAAAAAAGGAGGATTTAATTATCTGTCTCCTTTTTAGAGTTGTCATTTTCAAAAATCGAATTTTGAAGAAAAATTCAAAGTAGGTTTTAATTCTCCCAACCTATTTTGGTGTGGTCACACACACACATAAAGTAAAATGATGAATAAAATAAAGTAATCTACTGATTATGATCATTTTGGCTGCCAACAAGATAGCAAGGCAAACACAAATACCAAAAAAAAAAACACAAAATGACCCAAGTGATTGATATCCTGTCAATTTCCAGAATTTGTCACTAGACGACTGGCAACAATAATGATATCTTAAAAAATATTTGTACTGCAAACTCTTACTCATATAATTAAGCTGACGTCACTCTTGGTATACTGGTAGTAAACCAAATTGTATTCAGTTTCGTAAGTGATAAAGTGTATATTGTTTTAACCTAAATAATTTCAATATGCCATGTTTAACGACAGCGCGATATTTACCTACTAAGAAATGGCAATGCATAATATCGTTGATAAAAAATAATTAATGTAAGAAATTAATTTATTTAAAAATGGAAACAAATTGTTCCAAAATTTCGTAAGTAATAAATAGATATGATTAAGTTAAGAATAATTTATTATTAATACTTTCATACTAATATTATTAAAGTAAAATTTGTATGTTTGTAAGTTTGAATGTAGGGGGTAATTTTTGAAACCGCTGTCTGGTCGGATTGCTAAAATTCTTTCACTTTTAGATAGCTACAATGTTCTTGAGTGCTTAAGGCTATAAAACATCACGCTACGATCAAATGCAGCTTATCTGCGGGTGAAACCGCGCAAGAGTAGCTAGTCACTAATAAAATCGTTAAGAGTATACTTTGATTAGGTATTTGATTTTATTAAAAGTTTAGCTTTGGTTATTATTAAGAAGAAGAGAGAGACAAAATAGAAATAAGATAGAATAAATAATGCGATATTGATAGAACAAAATTATGAATTCAAAATAGATAATCGTTTTTGAAATAAAAAAAAAAGAATTGTACTGCCAACAATCGTCTTGTTGGCTATTAAAATTTCATTAAATCAAAAGCATATAGTTTTCTTTTATGTAAGATATTGTCATAGTCCTTAAATCCGTAAATTATTATTTTACAAATAATTTATCATTGAACCTCTAATTAATGTAAGTAGGTATAACGAGAGGTCAACGATCTCTAACATTATTTCACAATCACATTAACTGACATTGCCATATCTTAGTATTATTTTTATAAACATCAACAAATACTAACAACATCGAAATAATGACGTCAAAACTATGAATTTCATTAAAAATAGGACTTACTTAAACCTTAAATAATGTTCTATGTAAGAAAGAGACAAAACTATATTTATATAGCTGCATCTCTTTCAGACAATTCGACAAGCTACGCTTATATAAAACTAAAAACAAATTTAAATCTTAAATATAAAATAAATAAAGTTTATAATCGAATCCTTTGCTTAAACTATTTAACGTTCTGACAAGCTTTGCTCATTTAAACGAATTTAAATCATATAAACTTAACGATAAGGTTTAAAATAAGTCCAAGGATGTGGAGAACAATCACAAAAAGCGATGGAAACTCACCAAGCTTTAACTTTTTGATAGATGTAGATGCACGTCATGGGGATCGGAGTCATGATCGCACATGACACGGGCACCACTAAAAAATACAATTGGAACATGTTTGTATAACAGATTTTATACTTTTTTACGAGTATTACGTAGTAAGTTTTTAGGGGTGAAAATCATCCAATGACTTCTTCTACCCTGGATGAAGGGAAAGGGAGTGTCCTGCTTGGAGCACAGCTGAAACTCAATACATTTTTCAAATGCGTTGGAATTACTCAAGTATAACATTTTTCAAGGAAGATATCCAATAGTCCATCAAATTGAAGTATTTCGTTCAATGTTGAAAAAGAGCCGAACAACATATAAGTGTGGAAGAGCCAAGGTTTGGCTCGACCGGAGTGATACCACGGGCACACAGAAAACTGGCGTGCAACAACAACCAAACAAGCGTTGTGTTTCGCCGTGTGCGTACCACGGACCCATAAATATTCGAAACCCCTATCTTTAAAAGGCCGGTAACGCGCTCGTAACTCCTCCGGTGTTCCATGGGCGGCGCTAATTGCTTACCATCAGGTAATTCGTCAGCTCGTTTGCCAACCAATACCATAGCAAAAAAAAACATAAATTCTACGTTACCTGTAGTAAGATCCGCCTCGGGTTGTCCAAGAGCGTATCTCAGCAAAAAGATGGCAATACCAGTGTTCTGGATACCCGTCTCTATGGATATAGCCAGCGCGTCAGGGTGAGGCTGACGAAATAGACGGGCTACCAAGTACCCCGCGCAGTAGCCTAGCCATGGGATACCCATGCCGGCTACAACGATCTGTGGATATTTAGAAAGAAAACATTATGGTAGGTAATTGTGTAATGTTGGTGTCTTAAGGAGCCGAGGACGGTAATAATCAATACACACGTGTATCATATGACGTTTTTCGACACACTTTTAAATAAAATAATACTTAAATAAAAAAACTTTAAAATAGAAAACGATTTGTAAAAAATGTTTCATAACGGCGGGTTAAATTAATCAGTATTCTTATGCGCGCGCATTAACCATAAATTTAAAATGATGTTTCTTTTTTTTTGGGCTTTTCGCAGATTGCATTTTAGCGTAAGTGTAAGCGTAACTCAACCAATGATATAAAAAAAACTCTATTACTCACTCGTAAATGATAGTAATGCAAAAGTCACAGTTTGATTAAGTGTGGGAGAGCCATGCTTCGGCATGAATGGGTCGGCTCGACCAGAGTGATACCACGGCCTCACAGAAGACCGGCGTGAAACAACCACAGCGTTGTGTTTCGCCGTGTGAGTGAGGTTACCGGAGGCCCAATCCTTCCCCGCCCCTAATCCCTAAATCTGCAAATCCCTAATCCCTAAAAGGTCGTAAATCCTCCGTTGCGGGTGTCCATGGGTGGCGCTGATTGCTTACCATCAGGTAATCCGTCTGCTCGTTTGCCGACCAATTAAATAAAAAAAAGGTGCCATTATGTGCTAAATTACCATGGGATTAGAACCACTTTATGAGGAAGTGTGTTGAAAAAGTACTTTATGTGTTAAACCTATCTAAATAACACATTTCAACCAAAGCGGTCCAGCCGTTTTAGCGTGAAAGAATAATAAACATACATCCATACATTCTCACTGGTCATATTATAATATAAGTAGGATAATTTTAACTCACCTGCCACGTGAACAACTCGAAGATATACAAGTTAGTGACGATAGCGAATATAATGATGAACAGCAGTAGGGTTGTCGAGAAACCCTTAAGGATGCGCACCATGAAGGCGGCAATCTTAGGCGTCCAGCGCTGCATACCCAACCCTATCCCCAGAGGAACAAGCAACCCTATTACGAAGGTCGCGATACGTGTGTACGGAACCACTATTTGAGCGTTACGGAACACCACTTGGCCGAGGGAAAACAACCACATTGGCATAAAACCTGAAAAAAAAAGAAAAATGGCAGATATAATAAATATTTACTTTGTGGTATGAGTGATATGTGAATCAAAATGAATTAGAAAACAGTGTTTGGTAACTACATTAATACCAATTATAAATAGAAACTAGTAAAACAGAGGTTTTTGGCTGCGACACTTGCAAATAAATAGAAATCTAAAAACGAATTTCTAATGAAACAATGAATTTATATTTGCAAATAGGTCATAAAACACGTCAAAATACTATATATATAAAAAACTAAATGAAGACGGCATTCAGAATTCCACCAAACATGGCTAAGAACAATCACGACTGATATAATATACTTTTCAAACAAATACCAAAAACCGCATTAAAATCGTAAATGTAGTGTCGTGGTGACCCGGAGGTTAAAGAGCCCGCTTCTCATGCATGAAGGTGTGGGTTCGAAACCTGGCAAGTACCAATGTGACTTTTTCCGAGTTATATGTACTTTCTATGATTATTTAGACACCACTCACATACGGTGAAGGTAAACATCGTGAGGAAACCTGGACTTATAATTTCTAATTATAAGTTTGAAATCGCCAACCCGCATTGAGCAAGCGTGGTGATTAATGCTCAAACCTTCTCCGTGTGAGAAGAGATCTTTGCTCAGCAGTGGGCACTTATAGGCTGATGATGATGATGATGATGATGCATTAAAATCGGATCATCCGTTTGAGAGCTATGATGCCCCAGACAGACACGTCAAACTTATAACACCCCATCGTTTTTGCGTCGGGGGTTAAAAAACAAAAACACAACATTAAAACTTACCGAAACATGCGAGTGTAGATATTGATGTCATGGCTAATGACAGATTAAGATTTCCACCAAGAATGAAGGTCCATATATTGGAAGCACCACCGCCGGGCGCTACTCCAGTGAAGAACATTCCTAGACGCATAGCTGGGTCGTTGGGGAAGATCAGGAACCCTAGACCGAACGACATCTGGAAAGGAAAAACGTTTTTTTTAGGAAAGTAAATATCTTCAGAACTTTTTGATAAACTGAATACGTAAATTTGAAAAATTGTTAGATATTTTGTAATTTTTAGACAACCGTCATGGTGGGTTCGCAACCTGCAAAGTGCCATTATGACTTTTTCAGAGTTATATGTACATTCTATGATTATTTACACATACGGTAAATGAATTTATATTGAGAAAACCTGGACTTATAATTTCTAATTATGAATTTGAAATCGCCATTCCGCCTTGAGCGTGGTGAATAATGTTCAAACCTTCTTCGTGAGAGGAGGCGTTTGCTTAACAGGGGGAACTTACAGGCTGATGATTATGATGATGATGATGATGATGATTGAACTCCTCTGGCTGATATTCATGGGCGACACTGATTGCTTACCACCAGATTAACTCTTTCTCCCACAAAAACCATAATAACAAAATGGTGATAAAAATAGGTATATTTACTTACAAGTGGCATAAAGAGGAACTGTCCGCACATTCCTATGACGGGCCCTATAGGCCTTTTCAGCACTTCCTTTACCGTAGGCCAGTGCATCGCGCAACCAAAGTTTATGAAAATTAGTGATACCTGAAACAACATAGGATAACTCATCTTAAGTAGGAACATTTAAGGTTTTAATTTCAATATCTATGGGCTTTTTTTTTTTTGTGAGGGGAAAATCATCAAATGACTTCTCCCGCCCAGGGCCGGGCAGGAGGGAGTGTCAGACTCTTACTGACTAAAAACCCCCCTGTTCCTTCTCCTGCTCTGTGCCGAGGTCGCGGTACCTCATTGCGCTTACCCCGCAACCCCGGCTGAACATCAGCCCTTTAGGGCCCCGTCTGTGGTGGTCGAATGGCTCTTTGAGGCGCGCGGAACGCTACGCGCCGTACGCTCGGGCCTGGTTCTGGTCGGGCGGCGAGCTGCCCTTACTCGCCGACGGCAGGCCCGTGCTTACGGTGGCCGGAGATCGTCCCTCGATCCCCGACGCCCGTAGTGTCGCCAGTTGCGGCTGCTGGGGCGTGAGGATGAGGATTGCTCCCTCACGCGGGCCGCCTCTCTCTTTGCGAGCATGACTGCTTCACAAAAGGAGGAGACGGCGTCCCAGTTCCTCTCACTCCGCAATATCTATGGGCTGATGGTCTAAGTAGAATTTACTTAAGTGTCTAGCGTGGGAGTGATGCCACGGCCTCACAGAAAACCGGCGTGACACACTTATTTGTTTTCTGTCTACAAACTTTATTCTTTAATTCATAGACCCCAAGTGAAGCGGCAGGTTCTTCTCTCGAATGAACACCATTTAAAAGGTTAAGCAGCGTTTACAGTTTAGTACCATATGTCTTAAGTACGATATTAACAATTAAAACATATTAAAATTACTTACAAAAGTAGCGACGGACGTGACGAATATAGTGTCTATCACTCGTTCTGGTCTTATAATTATCACTGGCATACTGTTGTTTTTGACGTCCAAGGGTTGATTGTTGCGTTTTCCATTTATCACAACATTAGTTCTACCTGGTAAAGAAAATAAAAATATTAATATTTAGATTTTTTTTATGTCGATAGATAGGTCGGCAAACGACCCTACGGATTACCTGATGGTAAGCAATCAGCGCCACCCATGGATACCCGCAACAACAGAGGATTTGGAGATTTAATGATTGAGGGAGGGGAAGGATTGGGCTTCCGGTAACCTCACTCACTCGAAACACAAAGCGGTTTCACACCGGTTTTCTGTAAGGGCGTGGTATCACTTCGGTCGAATTTTGGTCTTAAATAAGTCCAGGTAAGTATATTTGAGGCAGGACGGGTCAGCTAGTACATACTAAGGCACCGCGGCCTCGGCCCAAAGCAGGAAAAGGGGGATTTTTAGTAAGTAACAGTCTGTCACTCCCTCTGCCTGGCGGGAGAAGTCATTTAGTGACATTCCCCTCCTTAAAAAGCTAGTAAGTACTAATATAATAAAGCTGAAGAATTTGTTGTTAGTTAAAGGTTTTTTTTCCGACATCACCAGCCAACAGCTTAGTCCTTTGCTAATTAATTAACACGTTAAGCGCCATGGCATAGCACGTAGGCTATGCTAGCAGAGGAATTTGGACTCAAGAATAATACTCCAGACAGTCAATGACTTGTTTGTCACATACCATAGTATGAAAATGGATTGATAATATGTCGGTATGCGCATAACGCAAGAACGCCTGGGCCAATTTTGGAAATTCTTCTTTCTTAATGGTTGTTTTTGTCAGGATAAGATTCTTATAAAAAAAAGTAGAGGGGTAAATTGGGAAATATAGAGACTATCTTGTCCTTACTTAGATAGGTACTTTTACAGCAGGGCAGCTAGTAAGTGTTATACATATAATCTTATATACATATAGTTAGTTTATCATTTCATATTGAGAGTCACTGTGATTTATTGTTTGTTATTATAATTATGTACAAAAAGTATAGATAATAAAACCATTGAGATATGTTATCTATCTTTTTACAAAGACATTATAAATGTATTTGAAAAATTAAATCACAACAAATTGTATAAAATTAGACAGATGTAGCTATGCATAAGAATTGTGATTGCATGTTTAACCTTTTTTGTTCTGTGTTGTTGGGCTTGTTTATGATAAAGTTCTTTTTAGATTCACTATATAAAAATGTCCTGTATGGTCCAATTACCGCACATGTCACCGCGTAAGCAATTTACTCAATTACAATAAATAATCTTATTATATCAGACAATCGTATCAAGTCTGACTCGCTGTAAACTCGCGTTAATGTATTAAGAAATAAATATTCAACAATTATAACCAACAAGGTGTTATCATTTATCAAGCTCTATCGAGCTTGATAAATGATAACGTCGTTTGGCAGCAACAAGGCTCCACGCGACATGTCCTAAACAATAAATTCACGAGTCAAAAGAAAGCACTGATTGTTATAAAATGTTTGAGGCTTATATATCGTTATAAAAATAATGTCATATACATATGTTCACCGCAATCACAACAAGAACTATAACAGAGTAATTAAAGAGGAAATCATAAATATTTCTAACACAAAAAATAATAATAATCGCAATATAATATGAAATATTCTCGTAAGTTGAATAAAAATCGCTGACAGGAAATAGTATCACATAAATAAAATGCAATGGTTGGATGAGAATAGTTGAATATCGAAATCAGTGGCGTGCAATTGGGGATTCCTAAGTCCAGCGGTGGACGAAATCAGGCTGATGATGATGAGGATGAAATAAAGGCCAAATTGATAAAGCATATTTGTCTCAATTCGGTAAAAAATAATTGTGTCTCACCTAAAAATTTCGCTGAAACTCTCATATTTCCTTCAAATTTACTGTTAACGACATCTGTTTCCGTCAGCTGATATGTTGAATTCCATTCTGCTTCGGCCAAGTGAGGGTCTGACGTTAACAACGTGAATTGATCACCTGCCTGCATCCCCGTACCTGGAATTAAAAAAAAACAATTAATTATTGCCTTTTTTCAACAATGCTCTGCGCTAGTAAATTTTTCTAGGTATGTCGTAGATTCGTTTACAAACATTTTATTAATTTTTTTTTTAGAAAATCTACGTAAATTATCATTATACAAGTTTCCCAATTCAACAGTTAGGCTTACATGTATTCTTAATAAAATTATATTTGAACATTTTACACATAGGAAAATTTTACATACAATGTCACATAGAATCACTAGATTCTGTCGATTCCCATACCTACATAAAACAAAAGTTCGTGGATCACATAAAGAATAAGAAAAGGTGCAAAACTGATCCTAAATTTCTCCACTTTTTGATGTTATTATGTATACCTATTTTAGTCTAGTTATGTAGTTTAAGGGCTAATCTTTCAATGGTTAATAAAAGTTATCTGGAGAACAATTATGATGCTGTCGCGTCAGAATGTTTGTATGAGACAGTGACAGCATCAATTTTTATTGCTCAGACTAACTTTTGTGAGTTCCTGCTAATTTTTTGGTTTAAAAACTATTCTATGTCCTTTGCCGAGTTACAACCTATGTAGTTTTAGGTCAGTTTCCGTAGTTTAAGCGTGATAAAAAGACAGACAGACGGACAGAGTTACTTTCTCGTTTATAATATTTGTTTGGATAACATTTATCTGACTATTGAAAAATCAGCCTTAAAAGATATAAGCATGCATAGGGATATAGGGGCAGAGAAAGCGACTTTGTTTTAAACTATGTACATAGTGATGATACGAACCGCTAACAGAAACGTTGACGTATGTGTACTCGTTCATGTTGATGGTGACCTCATCAGGGATGAAGGTCGCGGTCAGGTCAGGCACCGCTTGGCAGATCACCCACAGCGGACATAGCGCTAGCAGGTATATGATGATCAGGTGCAACGGCCAAATCGGACACATCTTGCCCGATTTTTCTTCTTATTACTATCTGAAAAGAGTTGAAAATATATTTAATTTTATTGTATACTAGCTTTTGCCCGCGACTTTGTTCGCGTGGAATAGTGACTACCTGCAGATTTTTGGTTTAAAAACTATCCTATGTCCTTTCTCGAGTTCCAGACAGAGTTACTTTGGCATTTATAATATAATATAATTTGGAAGTTTGGATATTTATTTTTAAATTTCGTCTTAAAAAAAGAATATGAAATATTAAAAATTATTTGGTTTTATTGAAAATTCAAATGATTTATTTTTCACTAAGTAGATACCTACTCAAGTACTAGTGTTATCGCTGCACTTCTATTATTAAATTGTTATTATGTAACGTATTATCTTCAAGTATTGACTAGTGCAATGGTTTCAAACAATGGCTCAATATAACTACTGGAAATCCAGGTTAAGTGTGTGTAAATATTTTGTCGTAAAACCTTATATTATGATTTTAAATGTGTGCATCTTGGTATACGAGTATGTACCCAGCGCAAAAAGCACACTTTTGCTGTTTTATCATGTTCTGGACTTTGATTGGCCAGTCCCAAAATATTCAACCAATCAGAGGGCTGCATGCGTGAACGTTTCGCTCGTGTTAACATAAAGAGAACGCACACTTTCGATTATTTTTCAGTTTTAATATTAAATCGGATCAATTTATAATCTACATATAAGTAATGTATTAATAGGTATAGATTTGAACATATGTGCGTAATGTGATCACATCTAATCACCTTAAAATCGTTTTATCACCATTCAATGTACATTTTTATACTAGCTTTTGCCCACAACTCCGATCGCGTGGTATAGTGACTTCCTGCAGATTTTTTGTATAAAACCTATCTTATGTCCTTTCTCGAGTTCCAAACTATGTCTGTAAAAATTTTACAGAAATCAGTTCAGTAGTTTAGGCGAGAAAAAAGATAGATAGACAGACAGAGTTACTTTCGCATGTATAATATTAGTATAGAAGTACAGATCTATTGAAAATTATATTCATTAGCAACCTTTACCAAATTATAGCTGCAAGTTGCAACAAATGTATTCCAGTGATAAACTGATAAGAACGTATTCATATGACGATGGTATCTAATTGTATAGATAAATATGTATGTATAACAGAATTTTGTTATAAAATAATCTGCATGATTAAGTACAGAAGCACTCATGTTAGCACTCAATTAAATAGGGTACTTTCCAATTACTTAACCAAATTAAACACTTTTCTCAAAAATCCAAAATTGTATTTTATTGTTGCTAGAAATTGTGAAACAAGTAGTGAAATCATATTTTTGATGGATGGAGAAAGCGACTATGTTTGATATTATTTGTAGTGACTAAAGAAACTACCTAAATCCGTCGAATATAAAACTAACAAACGCGGTTTATTTTTCACACAAATATTTGACGCTCTGTCAACGTCGTCGTACCGAGAAGACTATCTCAATAACTGCATAGCAAAACCAACCCTGACCTAATTGAAACAAACTCGAAAATCATTTTGAAATATCGTTGATACAAGGCGAATAACCAAAGCTCACTCACCACACAAGGTCAATCGACTTCAAACCAAACTACTCTTAAAATTAAGTTTAAAATTAATTACTTATTTAAACATTACACTAGCACCTTCTATCACTACATGGACGCAACTAAAGCAATCTTTTGAAGCAATTACAAATTATATCCCTTATCACCAAATCCTAAGATTGATTATTGAATGATTTTTCAATAATGTGGATAAGAGTAGCAACGAGTTTGGCATGTCTATCTCGTGGGCTTTGTCACGTAGAGATAAAACTGATAACAGCTTATTTAGCATAAGAAATAATTAGTTGTATTATAGGTAATCGAAACGTGTTTTGGATTAGATTAGGAATAAACACGTGAATTTTAATTTATTAATTAATACACATATAAGGTTTATCGTCAAAGGAACACCTGACTTAATAAGATGGGCACAATTCACGTTGCACCGAACAAAAGAAATCCATCATACTGTACATAAATTTAATATAAAAAAATTAAGAAAGGCTAAATTAGTTTGGTAGTTTCCTTAGAAAGTAAATTATTTTGAGTTTACAATACAATTAATTATTAAAATATAATCATACTAGCTACTCTAGCGCGGTTTCACCTGCTCGGCTCCATTTAATCGTAGCGTGATGTTTTATAGCCTATAGCACTCAGGAATATTGTAGCTATCTATCAGTGAAAGAATTTTGGAAATCCGACCAACGGTTCCAAAGATTACCCCCTACATACAAACTTACAAATTTTACATCTTTATAATATTAGTATAGATTTTAATTCATTGATTTGGCGATATATCAACTTTTAGATTTTTCCAGCAATTTTTTTAAAGTAAGCTATTTGACTTTAAAACATTATGACGTCAAACGTTGCGATTTCAGACAGAATTCTTAGAAAAATATCCTTTATAACATTTCAATAAGAGTACCGAATTTGAATAATAAAAAACTACTGGATTAATTTAATCGGTAAAGATGTCTATTACCACTATAGTCACCTGTCAACGAAGTGGCAAAGTCGAATAATGTTTGCATTTTTCGGATAAAAAAGTTCAAAAGGTAATCAAATTACTCATATACGTACCTAGATTAATTATATCATAAATTAAATGTATTACGAGTGGTAACCGCACACCATAAAATACATTCGCACACCATAAATAGTGTCGTTGTAGCCCGGAGGTTAAGGAGCCCGCTTCTCATGCATGAGGGCGTGGGTTCGAAACCTGGCAAGTACCAATGTGACTTTTTCCGAGTTATATGTACTTTCTATGATCATTTGTGAAATACATTCAACAAAAATGTTAGTGTAGGTCAAGGTTGAAAATCATAAACTGCTATAGGCGATATCAATTTAATAAAAATCCTTGTTTACAACAGCGGAAATCCCTAAAGACGACCACTTAACTGAAAAGCGCTACTTTTTAAATCGAAGAAAATGGCTACGTGATATAATTTTAATTCGTGCAATTACGATTCTCGACGTCCATCGTGACGCGTATCAAAATATGGCTGAAATTGTCCTTGAATATTTGTACGTGGTTGCCATGACAACGAGCTAATGTTTACCATGCCATACGATGCTACTGTTGCTGTAGATTTAATACGTAGTTTAGTCAACTGAGTTGTGTTGAGTACATTTGTACTTAGTGTACTGTATTTTTTCTTGACTGTACCATTCTCATTCATGTTCATAATGCTAATGAGAATTTTGAATGATATATGAAAGTAGGTCAAGGTCAATGACCAGCGAAAATATGTTGCTTGTATTAGATTTAGATTGTTACAATGATCTTTATGCGAGTTAAGCTTGTAAGTTATTTTGATTATATAATAAGTATTAGCTTACTTTGAATATTTAAAATTGGTGTTTTGTTGGCGTATATAACGTTTTAATGTCTATTATAAGTACTAAAGGCTGATTTTTCAATAGTCAGATAAATGTTATCTGAGGAATAAAATTGTTGCTGTCACTGTCTTATACAAACATTCTGACGCGACAGCATCATTATTATTCCCCAGATAACTTTTATCTAATTTTTCTGACTGATTTTTCAATGGATAGATAAATTTCTCATCGAAACAAAATATAAGCCATAAATAAATAAGTACTGCAACGAGTAAGAAGTGGATTTAATGTGACTAAGTACTCCTTCGTGCAAAAGTACAAAAAATTCTCAAAGCAGACGAATAGACGCGGTATTGTCCATCGATGCGTCCGCGCACAATGTTAGAATCTCATTGACATTGAAACTCGCTAAAAATAAGTAGACGCATTGCAAGTAGGTATAATAAAAATACGCGAATTAAAAAGTAAACACTATAGGTAGTAGACACCTCTATGATATTACTTAAGTGTCGGCTCGACCGGAGTGATACCACGGCCTCACAGAAAACCGGCGTGAAACAACCACAGCGTTGTGTTTCGCCGTGTGAGTGAGGTTACCGCAGGCCCAATCCTTTCCCTCTCCCTAACCCTAAATCTCCAAATGCCTAATCCCCAAAAGCTCGGCAACTGCTCTGCTGTTGCGGTCTGCCCGCTTGCCGACGTACCACATAAAAATAAAAATTACTTGCGACAAGATGGATTAGTAAGATAAAAAAAGATATATTTTGAATTTATTTAGTCTCCGTCTATGAATACTGAACTACTGTAGTGTGCGCATTCAGCCACATACTAAAATTTATTCAATTTTATCCAATGTTACATCATATTTTCTGGATCGTGGTTCAGCAGATAATGATTATGGCTATAAAACATATTTTATATGTAAGTAATAATAAAAAGCCACGTATTCTCTATGGCACGTATGCCCTGAGGTCGAATATCAAACATAATTACAACAATGTCACGATTAGGTACAATGTCACAAAAAACAAGGTCATTTTTGACTTATCAAAACTAGTGGGGCCAAATGCAGTCAGATTATTGTTGTCATAATTATAAGCCGTAACTGATATCTGCTATCTTCGTCTTGAGAAACAACTTCTATTTATTATTTCAAAATTCGAATTTATATTTTTTTTTATCGAAACATTTTTTTTGTCGGTAGGTTGAAGAAACCTCTTTAATATTTTTTTAAGAAGTTTACTCACTCCTCTTTATGCAAATGATACGGACTGCAGCATAAGCCTAAGTGTCTTTTCGACACTGACAAGGTATAAAAGGCATCAATCACCACGCTTGTTCAAGGCGGATTGGCGAATTCAAACTTACAATTTGAAAGTATAATAAAGTCTAGGTTTCCTCACGATATTTTTCTTTCGCTGCATATTTATATTAGTGGTGTCAAAATAATATGTAAATATGTAGAATTACATAGTTATAGTTAAAAATATCTGCATAGATTAAGGGATTTTTTAATTACGTACTGCCAGCAGCTTCGCCCATATTAAGTACTAAAGTAAAAATTACCGTACATGTCTCATGAATTAATAGAAAATGCAACAAAAAACCAGCTAACAGAAAGCTTCAGAATCCTTAAAATCCTATTTAATTGTATCGGATTTTTTCTAGTTCACTCCAATTACAAAGTAATTTTATACACAATATCATTAAGATGTAATGAGATAACAATTTATTTGTATTATGATCTGTTTCCCTAAGCTTCAGTTTAAATAAACCGGTCAGTCATCGTGATAAGCAAGTCTCGTGATACGACATATTCATTAAAAAGTTAAATAAGTATTTATTCTATAGCACTCTTATTGAGGGGAGAAAATCTTTTAGTGACATCTCCCACCCTGGGTGCGTCGAGAGTGAATGTCAGACTCTTACTGACTAAAAAACACCCCCCGTTCCTTTTCCTGGTCCAGGCCGAGGCCGCGGTACATTATTACGCTTACCATCTTATGAGAGTCCACTGCTAAGCACAGGCCTCTTCTCATACGGAGAAGTTATGACCATTTATCACGTTTGTCCAAGGCGATTTGACTATTTCAAACTTTAAGCAATCCTAGGTGTCCCTACAAAGTTTTCCGTTATCAATGGATTTTTCTTTGTTTAATAAAAACGTTGGGAACCACACTAGGATTTTCTCCTGTGTTGTGGGTGCGTTTACAAACATATAATTTCACATGCACATCACGCCCAGACCCGGAACAACAATTTGTGTACCTATCACACAAAGAGTTGTTCCGTGCGGGAATCCAACTCGCGACACGTTACGCGGCAGCCAGTTGCCCAGCCACCGCAACAACTGTGCAGTCAATAGTCAGATAAATGTTATCTGAGGAATAAAATTGTTGCTGTCGCACTGTTATACAAACATTCTGACGCCATAGCATCATAATTATTCCCCTGATAACTTTGATCTAACCATTGAAAAATCAGCCCTAAATCATTAACTCAATCAAAATTGATATTGTCGGTATTGTTTAAATATTGAACATAAAAACAATTGATGCGTTCTTCAATTACATCAGCAGCCAATAGCAAACAGCCACGGTACAAGACATTAAAACATAGTTTCATATCCACCCTCTAACAAAATTAAAGTGGCCTTCACACGCTAATAATTGCAAAGGAAATAGCCTTCAATTTAATGAACGAAGTACCAGAAACAATAATTCAATTTTATTTACTTAGGTAGTCACAAATGATTTTGGATATCATAACCGCTTTTGTGAAGGAAAAGTAAAAGGCAATTGTCGTTTTGTGTTCTAAACTAACAGTTTTAGACGATGCTTTATTGTTTTTTAATGATTATTCATCAACTAGATTCTAAAAAGTCTTTGTTTTTTTTATATAAACTTAAAAACAAATAATCTGATTGAAAAATAGTAACTAACTATTCTTCTCCATCGAACTCTCAACTTTGGAACGAGGACTGACCACTATTTTTTACCTTTAATCTATTTTTATATTTAATCTAATTTTTTCAAAGGTAAAAGGCAATTATTTTAAACTGACTTCTAAATCATGTAACATATCCTCTAGTAGCGTCACCCGCAGTACGAGAGTGAAAAACCCTTGTGTTGTGTAGAATAGTCTGTAACCACTATTATCTATCTCTATGCCAAATCTCATACTGTGTGAAGTTTTACGAGAAAAAGTAACATATTTGCGTTTATAATATAAGCGGGATCACTTGTTATCATGCTGTAAATATTATATTTTTTGTATCTT